AGAAGATAAATAAGGGATAATTGGATAGTTAAATCAATGATACAGTGTGACATATCTGACGTCAAAGAAAACAAACAAGATGCACGAGCATTAGGCAGTTTTTTTTTTCTTCAATTGTATCATACCTATAATTAAATAGAGTTATTAAAAGACAGTAAAGGAGATAACAAATTTTGAAGAGAATATTGTCAAGTTTTGGACTATATATCATTGATATGACATGTTAGCTGATTATTCTAAGATCAATTTCTTGGCTCCTGGAGATCAATTTCTACTGAATGTTTGGATGCACACATCATGCAAGTAAATGCATTTTTACCATTTTTAACCCAAAAACGTACTTGTGCATGTAACGTAGGATCAACAATGAAATAAAGATGCCTTTTTAATGAATATTTTGTTCAGTTCCACAAAAATGAATATTTGGTCTAATTTCTACCATCCTTGAAATGAGTTCAGCTCCCAGGGGGTTCACATCAATGGTTTCTGCGAGGAAATCACAGAACAGATTTCTATAATGTCGTTTGTCTCCTAACAAAGATTTGAATTGATGTCCAGACAAATACAATCACATACAAGGCCAGGTCAATAGTTCACACTTTGTATCACAAGGGGATGGTTTTCGTTTCCTTTTGAAGATCCCTTTATAAAACTATCTGACTTTCAGACTATCAGATCTGTTTCCTCATTTGGAGACCATTTTCCAAGTTCTGTAATTGATCCTGTGATGGGTGTTATGGCACCTTAAGCAGGGCAGTTATACAGTAAAACCAAAATATCTTATAAACACAAACAGTTTAGAAACATTGAATTAAAATTTCTCCATGATATGGGGAAAAGCTCAAGGCTGTACTATAATTCTGTTGGTCTGGTCTATGTGTAAAAGATTTCCCTGTAATGTGGAGAAAGACTCAAGGCTGTAGCACCATTAGATCTGCTCTATGTGTAAGAGATTTCCTGTAATGTGGAGAAAGACTCAAGGCTGTAGCACCATGAGATCTGGTCTATGTGTAAGAGATTTCCTGTAATGTGGAGAAAGACTATGTGTTTGTCTAAGTGTCAGATTTCCTGTAATGTGGATTTCCCAGAAAGAAGGACTCCAGGCTGTAGCACCATTAGGTCTGGTCTATGTGTAAGAGATTTCCTGTAATGTGGAGAAAGACTCCAGGCTGTAGTACCATTCTGTTGGTTTGTCTAAGTGTCAGAGATTTCCCAGTAACCTGGAGAAGGACTCCAGGCTGTAGTACCATTCTGTTGGTTTGTCTATGTGTAAGAGATTTCCTGTAATGTGGAGAAAGACTCCAGGCTGTAGCACCATTAGGTCTGGTCTATGTGTAAGAGATTTCCTGTAATGTGGAGAAAGACTCCAGGCTGTAGCACCATTCTGTTGGTTTGTCTAAGTGTCAGATATGTCCTTGTCATCTGTTTGACTCCAGGCTGTAGTACCATTCTGTTGGTTTGTCTAAGTGTCAGAGATTTCCCTGTCACCTGTTTGACTCCAGGCTGTAGTACCATTCTGTTGGTTTGTCTAAGTGTCAGAGATTTCCCAGTAATCTGGAGAAGGACTCCAGACTGTAGTACCATTCTGTTGGTTTGTCTAAGTGTCAGAGATTTCCCAGTAACCTGGAGAAGGACTCCAGGCTGTAGTACCATTCTGTTGGTTTGTCTAAGTGTCAGAGATTTCCCAGTAATCTGTAGAAGGACTCAAGGCTGTAGTACCAATTCCATTAGGAAAATGATGATGATGTCAGGAGATGATTTCATGCGTCACACTGTACAAGGAAAGGACATTCATCGAACCACATCTCAACAGAACATTGATCTACGTATACCACAGTGATAATCTCCTCCTCCATCATTCAATTGGAAATATTGGCAGCTCCCCTGGTGTGAAGGGTGATAATGTCTCGGGTCCCAATTAACGGACTGTCACAATGGGACCCCTGTCTATTCTACTCCTATCTACAAAGTAACACATCAGAGTTTCCGTGGCTTTGACAATTCATTTACTACAACTCAACATGTCCCTGGTCAAATGCATGCTCCATCCCTAAACTGCTGTAGTAAATCTCTACATATCCTACAATCAATACCTGGTATCTGTCCTAATATGGTAAAATCTTCATCAACACTATAAATGGAGTTTAATCAATAGTAATTTTTAATATTTTAGCTCTCTAATCTTGACCTCTGAATTAAATGTTAATCAAAAGGAAAGAAATATCCACTAATTCAGCCATTTTCATGATAAGGTTAAGATAGAGTCAAGATTAGGATGAGACAACATGATCAGATAAGTTTGAGAATCCTATCACATAGAACATGTATACTGTGAAGCCTTCACAAGGAAGATCTTCATCAAAAACAACCAATGTCAGTAACAGATATTGATTTACCCCGATGTTCAAATCAGCTTAGAGCTTTAAAAAAAAAATCAAAATTTCTTGTGTTACAGAACTATGTTATTTTGTAAGCATCCACTAGCAATGTCAGGATTTTCTTGTCCAATCAAACATAGAAGACAAAAAGGGCAAGAAAAACAACAACAACTGGATACCAAACATCTATCTTATCTTAACTCTTATTTGGCAAAAACTAATCTTTCACAAACCTTGTACAACAACTCTGTTTAAGCTCTTAGTTACCATGTGATGGGCTTATTTTACAACAATCAAACTTTACCAAGTAGAGTAAAAAACGGTAGCACCTTACTGAAGCCATGTCAATTTTTGCCATTCAAGAGCCAGAACTAAAATGATATCATGTCCTGTATTTTTTAAGCTTACAAATTAAGAAGAAGGAAAAGCTTACCACATCAAAAGTTACTTAATCTTTACACTTAAATATACTTCACCAATCCAGCCAATCATAAAGTATGCAGACAAACAGAAGGTATTTAGGTGCCAGTGAAATATGAGCTAAGTTTATATGACAGATAATGGGAAAATGTTTTTATTTCACACAGCAGAAACAGTGAAAGCCATTAGTGACCAAGCATTAGCCTGTCAGGACCGAGACAGCACTTCTTCTCAACTTGGCTGCTGACAGGAGCACCTGTCCCCACAGAGATCTAAGTAGACACAATGGTAAAATGTTTGTGGAATGTTAAGTACGATCCACTGTGTGGTGATACGTACAATAAACACTTATGTTTGGTGAAATCACAACACCAAACTTTATCTCACAGATACTGTTTAAAAGGCCCTACAATGGAATCTCTATTCAGTTTGCTGTTTTATATTCCTTTAAGGAACGACATCCATATTCCATCTTAGGTCACATGTTGAGTGTCCAGGGCTATTTTATAGTGTAATCTTACTGAAATGTTATAACCCTGATGGTAATATTGTAACAGACCTACCAGTCCTTACAGCCTCCAGATTTAATGCTAAATGTCAAAAACAGCAGTACATACCCAATTTAAAACAGAATGGCTTTAGCATTCATCTGTATTTATTAGGCTCCTCAATTCCTACACTTTGAGCAAAATCAAGTCACTTTCACAACTTTAATATCACACTTGATGATTCAACTTAGAAAATATCAAATTTGTTATGTAACGAAAATTTGAAGGTAAAATTAAGTACTAATGTTTCACGGCAGGATAATGTGACACATACCTAATTTAAAGGTCAATGAGGTGATGCATCTGCATACTGACAATATATCATGTGTGAATAGAAAGACATGCTAATAGATTAAGCCAAACCAAGATCACCACAAAAATATCCATACCAATGTTCTTTTATATTATGTTTTATCATTAAAAGGAGATACCCACTGAACTGACCCTAAATTTTTGTGCCTATAGTGAAGTTTTTTTTAAACACTTTTCCAGGAAGGACTATTAAAGTGAAGTTTCTATCTCTATGTATCCTCCCATGTAAAAATCATTTGAAAATAAAAAGACAATTCAACCAACCCTTCAATAAAAAATACTTCAACCTACCCTATCTTTTTCCTGGCAAATTAGTGGAAACACATGCCTGTATTTTTTAGGCCTTATAAGCCAATCCAGTAAAGCAGTGAATAGCACATATGAAGCAGCTGTGACCAAGTTGATGTCAGATCCTCCCAAAGCAAGGAACAGCTCTAAATGCATTTAATCCATATAAACATCAGGTACTTAACACAAACAACAATGATGATCATTGAAATATTCAATTCTGTAGCTTCAGTACATCTAAGAAACAAATGTATTGTTCCCTTCGAAAAAATTTCTCTCATATTCCTTTTACAATTTCCTGGTTGCACATACCCCAAATTAATCCTCTAAAGAATTAAATGCATTGTCTAAAATAAATTCTTCAAGGTTCTTATTCTCAACTTCCTGTTTCACTTTTGTCTAACTGATGGTTAATTATCTACAAATTACAGTTTAATTGAAAGTTATGCTCTTTTTAAGTCTGAAGTATCATTCTCAGAGAGTTTCATAGTTGCTATTTTCATATAAATTACCTTGCTCATTTCCCAGAAGTACCGGAAACTATTCTCTTGATCACTGTTACAAAGAGGAGGGGGAATTTTCTCTCATTTTGACATTGTTAACTTAATATTATTGCTATAGTATCGATGTTTTTGGTCTATGAGGTGGTGTAGAGTCTCTCTGGGAGTATAAAGTACTTCATGTATTATATCCAATGCATCCATCGCTGTCGGCTTTGATTGCCAACTTATCGCATCTCCTTGCCTTTACGAGTCTTTAGGGAAAACACAACCATCACCATTCTTAAATCACAGCCTTAAATCTGTCACAAGGACACGATTGTCATGTCATAAAAACAGCAAATGTGGCACATTCACAAAACAAACGTGCTGATAAATATGTTGAAAATTTCTTTGAGTGACAGTTTGCTGCCACGTTACCTACAGTAAATGTCAGCTTGTTAAATCTTTGACTGCATTTTCTTTACAACCAAACAATATTCAAGAAAAAAATCCTTTCAGTCACAAAAATCTTGATCAAGTTCTACAACTTCTTTTAATAAAAATGAACTTACCTCGTCTGACTCAAAGACATGACAGAGTATCTTTGCCTGCTTTTTTTGGTGTAATATTTCTTCACCTGGACTTGACAAGAGCCTGCGCCGAGCCATGATGACTAGAATGTCGCCAATATCAGCTATGTAGGATATTGTCCTCAGCGAATGATCCATCATTATCTCCTGCATAAAGTAAGGTGAACATTGTAGGTTAATTGGTTAAAAAATGAAAAAAAAAAAAAACCACACAAATAATGTTTCATGAACAAAATGAAATAAAAATTAACTTATATGCATTATCTTTATTTACAACAAACAACTTGCATCCACTGTATTCAATTCTTTTTTTCCCCCCCTTTTTTCCAGAGGAAAAAAATCTTTGAACAAGTGAATAAAAACTCTTGATTCAGAAAATTTAGATCAATTCTATATAAAGATTTCACATCTTGATCTATAAACTTTTAGTAACAGTTCACCAATATATCTAAAAAACTTTCAAAACATTAATTCATAGTAAGTGGATATCTACCGATTATACTGAAATATATCGATGTTAAATGTAAGCAGAATAATTCAAAAATTTTTCCAAAGTTTCAATGACTTAACCAGGTAATAAATGACAGATTGGGATTACCTGAAGGTCTGTATTGAGGACCATAATTTTTTCTGTTGATACAAAAAGGTCAACTGCAGTACTTGGCTGATTTTCACCCTCAGGGGCCTAGAGGGAAAAACAAATTAAAAAATTAATAATCCACACACAGTATCACCTCTGTTCTCATCAAATTATGCAAAACAAAAAAACGATCCATGTTTCCAGGGCATAGTTCACTTCAGCTCTAAATATATCAGCATATTTTTTATTAGACTATAAATAAAACCTTTAACGAATCAATCAACATGTTGAAATCCTGATCAATATTTCTATATTATTTTAATTAGCCACTGACATTATCTGTTGCAAGACTCAGATTCTAATTTAACATTGAATAATAATTCTAACACCAATGTGTTTGACAATTTTTTATCACAAAGCTATTAAAACTAATAGAGTCATATTTAATATGGTCATTTAAAGCACAACTTTAAATTAAATTTATACCTGTGGGAAATTAAATTTAAAACACAATAAAAACAACTTCATTCAATATACATGATACATGTTTCTCATGAAGCATCATTTTCAATAGGTGTGCATGATAATATTTAATTTGAGAGAACTGGAAAAAAATACATTATCAATACACATATAATTGTATAATTCTGAAAGTCAATGCTCATACAACTTTGCTATTAATTTAAATACAAGTTCAGTGATACAAAATTATAATTTTTCAATAATCTAAATTCATGACAGAAACTATAATCAATGAAGAGACTTGTTAGCCCTTAAGGAAATCATCAATTGTTCTAGGTGTTTGAGTTTGAAAATTTATACTATAAAGCAGTGAAAAGAGCTCTGTATTTGATTCATGATGTACAATCAACTCTATAATGCTGACTTGGTACAATTTACTTCTGCTTCTTCAAGCAGTTTATACTTAATGTATTTCAGCTAAAATGTATTAACAAGCATTTTCTTAATTAGCTGATAAAGCACAGTTGAGTATTTGCTAGGATACATCCAATACACATCCAATAAACAAAAACACCAGTGTTAAACACTAAACATGTAACTAGTGTCCATTATACTGATCCTCACTTCAGTGAAAACCACTTTATATCGGGTGTCATTTATCAGGAGAAAATGTCTATGCTCCAAAGTAAACTCTCTGATGTACCAAACTTTTAACAAAAATTGTTTTAAGAACAACAAAAATTGTGTTTTGCTTTTTTATCTGAAGCACAGTGATTTTCTGAACTTTTGCCTGTTTCATTCTTTGAAATATATAACCTGCAACCATAAATTAATGCGACAATCATGTCTAATTCGTGTGCGACATTATGCGCCATCAGCTGATATTTTGCTGCAGAATTTATTCCACTGTTATTGTAAAGGGCCACATAATACAGCTTCATTGTGCAGTTACATATACATGAGTATAAATCTCTGTGACTTTAATTAATTCAAGCTCTGAAGATTGTTTTCTTCGAACCATTGTCAACAAATTTAACCTACCAAGTGATGAACTGTTCATCTTTACAATGCCAATGTGTGTAACACAAGTGGTTATTTTTAAGGGCCAATCAGATGTTGTGAAACATGGCATAGGGAAAACTGGGTTTGAGAACAGAATTCTTTCTGTCACTTCTACCACTGCTCATTAGATTTAAAAGAATGATTGACTTAATAAAAGATAAAAACATTAACATTCTGATATTGTGACTGAAAAATTGCCTTTTTAATCACCTGGACAGAATTGTTTGGGAAAGATAAATATAATCAGCAAAGAGATACTGTATGCATCTCTCAAGGAGAGGGCTTTCAAAGGCTATGCCTGTTGCCTATTTCCTTTTGTCAGTAAAATTATGACAATAAAATATTCTGAAATGTGAAAGATCTAAGCAGTTCTGTGAGGTTTTTGTGCAATGTGTGAGAATTTTCTCTATCCAATTAATCCAAACTTTGTTTCATGAAACATGAAATTCAAATATGTTATTAAAAATCTTTTGTTTTCTATCAAAAGTGGGTTCACCAAAATTGACGGATAGCAAATTTTGTAACAAAAGACATTCATTATTTTAAAGTCAGTATTAAAATAAATTTTGCTTAATTCAAAACAATAGAGAACTGAAATCTATATTTTTAAAATATCAATTTTTGAAGTGGTGATTAGAGTAATGAAATAAATTCTTTACCAACTTAAGGAGGTATGCTACCTCTCTCTGATGTTTTGTTTCTAAAGAGTTCTACTACATTTCCTAAGCAATACCTAATTGTGTTTACTTTATATAACACATATCACAATACAAATATCATCACAACACATTTTAAATTATGTAAATCCGAATGTAGTAAAACTCCAATGTGAAGTAGACAATAAACAATAAAATGAACATGGATTATATTTTGCAGTAATGTACAGAGTTTTAAATCACTATTTCTCAACTATACCTAATTTAAAATTTATATTGTAAGGTGCTATTGTGTTTCTTTTGAACACTCATCTAAGTGGTCGTAGCATGAAACTTACATCCACAACAATTTGGGGCTTTGATAATAAAAGCACTCTACCTTATAAAAGAGTAGAAAATAGGATTTACAAAGAAAATGATGTGGTGCAAGATATTACAAGTTTGATTTTTAAAAATCGAACTGCAAATGATTTGTGTTTAAGCAAAAACAAAAATTATCATTAAACATTTTAAAATGCACAATCATAGCAAATTAAATGTTTAAGAATATCTGGTGTAGAAGCAAATAAATCAAAGTGAAGTTAACAAGAAAGACATCCAAGAAGGATCTTGGCAACCACCATTGTTTCATCTTTTATTTGCTCTGTTCTTTCTTCTGCTTTACTATTAATTATATGATGTTTGAAAATTCCAGTAAGAAGTAGGGATAATAATCTTTCACTGTCAGATCAAAGATGGCTACTTGCAGGCCATTTTGCTTTCCTAATCTGCCCTAAATGAAAACGGCACAACTTGGAGACCAAGCTGAACTACCTGTGAACTCTGAGAAAGATCCATCAAGTACATTTCACGAACACGTGATAAAAAACTTCCCTTATCTAATTCAAAGATGGTTGCCTGTCAGCCATTTTGTTTTTCCGATCAGTCCCAAAATCAAGGAACTAAAAAACAGTGTGAACCTGCTTGTAATATCTTAGAAAGATCCATTTTGTAGTTCTCAACGACGACGGTTCATGGATGTAGGGCAACTTGAATAGTCTACCATCTGCATGATGATGGTTATATAAAAAACAGCCTAACAAAATTATGGTAATACCAATTTGGTAAAATGAAGATTCTAAGAATCAAGGATTTAAGTCTGTATATCTACCGCACATGTAATTTCCATCAAACTTTTACATTTTCACTCACTTTTACCATGTTGAAATTTTAAGGAACGAATGATATAAATAGACCTTAGTCTTGATTAATTTCTGTACTGTAAAATGTTGTTCCAAAATATTGCACCTTTTTTTCAATTATCTGAAATTCAGCACAATCAAGTTTTCGCATATTATCACTTTATGGCAAATTAGTGCAATGACGAATTTGCACAATCACATTTTTTCTATCAACAAAACAAAAAAATGCATTTAGAAAAATTATATTTGAGCATAATCACTAAAATAAGATTACCATTGAAATTTGTATGTTTGCAGTATATAAACCAGTAGACAACACTATGAAAATGTCATATCTTTTGATAAGATTGCAACATTAGTATTAAGCAAGAGCACATTGCTACTGAAATCCTAAGAAACTTTGAGAATAGAAATTTTTTTCTACAAAAAAGCTGATACTACAATAAAATGGCGTGTTGGCAATATCATTATGGTGTTCATACATAATATCACGATCCAGCACACAACAGATAAGCAATTTTGACTAGGTCATTACGGAAAAGGTTGGAAAGTGAATGGATAGATGAAATAATGTATTACTATTTTGGTGTCAAACCTTTATACACTATCAAAATCTGCCATCTCCTACCTTTCCTTTTACCTATCTTTTGTTTTCAAAATTTCAAAATCCAGAAAATATTCAGAATTGCTTTTCATTATATAAGAAGGAAAGCTTTCATTTTCATCATACTGACTAACTTGGAAGCCCTTAAAGATATGTTCACTCTCACATCAAATACAAAACATATCCACAAACATTCTTCAACTGCAATCAACTTTTAGAAGAAACAAATTCTGGCATTCTTACTTAAACGCAATAAAGTGTATAAAAGTGGTTTATACGTTACATTTTGAAGCATGTAAACATTGCGGAACTACTGAATGGAAGCATTTTTACAAGCAGCCAACTAGGAATAACAACAAGATGGATGAAACGGGCACCTGTTTAACGGGATTATCTCCTCCTGGATCACTGTCTGTCTGATTGTCCGCCTTAGCAGCGGCCTAAAATAAAACTTACTTGTTACTATATCTGTCCGACTGTCTGTTTTAATTTTAGCAGCATCCTTACACAATTTGTCAAAACATCCTGACCCTAATGATGACACTCCATTTGGTAAAAGTTTCATAGATGTTTAGAGAGTCTTCACAAATTTACTTTACAAACATAAATCTATTTCATGAGTGCAAGTTTTAATCTTGAAATTAGCAGTGATCTTGAATTCCCAAATACCAGTGGTGTTGTTAAAGACATAACCACAGGTCTAGATCAAGTGTTACATTTCTTTTGGGACAATCTGTTTATATGTTTCAACAGTATTGCTCTGACGAAACAATTACATGTTCTTTGACCACTCACTATACCTTAAATCATCATACAAGCAAATCACATGGTATGCCCAAACCCAAATATTAAAACTGAATAGTCAAAGAAAACAGCCACAAGAGGAGGAAGTAGAGGATGTGTATAGACTATTGTAGTGTCTCTTAGATCAATATTAAGAGAACACCAGCCCTATTAGCACAGCTATAAATAAAAGAAAAAGCTAGATAGGCCTCTGTGAATGTCCATCTTGGGAATGATATATAAATAAAAGTCAGTCTCATTCACACAAACATCCCGTGACATCTACTTTCATGATTACACAATTCCTTTCCTATTTTTCCAGAATATTCCCACTCAAGACTTATATATTTCATGCTTTGTTTTTTCTTAAGATTTAATGAGACAAAACGTCAACTTCACTCAGACGCCCTTCGACTGTTTTTCAATAAATTTTTACTACCTTTGGATCACCCACATGAGAGATGTGTCTGACAATCCTATAATTGTCCATTAATTTCTATCACCTCGAAGATATACCAATCTCCTTGTCTAAAATGTTTCTTAAATTATACTAATTGTGGAGAAGCAGTTTAAGTGTCATTCCCTGGTGGACAATATTTTTGGAATAGCATGTGTCCTTATTTTGTAGTGAGATATAACTCTGCAATACACATTCAGACATTCACATTGAATGAATTCTGTTACCACTTGAAATTTACATAAAAGGGACATCACTGTGAAAATACATCAACCCATTCTAAATGTTCAATCTGACTACTGAAATTGTTTGAGAAAGTCCTCTCAAATATACTTTCAATAAGAGCACAAAATAAATTTCAAAATGAGGAAGTCACATTTGTAGAAAAGAGATCCCAGAGGGATCTTGGTGCCCACCATAGTATTTACTATTCTTTAAAAATTCAATATTTTCTTTTTTTTTCAATCAAATCCTTTGTCATTGTTCTTCAGAATATCAAATTTGAAAAATCCCAGAATCAATATGGATAACTTAAATTGTCCAATCTAAGATGGTTAACTGTCAGCAAATTTGTTTTTCTGATCAGTAAAAAAAAAAACAAAAAAAAAAGGGGGGGGGGGCCCCACATCATATAAACTTGTGAAGGCTCCTACAAGTTCTACTCATGAAACAGCAATAACAAACTTTTGCTGTCAAAATCCCAGATTGCTGCCTGTCTGAATATTCCCAAAATCAAAATGGCTCATTTAAGGACCAAGGGGGAACCTACATATCAAAATGGGGAAAAAATTTAAGGTCAAGTGATGTCTCTTTTACATTTTTAAATCTTAAACACTTTCATTTTGTTAGTTTAACAAATTGTCAAAGGATCAATAAACAGCTTGAAAATTTCATGTTTTGTGGTCTCCAAAATATATGAACTCTGTGGTAGCCGCAAAAAAATCTTAAAATGGGAAAGCATTAATATAATGATATTTTAGAATTTTCATTTTTTTTTTTAATTTCACCCATCGTAATTAAAATATTCTGAAGGAAGGAAACTTGAAATTATATGAATTGCAGAAGTTCAAGGGGTTTTTTTTGTAATAGAGGTTCTGTTTCAAAATTTTCCTTTTCAACACAACTTTTCATTGACACTTCTTGCTCACAAACTTCATCAGCTGTCTAGACCAACTGAGAAATAGTAGTTTTTATATACAGTCTGTTTAAAAAATATTGATGTACAATCATATTGGTAAGCAATAAGTCATCACGCAGTAACACAGTCTTTGTTTTATCACATGTACATGTTGAATATGTTGAATATCAAATTTAACATCTGATAGAACTTGTTATCAACAACATCAATATACAGACATGTATTACAAACAACACACATAGTATACAGTTACAACAATCATACAAAAAGAAACAAACAAACAAAATTTAAATTCTTGAAAATAAATCAACAAAATAACAAGATTTTGCAAATTAGAAAAAACGATGTGATTCCAACTGAAGCTTAAGACTACCATACAGATGGTCGACAGAGGCAAACCCATACATAAGTAGATCTGTGTTAGGTTACCTGTACCAGGTGACCAACACAAAGGTAATATGTGCATCAGGTAAACCTATAAATACCTGAAATTTTTCACCAAAATGTAGTGCACCAAGTGTCTGCAAAAATAAGTCGTAACCTGTCAGCGTAAATTATACAACATCTACCATCAATTTTCATTCTCATCACAAGAATAATAAATTACCAAAAACAGGTAAAGAAAGCAGCCAACAAAACTAAGATATCTTATCCTAATAACTGATCAAGTTCTATGATATTGTAGCAATCATTCTTGATGGCCCTGATGGAAGTATGCAAGCTATTGCGACTAAGTCAGACTACTCTACATGATATGCTTTGAGGTCCAATTAGGGATGCTAGTGTACTATTGACTATATCGTTAGTAGTGTAATGTACTTACCAAAGTAAGTCACATCTTACAAATAAACTTGTTTCACAAATCAAACTTTCTACACACATCCCACACACTATGATATGGAAGTTTCTGTCTCTAAATCTATCTCCTAGTGCATCAAATCAGTTAAAAATATTTCTTAATTTAATTTCACCAAAAGTATAAATAAAAGTAATATCAAACTTGGATTTCAGTCTCACACTTTTCAAATGAATCCTTCAAATGTCAAAACTATCAAATCTCATCTAAACTCGGAATGTTGAGAGAAGAAGTGAAATGCCATTGAACAACTGCTGAAAGCCTCAAGTTCTCATTGATTTTAGAATTTAAATACTTTTTTCTATGATAACACAAAAGATTTAATGACATGTCATTAAATGAAGAAACCATTGCACGTTGAAATTTTTTTTCTCTCTCGGGAATTTGTTGGAGCCAATGACATATAAATTTTCAATTATTTTTAAGGTGTTTCCCCTTGCCTAGATTTATGACAGCCTTGTTCGTTGAAAAAGGTGGGGTAAAATGTCAGTTGTTTCCTCTTGGGGACTCTCATCACTAATCAACGACAGTTGATCCTACCAGTAATTACCATCATGAAATCAAATTTCAAATTTAAACAAGACAGCTGTGGGTTTTAATTATCTGACATTATGATGATTTTGTCACGACACTTTTCTTTCATGCCTGTACATTACATCAGTTCAATTTACATTCAACTAATTTTGCAGTGAAACACATGACCTTTGAACCTATAAAACAGCATTAGACTTTTGCCAAATAAGTGTATAGCAATGAGAAAAAAATTGACACTTGTGCTTGGTAATCATCTTTTGTCTGTAGAATTTTACCCCCCATGCCTAGTCAACACTCAAAACTTAGAGCCAAACCTATGATTTATGATCTTTGACCTTCAAATTGAAAAGCATGTATCCTTACTGAAGTGGAACATAAGCAGAACAAAGTGTTATAATAACTCATATTCATGCTCAATATCAAATCAGGTACAATTCAGCATAAAAAAATGAGGTCTTTGAGGGAAAATTTTCAGTTTTCATAAAGATATTTTCATGCAACTGTGTCACTGAAAAAACCCAAACCTGTCCATATCAGACGAAGATCTCTCACAAAAACAAAACAATCAAATCAACTATTTGGTGATCCATTTTACCACATCAACCTACAATACCAAGCAGTCAGACATTATCTCTGTACACATCTTAAAATACTGTCACACAGAGAACAGTCATGCAGTGAAATGCCAAAAGTCTTTCCTGTTTTTTTTAAAAATTATTCTATGATATATTCTTTATATAATTTTTAAAACTTAATCAAATAATTTTCCTGACTTCATTTTTGAATAGATTTGGACAATATGTGGCCATTTCGTTAAATAAAATCCATATTTTCTTCTCATAATATCCAACAAATTTTGCATTATTTATTTCAGGAGTAATGAAAAATTATCTACACTTCTGATTTCCATGTCACACCATACGCTTACCAAAATGGTTATTTCATTTCCAAAACGGTACCCGAATATCCCATGTTGTAAATAATTATTATTACCCTGGTCATACACGATGGAAAACAATTGAAATATTAGGAGATAAAGCAGGAAACAATTATCTACAAAATTTCATTAAAAATGATTCATAAATCAAGTCAGGAAAATTCAATGAAAAAGGATAGAAATATGAAGAATATATAGTAGAACAAAAAAGTATGAAAACCTTATGGCACGTCACTGTATATTAAGCCAACCCACTCAAGTCAACCCCATGTTTAGACTACAATCAGTGACTTACCCAAATGACTTGTCAGGTTATGAAATAACATGTTTTTCCTTCAAGATGATATGCTTTCAGTCACCTCAAGATTTACCTGTGTTAAATGCTTTTGAAAGCAGCCTCGCTTCACCTGATTCTTGTTGTCTATACACCTACATACCCTGTGATCAAGTGTCATATTGAGCAATACAAGGATATTAGACATGACCTAATGAATGGGGACAGATCGACTTTTTGGCATCAAAGATGAGTAGTTTTCCGCTAAGATATTCTTATAATTTAGTTGATAGTTTGATTTATTTTGAAGACGTAGATGTTTGCCATCGTAAGAAATCACTGAAGCATTGCACAATGAAGAAGTAAGATACCTTCTTGTTCAAGTAAATGTACTTCGGAAATTGGAATTATTCTACTCTATTGGTGTCTTAATTACACTTGACTAAGGTATATCGAAATGTGCATCAATATGCAGTTAATAAAATTGCTGCTACATATATCCTTGTAAGAAAACAGCAGCCAATGTAACAGTGCAAGTCATTGCCCAATATGGACATTATTCACAAGACATTCTGAATTGTAACCGTAATCATGTAAGTTTTCAAGCTTTGTGACAAGATTTTTAATGATTATTTTGGAAATGTGATTAGAAGTAGGTGTAGCAGAATAAAGACAAACTGAAAAGGGGGGAAGGAGCCAACGCCAGTCCAGTAATTAAGATAGGATCCTCAGGTTGGTGAGGTTAAGTAGGTGGAATACTTTTATTCTTGCCAACCAGTTTCGTCAGTTATGAGCCGTAACTGGACAAAAACCAGTCGGCAAGCTGGTTGATGTTGAGTTCACTTCTACTATGATGTTTTAAGAATAAAGACAAAGTATTAATTTTAATGATTTCTTCCATGCTATAACAGTCTTGGGTCTCTTTTTCTTCTAAAAAACCATGTATGTCCCACTCCTCCTTGGACTGAAACAATACAGTCTGTATACTTTGTCAACTGATCACAGCAGAGCACAAATAAGATCAGATCAACCTTTATTTTCAAACAAAACAACAAGACATACACAATGTCATCTATCTAAATTTCACGACTTAGACCAGTTCTATAACATTTGTGGAATAAGTCAAAGGGCCTTGCTGTTCCCCCGTTAGTCTATCCAGACTTAACTTGGACAGGTTTTGTTTGCACAGTGACACATACATTGGGGGGTAACATACAACACTTAAAACAATACATAAACTTACCGATGCCTGTCAACAGGTTAGCATGGGAAATAAAGGCAAGCAGAATTATTAAGATAGAAAGCTAACCATACCACACACTACTGATGCCTGGGACAGTGGGTGATGCTATGCTAAGGTTTGTGCAATCAGTCAAAACACATTAGCGACTAAGAATGTATGATATTAGAAAGATGAGATATTCTGCATATTATCTTTTGAATTTCAACATTTACTCATTTATTCACTCATTTTCTATTAAATGTTCACAAAAAAACATAAAGGCTCACTTAGTGTTCATTTGTAAGTATAACTATCATCAAATAATTTGCACATGAAGACTTTCAGACTGTCTAGTGTTAGCACTTGGTTGTCCAAGGCTGATGACTTCATTCAGCCATTAATTCCTGTATCTAATTGCTCGTAATACATAATTAGTAATAATCTCCACCGTTTCTGTTTAATGCTGCTGGTCAGCAGAATAAAAACAAAATAAATGCTTTTTCATTTCCATGTACTTTTCAAGTAAGGAACGATGCACCAAAAGCTTTGTGCACACAAAGATCGTCCACACATCATGCTTGACATCTTCTGCACACTGTCCGCACACATGCACCATATAGTGTCTAGCCTATAACTGTGCAATAAAATGGCACATGTGCTGTTTGGTAAAAATGGTTGATTGATATTATGGATTGAAAATTAAACAGAAATCTGTTTAGTTATGACTAAATAGCAATCATAGGCATAACAAATTTTATTGTTACTTATAAAAGCTAGATCAAATTCAACAATTTTTTAAATAACACTGGACCAAGCATCTATCGGTCTTTCTAGAGTACAGTTTGATACCTCACAGAGCCTTGAATGGTGTGCATTGGGCAACAGAAATTTTGTATATATGGGTATACACTCGACAGGTCTGGATTTGTACCGGCCATGTAACACTAACATGATACTTAGAATTCATCTGAGTATATATTTCTTGTTTACAAAATGATAGAAAAGTGAGAGTAATGAGAAAATTAGCATAAATTGGAGTTTCTTGAAATTTTCTAAGTCCAGGCAACATAACTTTGGAATACATAAGACAATCAGAAGCAGTAGTAATGCCCATCTATATTTTTGAAAAAAAAAACAAAAGATAAAAAATAAGTACAACAGATAACAAGAAACTGAAGACTCTTCAGTATGATAAACAGTGATGATTGATCAAATGACTAAAGATGGACATCATTCTCAACATCTGTTAGGAAGCTGTCTTTAGTTGTACCAAGCCACCAACACCAAACACCATGTGCAGAAAAAATAAATATGACTAAATACTGTATCAGTATATATCACAAGACTGTATGTTTGGTTTCCAGTGGCTAACTACATATGCTGGAGTCACTGCTAGCTATAATTGATCACTTGAGACACTTTCATCAGATACTGTTTAACAGCCTGGTGACTGTTGGTCTGTCATCTCATTTTATTCAAGCTCTGTGTTATGTTGAAAACCCTACAGCTCCTCTGAAATGCTCTTATTACTGGCGAAGTATCATTGAACAACACAAAGCCTCAACCTACTGAACTCCTCGTGTAACTTTTCACGGTATGTCATATTTTTTTTCCTTTATAGCTGTTGATAAACATTCATTGTACTGAACTTGCAGCGGTAATATGATATAAATAATAATGTAAAATCTATATGTTCATACCAATAATAACAAAATATAAATCATCAATCATATGTCTGACACTTATTTGGTCAGGGTTTTAGCAGTAGTATACAAAGAAGTGATAATTCCAAAGCTATACACTATTATATTACATATGAAGTAAATAAGAAGGATTTAAAAATAGTTTTTAAAAATATGGCCTATGCATTAATTCTTACAATAAGCGCTTTCGGGGTGGCCGTTGCTCATTAAACCAGGCAATACAACTGTTATCAAAGAAAAGATACCTACATATATTCTTTTCTAAATACATAATTAAATTCATTCTGCCTCATTTACCAGGAAAATACATAAAAAAAAACATAATTTTTCCCTAGAAATATACATAAACATTCAGCTGAACACCAACTTCAAACACAGAAACAATTTGTTGTAAGTTGTGCCATACTTACATTATGTAAACATTCAAATAATCAAAATGTAAAAAATGTGAGAAAAACATGTACATGTATCCATTTTTTGTCAGGGTCTACAACAAAAGTCAACAACTCAGCTGTTATCATAGACTTTCACAATGAGTTTTCTGTCTGTTGCAGGCTGTATCACTTCACAACAGCTCCTAGTTTACATAGAAGTTGCTACAATATCTAGGGAAATAGTCTCTTACTTAAATCAGCAAGATTTCATTTCTTTTTTTTCCCCTTCTAATCTGATATCTAGTATTTATTAAGTAATGTGACATGTGGCACCTTTTTAGTTTGGAAAATAAAGTTTTCTTCATAAATATGTGGAGAAATTTGTCTCCAGAAAAGATGTAAAATTAATCATGTATATGAAATTGGTTTCATCATTAAAGAAACTTAATTGGCTTATCTAAATTCTCTGGTTTACACATCTGAAAATAAAAATATCAGATTTAAGCAAAGAGAACTATTTTCTAATCAAAAGCAGCCAACCTCTTTTAAATGATATCAAACACCATTCTGACCTTGATTCTGCCAACAGCTTCCTGAGCTTGCATCATGCGAAGAGCCTTGGATGGCTGCCCTTCGGAGATCAGCTGGGTTGATCCCAGGTATTTGGCACGAAACAGGACGCCCTCTATCAAGACTTCAGAGTTGTCAGGATCACGCAGGGAAACTGTGGCAGAATATAGACAATTTAGAGGACAGTCAATTAAATACTTAAACAATTTACATTTATGTACCTTCTTTATCAGAATCATAAGCCCACATCTGGTATTAAGCCGCATCATTGCTGTGTTCAGTTTGTTCAGTAAGAAGCCCACCCCCAGGCTACAAGAGAGAATTTGTCCGCCCCTTGTGTCTCAAAATAAAAAGGGTATGATTGGAACATTAGCTTGTTATATGATGCCAGACACCTAAAAAGCTCTACAACAAGTATTAACATCTCTAAGGCAACAACAAATTATCTCCGGATCAAACTAACACGAATACATATTCGCAAAAATTGGTGAATGACAGAAAAACATGAAAACAGAATCTTTTAAAACAAACAGGTCCGACTGACTTTGTGTATGTTCAATTATGATGATGTATCTTTCTTAAAACCAACTGAAGAATGAGGAGATACACTGATGTCATCTACCTTACACATGTGTAAGTACTGCAGGATTTTATGGAAACAGACATTATATGTTAATAGAATTCTACATTTAAAAAATAAATTGACATGACCTCAAGATATATCAGATCAAGACATCGTTAAAACAAATATTAATGGGTGCAGAACAGGCCACTCACAGAGAGTCACACAGCTAATTTGTATGTTTATATCGATTTTGGAACTTCTGTGACATGGGGTGCAAACATTGCTGATATTAAGCTGGAATCCACTTTTAAACAATTTAAACTTCCATTATCGTTTTTTTCCTCAACAGATTAGGACCTAATTTCTTTATTGTTTTAATGAAGAGAATTCTGTGAAGCCCTGGCTCCCACTTTGATTGCCAATGTAGTAATAGTATGAAGCACGTCAGACTTGGAATGAATTGAAAATTTATCATTTCTGTAGCTCTATATACTAAACAAAAAATTAGGACATTCATGCAAAATCCAACATCCTGAAGCTGTTTTTTGATTGGGTATAACTGAGACACATCCTGAAGCTGTTTTTTGATTGGGTATAATTGAGACATATCCTGAAGCCATTTTTTGATTGGGTATCACAGAGACACATCCTGAAGCTGTTTTTTGATTGGGTATAACAGAGACACATCCTGAAGCTGTTTTTTGATTGGGTATAATTGAAACACATTTTGAGGCTGTTTTTTGATTGGGTATAATTGAGACACGTCCTGAAGCCATTTTTTGATTGGGTATAACAGAGACACATTCTGAAGCTGTTTTTTGATTGGGTATAACAGAGACACATCCTGAAGCTGTTTTTGATTGGGTATAATTGAGACAATGCCAAAGTCTAACAAAAATTTGAGGGATGGACAGACAGATGGATAACAGGACAGTTCATAGGTGAAGGGGGTATACACATGTGTTGATGAATGTCCAAAATATGTTTGTTTCTGTCATACATTTTGAGGATGGATATATCTTCATTGAACAAAAAACATTGAACGTGTTCTAATTAACAAGGTAGACAACTGTTTCTTAGAAGTAACATTCAACACAAGAACTGTTCATTCATAATTAGATATTAACCCAATATTTCATTCATTTATTTCATAAGAATTAGTATACGATTCAAACATAAAAAAAAAACAAAGAACCTGATTAATGATAATATGTAAAATAATCCAATTTCTATGTACATAAACAGCATTACATGATGTAAATTCTATTTATTCATTCATAAGCAAATGAAAATTATCTATAGGACTATTGATGCAAGGACATAAAACTGTCTTGAAACACTTTCTTCTTGTAATTACCTACTGTGATATGGAGCCAGAAATCTGGAAATAACAACATGTGTGAATGGCACTTGCCCTGGTCAATCATTCCCTCTCCTACTGTCTAACCCTCTGTAGTGCCATGCACAGATATATGGAATTTCTTGGCATCCATAAACCCTTTGGCAAGCAATTTCCCAGAATTCATGAAAATACTTTTTCTATTTACTCAAAGTCATTCCTGAGAAAAACATGATAAAAGGTTTCCTGATTCCAGAATCCACTTAAGATTAGGTGCCGACAGCTAAATACTCGCTAGTAATATTTTTTCTTTCCTTTGATGATAGTTGTTTACTGCTGAGTTTCAACAGTCTAAAATGTCAGTGATCTTTGTTTTTACAAGTGACAATTTCATCTTTTAATTTTGATAAGTGAAGTAACCCTTGCCACTTAAGTAACTAAACATTTATGCAGAAAAAGTTGACAATCAATACAAACTCTCGGTGATATAAAGTATCTTTAAGAAAATAGAACTACAGACTGAATCAAGTCCAAAAAAAAACAACTTGTGGATGCATCGAGTGATTTTATACAAACTGGCAGCCAGTTAGAACACCACAGATTGTGTGTAAACTGACCACTAATCAAAACCATAGACAGTATAACAAAAATGATAACCGATGATAAAAACTGAAGATTTTTAAACAAACTAATGGATTTAGAGGATTTTAAAGTATCAGTAACAGTGAATGTACAGAAATGGTAATCTCTGATCTTACATCATAAATTTTCTTTTATTAAAGACCATGCCATATTCCTTAATTATCACTACAAGAAACTTTTCTCTTACCCTGTTCTATATAATTTATATTTCCCACTTTATTCACATTCTTATTTTAGAATTTGTATCCACAGGGCAATACATCATTGATGCTGATTTCCTGTCACAGGGTTTTCTATATATACATACATGGATCAATAAATAGTCGGTAGGATAGATGACAGTATCCCAGACAACAAGGTATGTCAGGTCGCTATTTGGTCTGTCTCTGTGAAATATCTGTAGCAAGGGACAATGGTATAAACAGTTTTTGCTCTCTTTCTTACAAGCACTGTCAGCGTCTGTAAGACATCTTAATCTGGGTCACATTGGCTGGTACTCAATGACATTACTAACTTAATTTGACCAATCACAAGTTTTGTCTAATAGCATTAGATGTGATGATATGTCAGGCAAATGTAAATGATTATAAGGTGTTATTAAAATTATGAGAACCTGAGATGTTTTTTAACAGTGAAACAAAAAGTACCAAAAGTAGTCATTATTATCACCGAGGTTTTTTGTCATTAGCTTCTGAACAAATCATATTTGGGGTTCTTTTTTACAAGGGAGGTTGGAGGGGTGGGGATGAAGGGGAAGATAATATTTAAAATGTAATGATTATTAATATAATATGATCTGATTAGTTTAGATTACAGTGTTAGTATTGCCATTTCCATACTTCCTTTTCACAAAACTGGCAAGCCAGATAAGGCAGATACCAATTTGTACTACGAAAAATTTCAAATGACAAATAATTGAAAATTGAGTATATTTTCTCATATAAGTAAATATATACACCTGTACTGTAACAAATGTAACATGTTATATATCTGCTCGTTTAAACCAGCTCATATTGCAATCTGTCTTCAAGGAAACATGATTTGTTTTATTTAAATTTCTTACTGTTGGTCAAATTATTTAGGACAAAACCGATTTTATCTTAAGATTTTAATCTGATCCAAGAGAGGAGAAAAGGTTTCCTTTCAGTGCTACTCCGTAAAGCAATCAAGTAGGATAAAGGTTTTGAGTATAATCATATTATCATACATTGACAAGGAATCATGGAAAACAGAACTTAGGTTTAGGTTACAACTAATCATGGGGGAAAAATAAACCACCACTGATATCAAAAAACCTCAACCAAATGGATTAGTTACTATTTACTTATCTGGCCTATCACAACATCCTACAACAGGGTTTTAAATCACACTTTATACTGCAATGATTTAGAAAAAAAATTGTATAAATGTTTTTCAATTTAAACATTCCCCACATTAAAAATCATTACAATCAAATATATGTCTAGGGTTTTAAAATGAAGTCAATTTCTGAAAAAAAAAAAAATTACCTGATAACTTAATTAACACATTTCCTTAACTATAAAACAGTTCATTTAGCTTCATATAAGAAGCAAGCTACCTGCTATATTAAATCGTTATAAAGTACAAAGAACTTCATTGATTGTTTTTATAATTACATACGGAGACCACAAAACATATTGTATTTTGTATTACAATATTTCTACAACATATTCACAGAGCATCCTTTATTCTAATTAAGTGTGACCACAGAATACATACAGTCATGACCAACCTAACTCTAAATATCCCATGTTTATACATTATAGAAGACATAGCAAACAAAATATTCCTGACATAATGAATCCTGTATTCTTCACTTTTGGTAAGACAAGTTTATATTAATGAAAAAAAATGAATATAACAAACTAACATTACTTTCATAAGAACAACTCTGAATCACCATGACTTTACTCAGATGTCTCCATGCTACAGATTACCCATCTTAAGGAAAATACAAAAAAGTCATAATAAATGTAGAATATTACAGGGACCTCAATCATCATCTACTATCAAGGACCACAAAAATGATATATTACAGGGACCTCAATCATCATCTACTATCAAGGACCACAAAAATGATATATTACAGGGACCTCAATCATCATCTACTATCAAGGACCACAAAAATGATATATTACAGGGACCTCAATCATCACCTACTATCAAGGACCACAAAAATGATATATTACAGGGACCTCAAACATCATCTACTATCAAGGACCACAAAAATGATATATTACAGGGACCTCAAACATCATCTACTAACAAGGACCACAAAAATGATATATTACAGGGACCTCAAACATCATCTACTAACAAGGACCACAAAAATGATATATTACAGGGACCTCAAACATCATCTACTATCAAGGACCACAAAAATGATATATTACAGGGACCTCAATCATCACCTACTATCAAGGACCACAAAAATGATATATTACAGGGACCTCAAACATCATCTACTATCAAGGACCACAAAAATGATATATTACAGGGACCTTAATCATCACCTACTATCAAGGACCACAAAAATGATATATTACAGGGACCTCAATCATCATCTACTATCAAGGACCACAAAAATGATATATTACAGGGACCTCAATCATCATCTACTATCAAGGACCACAAAAATGATATATTACAGGGACCTCAATCATCACCTACTAACAAGGACCACAAAAATGATATATTACAGGGACCTCAATCATCACCTACTATCATGGACCACAAAAATGATATATTACAGGGACCTTAAAATCATCATCTACTATCATGGACCACAAAAATGATATATTACAGGGACCTCAAACATCATCTACTATCAAGGACCACAAAAATGATATATTACAGGGACCTCAATCATCATCTACTAACAAGGACCACAAAAATGATATATTACAGGGACCTCAATCATCATCTACTATTAAGGACCACAAAAATGATATATTACAGGGACCTCAATCATCATCTACTATTACCACAAAAATGGACCACAAAAATGATATATTACAGGGACCTCAATCATCATCTACTATCAAGGACCACAAAAATGATATATTACAGGGACCTCAAACATCATCTACTATCAAGGACCACAAAAATGATATATTACAGGGACCTTAAAATCATCATCTACTATTAAGGACCACAAAAATGATATATTACAGGGACCTCAATCATCATCTACTATTAAGGACCACAAAAATGATATATTACAGGGACCTCAATCATCATCTACTAACAAGGACCACAAAAATGATATATTACAGGGACCTCAATCATCATCTACTATCAAGGACCACAAAAATGATATATTACAGGGACCTCAAACATCATCTACTATCATGGACCACAAAAATGATATATTACAGGGACCTCAATCATCACCTACTATCAAGGACCACAAAAATGATATATTACAGGGACCTCAATCATCATCTACTATTAAGGACCACAAAAATGATATATTACAGGGACCTCAAACATCATCTACTAACAAGGACCACAAAAATGATATATTACAGGGACCTCAATCATCATCTACTATTAAGGACCACAAAAATGATATATTACAGGGACCTCAATCATCATCTACTATCAAGGACCACAAAAATGATATATTACAGGGACCTCAATCATCATCTACTATTAAGGACCACAAAAATGATATATTACAGGGACCTTAAAATCATCATCTACTATCAAGGACCACAAAAATGATATATTACAGGGACCTTAAAATCATCATCTACTATTAAGGACCACAAAAATGATATATTACAGGGACCAAAAACTCAACAGCTAAAATAAAGGACCACAAAAATGATATATTACTCAGGACCACAAAAATGATATATTACAGGGACCTCAAACATCATCTACTATCATGGACCACAAAAATGATATATTACAGGGACCTCAATCATCATCTACTATTAAGGACCACAAAAATGATATATTACAGGGACCTCAAACATCATCTACTATCAAGAACCACAAAAATGATATATTACAGGGACCTCAAACATCATCTACTATCAAGAACCACAAAAATGATATGTTCAGACCTATTATAGAATCTCTTTTTCATTTTTTTTTTAACAACCAACTAAAAAGTTCAAAACACCAAAGACCAAACTAGTGAAATGTATAATATACCATTACAGTTTGATGTTTAGGCACTGCCTTAGTTGGATAATTAATATGAATTATACATAGGATCTAAGGAAAAGCATGTCATTTCTGGAATGTTTTTGTCTGTTTTCATCATGTAACAAAATAGAATGACAGATTGAATTTCAAAAAAAAAAAAAAAAATCAATGAATCATAACACAAATATAAAGCTGAAAAAAGTTAATTTTGTAGTAATTAACAAAAACAAAAAAAAAACTAAATAACAAATGAATAAAATTCATCTGGTTTTAACAACTACAAATTAAATTCATCACTAAAAGGACAATCAACAACACAACATTTAAAAATGTGCAGCTTTAATCAAAACTACACAAGTGTAAACTTACCATCATTGCATATTTTAGTTAAGTTAGTAGAAGATTCCAAAAGGAGGCATGAAAAACAGTAGGAAAGTATTTTGTTAGAAATCAATGTTATAGCTCATTATAAATGTACCAATATCTCTTTTTTTAATCATACATTTTCCAAATTCATATGTATGCAATTATCTTTAAAACAACCCTGCTATTGAAGAAACCATAAATTTATATGATGTGAATCCTTTTTAACAAGAATTTATAATGATGATTTCTGTCTTCACATTCAGCTTATTTCTTTTCAATTTTCTATGCTTGTAAATTTTTGTTGAGTTTACAAGAACACACAAGGGCAGTAACTCCTGATCATCTAAGAAAAATAAAGAAAGCAGAGTTACTACCCTTCAATCAATATTATTTTTGCTACTGAAACCAGTGCTGTGCAAATGGACTGAAGTCCCACAAACACACGAAGTCTTCATATCATAGCTTTTCCACTAAAATAAGATAATTACAACATAAAAGTGTGCTCAAAGCCAATACTGAAAACTTATTATTGGTAAGCAAATAAATGAAACAGTTCTACTTGTTAAAATTGTAGCGCCATCTATCTTAGTTCAGCTTTTTGATTTCAACAATACATGAAATTCGATCAAACAATATTTGTTGAAATATGAATTATCATATGTAATTTTCATCATTTTTGTCTTTAATATTTACTCAGTTTCATATTCAAAAAGTTTTGTTGTTTATTTAGTTTGTAATCAAAATGCTGGTTGACAGACAACATTAATGACAGATGGTAGTTAGTGTAATAAATAATAATGGTCAAGATTTTAAATAAATATCAATGCTATAAAATTGAGTGTTAATTACAGCTGTCAGGGAAGGAAAACAGTATAAAAATAGTATCAATTGTGGAATAATAAACACACAATATATGTCAACATTAAAACAGCAGTAAATGAAAGCAGAAATTGTTAAATACATACACACTGAAATTATCATAATTGAAATAAATTGTATTTTTGACACACATATTTAATCTTTCTCATTTGAAGCTTGTCTATGGTTGTTTGATGATTTTGCAGAAATTGTCAAATGTGACCTTTGACCTGTTTACCTCAACTGATGGCCACCGTTACATAATCAGGTGTAGAACTTAGTTCTATGATTCATCTTGAGAGGTTCTCAAGATGTGACATGGATTCAGAATGGGAAGTGACCAACATGTGTAAAGCTAAATGCCCTCCTCCCCATCTCCAACCACCACGCAAAAAATGACAGAGGCATGATAACAAAAGACAATTATTGAATTTAAAACATATTTTGATTCAGGTTTTTTTTTCTATTTCTTCTCTAGATTCATAAAAGATATTACCAAGATTTTGCTTATATAATCAGAGATATTAAAGCTAAATAAATTTAATGAAGAATGAGGCCACAACATGTTTATTGTAGGTTATTATATACTAATATTATGAAATAAACTAGATGTGATACAATATCACACATTCCCATATCAAAATGAAGCCAAAGTACAAAATGTCATCAACCACCATTTACAATAACTGTAGCTTGAGGGTTTGATCAAACCAGTGGAAAAATATCTGCCGTCTTAGCAGCAGTGACAGATATAACTCCTGCTACACATGGTTTTTGTAGAATCAATGTTTTTTAAGATCAAAAACACAATAAACTAGTTGTGACCTTAAAGGTATACCTGGTATATCAGACTTTCTGAAACAAACACTCAGAACATGACAAAAACTGATCTTACTCATGTTCCTAGGAATTTTAAATCAGAACCTATCATGTCACTTTTTTCTTATATTTCTTTTTCTAACATTCTTAAATCACCTGCTTTTTATTTATATTTAGTTGAGCCTTGCTACGATAATATAGCTGATACCAGTGTCTTAAATGAGTTCAGTACTTAAAGAGACAGAGTAATTTGACATTGATATTAGTTAATAACCAGACCCATACCTACATTGTATTCAGGATGTCATCAAAATAATATGTTTGACCCAGATTTCATTTCACCAGTCTTACTGCATAAAATGCCAACAAAATTCAAAAGTACATATCAAAATATTGGAATATTTTGGCCTTAGATCAAAATAAATAATTCACAATTGAACTGAAAACAAAACTCTATTATCAATGGAACGTAATATGAGGACAGCCTGTTGCCACAATACAGTATTTGTATATAGGTAATGTGTTTTGGGAGGAGACACTGAAGCTTCCATACCATAATGTCTACAATAAAATAAGTATGTAGTCTGTAAATTGTACCCTGCGAAGGGGTGCGAGGGTTGAGAACAGATATACATAGGAGTCATGCTATACACTAAACTGTGCAATGACTAAAACCAGGTGAGCATTAAAACCGTCACCACTTTTTCACTTATTTAGCCAAAAATCATAGAAAGGAAACAAATATGTTCCTTTGTATCATGAAATTCTTGTTTAAAACTTGGAAACTTACCTAGAATTTTTTTTTGGATAAAACAAAAGTCAAAAGTTATTTCATGTTACATCATCTGGTTGAAATGCTGCAGCTTTTCTTTTTTCCCCCTCACCCCTTCCAAGTTTGACCAGTAAGTGAAAATGCTAGTTTGCTACAAATTTTTTACATAAAATAAACCCTCAGCCAAATATCTACAGAACCACTAATCATAAGCCCGGTAAACAACCATTATGTCCAGTACAATAATGATATCAAGAAATTGCCATCCAATTACTGTTAAGCCCGAAACCATTACGCCATTTCTCCAAAACTTTTCACACAACTTTAAGCACTTAGCCCAAAACTTATCTATACTTAAGGTTTTCCTACTCACCTACGCAGGTGTAATGCAAAATAGCACAACACATGGAATGACCGTAGAACCAGCTTGTGCCACATCCAGGAATAAAAAATTCAAAAAACGAATAAAATTTGATATCTTACATGACTCCTTCTCACCTTCTTTGGCACGAGAACGCCGCTTCTCCGCCTGAAACATGAAACAAACAAAACTGAAAACATAGCTTCACCATTTTTCAATCCTCCCACAACTCCAACATTTTAAAAGTTAAATCCACCAAGCATTTTGTTGAAACCTCTATCTAATGTACTGGTATATCTATGATTTAAAAGCACTCATATGAAGAATTGAAAATATTTGGGGCCATTGCAACTCAGTTTGGAAAAGCATAAGACATGGCAACAACAGGTGATGATCTATGTTCCTTAATATCTACCAGGCAAGGTTTGTATTTCTCATTAATTGAGACAAAAGGTGTCCTGTGAAATCCTGGTTGTGTCCTTGAGAAAAGCATATTGATTTTTAATTTATATAAATTGCTTTGAGCAGCATGTGATGGGTCTTCTGGATGGTGTTCAGTGAGACAGCTGCCAACTGTAAGGAGGTCTGACCTCAAAATGACCTTGGCTGTAGATAGGGCAATAAACTAACTAGAAAACAAACAAACCTAACACATGTATATCATGCAGTGAATCCTGTATATCTAAATGTGATCTCCATATCAACCCCCATACAGAAGCTCTAATTAGTCTTTAGGCAGTCTCTGGGTAAGTCTTTAGGCAGTCTCTGGGTAAGTCTTTAGGCAGTCTCTGAGTAAGTCTTTAGGCAGTCTCTGGATAAGTCTTTAGGCAGTCTCTGGGTAACACAATCTACTGGCAGCTATGTAAACCCTGTATTTTTAAATGCATTGTCCATATTAACTCCCAAACTGGAGCTCTATTAACCTTAAGGTGGTCCTCGGATAAGCCCATTTACTGACAGCCATGTGGAACCTGTATATCTAAATGTGATCCTTATATGAAGTCCTATACAGAAGCTCTGCTTGGCCTACAGGGGGTTCCCCAGATAAGCTTATTTACATATATTTGAACCCAGTTTATTTAAATGTGATCTCTCTATGGATTCTCCTACAGAAGTTCTCTGTAAGCCTTTGGTAGTCCCTGGGTAAGCCCATTTATTTGAATTTGATCTCTCTATTGATTCTCTTACAGAAGCTCTCAGTAAGCCTTTGGTAGTCCCTGGCTAAGCCCATTTATTTGAATTTGATCTCTCTATTGATTCTCCTACAGGAGCTCTCAGTAAACATTTGGTAGTCCCTGGGTAAGCTCATTTATTAAAATCTGATCCCTATACTGCCTCCCAAACAGAATCTGTAGTTTGCCTTTAGGTGCTCCCTGGGTAATTTACAGGCAGCCATATTTAAATGTGACCTCTATCTAAAAAGCCTGACAGGAAGCTCTGACTTGTGATCTATTCTGAAGTCCCTAAAAGCTCACCTGAGCACTCCGGTTAACAGGTGGTTGGCTTAATTCTGGTATATCTACATACTGGTCCTTCTGGTACTGTTTCTGCAGCAAGATGTCAGTCTCTTCATCCGTGTCAAAGTCTGGAAAGACAGCAAAATCATAGTGTCCTCTATAGGTATTGAATGAGTCTATGTATTAAAAAGGTGGTTTTACCTGAAGGTTCATAAACAACAAAATGCAGATAAAAGTATTATGCACGAAATATGTTCTAAGCTTTTAACAGCATTCACACCGGCATTCAAAGAAAGAATATTTTCTGAGAGACAAATTGTTTTTTAACATCCACAAAAATTATCAATGAAAATCATTCAAAACTACAAATTAAATAATATTTGTACAAAATACTCGAAATGCTACACAGTACTTCCATATGGCAAAGTTAAATTGCAACAAGATGCAAAATATTAAGAAAAGACTGAAAGTACATTTGACATACAATATACACAAACATAAAGAAGATGGGCAAAAAGTAGTAGAGTACTATAAAGTACATGTTCATTCACAGCCCATACATACATACATACACCTTTGCATACACAGACCATACACATACATGCACTGTAAGTGAGGCAACAAAAGTGAGGTCATGTAAAGTCATGTGAGAGGTCATGTAATGTTGTGTCATGTGATCAGAAGGTTACCAACAATTCTCATAAACGTACATAACTCCTGGTTTGGAAGGGGGTTGGGGGGTAAGGGGATGAGGTGGGGTGGGGATGAGGGTCATATCGACTTTAAAAATTTGATCTTCAAAATAAAATAAAATGATGACAGATCATCAATGAAATTTTAATGTACACTTTGTCAAGGCTGGTATAGGATATTTTAGGTGAAATAGGCTTACCTTACCGCAGTGTCTAACCCTTTGAAGTAAGGTAAAGGTATTTGAAGATGGCTTAGGTGGCTATTGAAGGCAGATAAGGGTTTATACAAAATAATAATGATCAGGATATAGGATTTTGAAGGTAGGAATAGGTTTTAAAAGCTGGAGTAAAGAACTTTTGAGATTCATACAAGTTTTCAAGTGTCCCCTAGGTAAAATATGTATTATTTGGGGGGGAAGGGGGGGAGGGGAACAGTGATGAAATTTAAAGACCTGTTGGAGGGTATGTGTATTTTGGGAAAAAGATATATCAGTGTTGAAGGGGGAAAAGATATATCAGTGTTGAAGGGTGATTAGGTGAAATATACAGGTGTGCTGGGTATAGGGGGAAAGTCTTGAGATGTGATGAAAGGATGGGGGAGGAGTGTGGTGGGATACACTTATGATGAGTTAAGGAAGTGTGAAATGAGATCTGATATACATTAGTGTAGAAGGAGAGAGTACAAACACATAATACAATAGATATTCTGTGTACCTCCTGCTGTCTTGGTTTTCAGGTAGGATGCCTTAGAGGGCGCCTCTGTTTCACTGCCCACATCCTCCGAGTCCGACCCCAGTGACCCTGTACTCACACGATAAGCTTTTTTGAATGAATACGAATCTGAACTACTATGCGAGTTCCTACCATTTCCATGAACACTGAGATCATGGTTTGACCCATTCAGGGATGGAAGTTTATGTGTAGGATGTTGATCAAATGAATCGTCCTTAGGTAAGGAAGCATACTTTTTACCCAGGATCCGGCGTGTATACTTAACGTCGCTATCATCCTCGTCATCGGAATCATACCCTATAAGACAAGAAGCATGCAATGTGTTTTCATCATGCCAATTCTTCACATACTAAAAAAAAACTGATGATGCAAAAAAACTGAAATTTTCATACAAAAACAAATTTCTACACAGAATGAAAGGGACACATAAATTATTTTTAAAATAGAAAAAAACTTTGCTATAAGAGACATTTAAACACAAAACATGACTCAAATCTTTAAGAATAATTTCCAAGAAGGAAGATTTTCTTCAAGATCAGGTAAATAAAATAAGTCTGTACCTAAATATTAAAATTCTAAAAAGATGCAAAGAAGTTTGAAAACGCATGTTTCTCCAGAAAACCTGAAATTCAGACATTAATATATATATATATATATATAACAGATGTATTTTATGTTAAATTTCATAATCTGATCACCAAATAATATCATAGTACATTTCTAAAATCAGACAATTTGTGTACATAATTGATTTAAACTTTATATCATTAAAAGGAGATTTCATTTTTTGGAGTTTTTTCTTTCTTTTTTCTTCCCCCTTTTTTTTTTTTGATCTGAAAATTAAAAAAAATAATACTGAAAGTTTTCAAACAGGATGGATTTGAAATCCTCTTCCATTCTGTGTAGAGCAGGACGGGTGAACATTCACTGATAAACTGCCTTGGTACATAGCCTAGTGACTAACAAAATACTGAACTCAAAACTGGCTGCAAATTTGAAATCAAATCTAAATAAATCACATATAAAATAGACACAACTCATACAAACATGCTGTAGTTGAAAATTGCCTTTTGCTTCAATTTTTAGATTTTTAGTCACATCAAACTGATATACCATTGCCAGTTCACAGAGGATATTTTTCCACCACACAAGTCCTGGACTCTTACTTTTAATGAAAACATCCATATTTTAAAACATGTGACAATATGGTTGTATCCAGATTAAAAAAAAAAGTTTGGCCCAAATACTTTTATCAAAATATTGCTGTTCTGTGGAAATTTGATTTTATTGATAAATACAGCAAAACGAATCAAATTCTACTAATTTTAACACTTAATCACAAAAATTTGTGATATTACAGTAAGCTTTGGTCCCACTTACAAATTAATTCAAATTCAATTGTATTTCTTTCCAATGTGGTTAAAAACAAAAAAGAACAAAATTTCAAGGCATGAATGACCCACTTCTACGCAAATTTTATCACTGTTAAGAACATTTCTATAAATTGTAATGGTGACCTTGACACTTATTGTTAGTGTACTCATCATACTGTTTGATCATAATCATCATAGAGGTTGTTAATTTTCTACAAATAAGTGTAGTAAGTAACAGTGACTTTGACCTTTTGACATTGAAACACCAACCCATTAGCGGTTCTGTCATAGTTTACCTGCGTCGAACACTTGATCAATGTTCCATCATGAAAGAGGTCACTACGATGAGGCCACTAAATTGCATGATGACTTTCTATAAAAAGCAGCAGTGACCTTGATTTTGAGGATAAGTCATAGCTGACATATGTGTAAAGCTGAGATCAAAATCTCTTAAGAAATGTATCAAGAGTGATCAGTTTGATTAAAGACAGGACAAGTTGGGTATTTATAACATTATAGAATATGATATCCTTAAAATGTGTTATTAAAAGATTTTACATTTAAATCATTATTCTTTTATTTCAACAACAATTTCAACAACAATCTCATTTAACTTGTGACCACCATGCTAATAATGGTGATCAATTATTTATAATTTTGAAATGAAAAGTGATAGGGTATTTACCAGTAAGACCTAGGCATGTGGGGAACTTAACACATGTTTCTAAGTTTTTGTCACATGTTCATCTGCTGGATGTCACAATCAAAAAGACTTTTATCATGCTGATACATATACTTCAGAAGTATCATCTGGTTTGTGTCAGGAAAAATCATTACAAGAAAACAGCTAAAAAATACACATAAGATTACAAAATACATCAGGACAACATCCAGAAAGGATGTGTCAAAGGTACAGCAACAGTGCAACAATGTCCTTCCTAGAAATCCAGTACACAGACATACAGCACTACCAGGTACCACATTTACATGTAAACATTTATTACTACAAAATCTGTTCAACAACCAACCATTCTTTTCAGCCCATTGCTATACAATCTCAGTAGTCTGATTCCTTGATCAATTGAATGGATTATAAAGGTCTATCAGAGACATATATACATGTACAATGTATGCATTATATCTCAGATGCAGAGAAAGACTTCAACATGTTCAACATTGAAAATGGTGTTCTCACTAAACAAAACCACTATCCACATGCACAAAGGTAATTACATGACAATCAGATGTTGCATCCTTCAGCAATTAATCAAGACACACAAGATAAATCTGATTAGAGCTTAAGTTCACAAAATATTCTATGCTCTACAGCTCAAATTAAACCTAGCACACAATTTTCTAGCTCCATCCTCTTTTCTCCCATGCAAAATCTAAGGTCTTCCTGTCTATTATAAGGAAAAAACTCTGAAACATGTTCCATGCTTTCTAACATGCAAAATGAAGGAGCAAAAGTGATGAATTTTTCATTATTTTTTTAAATCCTCACGTCTAACCAGATTAAGCCTGACGTTACAGTGTTTAAGTACATAGAAAATGTAATCAGTATGTTTACTAAGGATAAATGTACAGAAATATTGGGAAAAGTCAGCTTACACTGAGCTTTATTACACTCTGCACTGTCATCTTACACTGAGCTTTATTACACTCTGCACTGTCATCTTACACTGAGCTTTATTACACTCTGCACTGTCATCTTACACTGAGCTTTATTACACTCTGCACTGTCATCTTACACTGAGTTTATTATGTAATAAAGAACCTCTTCACTGTCATCTTACACTGAGTTTATTATGTAATAAAGAACCTCTTCACTGTCATCTTACACTGAGTTTATTATGTAATAAAGAACCTCTTCACTGTCATCTTACACTGAGTTTATTATGTAATAAAGAACCTCTTCACTGTCATCTTACACTGAGTTTATTATGTAATAAAGAACCTCTTCACTGTCATCTTACACTGAGTTTATTATGTAATAAAGAACCTCTTCACTGTCATCTTACATTGAGTTTAATTATGTAATAAAGAACCTCTTCACTGTCATCTTACACTGAGTTTATTATGTAATAAAGAACCTCTTCACTGTCATCTTACATTGAGTTTATTATGTAATAAAGAACCTCTTCACTGTCATCTTACACTGAGTTTATTATGTAATAAAGAACCTCTTCACTGTCATCTTACACTGAGTTTATTATTATGAACCTCTTCACTGTCATCTTACACTGAGTTTAATGTAATAAAGAACCTCTTCACTGTCATCTTACACTGAGTTTATTATGTAATAAAGAACCTCTTCACTGTCATCTTACATTGAGTTTATTATGTAATAAAGAACCTCTTCACTGTCATCTTACATTGAGTTTATTATGTAATAAAGAACCTCTTCACTGTCATCTTACACTGAGTTTATTATGTAATAAAGAACCTCTTCACTGTCATCTTACACTGAGTTTATTATGTAATAAAGAACCTCTTCACTGTCATCTTACACTGAGTTTAATTATGTAATAAAGAACCTCTTCACTGTCATCTTACATTGAGTTTATTATGTAATAAAGAACCTCTTCACTGTCATCTTACACTGAGTTTATTATGTAATAAAGAACCTCTTCACTGTCATCTTACACTGAGTTTATTATGTAATAAAGAACCTCTTCACTGTTTTACACTGAGTTTATTATGTAATAAAGAACCTCTTCACTGTCATCTTACACTGAGTTTATTATGTAATAAAGAACCTCTTCACTGTCATCTTACATTGAGTTTAATTATGTAATAAAGAACCTCTTCACTGTCATCTTACATTGAGTTTAATTATGTAATAAAGAACCTATGTAAGGAGGATCCATAACATCAAAATTTATTGATGAAATTTATCATTTGTTACCGTTATTTTATATAGACAATATTTATTCTTTAGCACAGTAATTCATATAGATGAGATTTATTTGGAGTACAGTTACCTATATAGATGAGATTTATTTTGAGTACAGGTACCTATAAAGATGAGGTTTATTTTGAGTAGTTACCTATATAGATGAGATTTATTTTCTGTAGTTACCTATATAGATGAGATTTATTTTGAGTACAGTTACCTATAAAGCTGAGGTTTATTTGGAGTACAGTTACCTATATAGATGAGGTTTATTTTGAGTACAGTTACCTATATAGATGAGGTTTATTTTGAGTACAGTTACCTATATAGATGAGGTTTATTTTGAGTACAGTTACCTATATTATTTATTTGGAGTACAGTTACCTATATAGATGAGATTTATTTTGAGTACAGTTACCTATATAGATGAGATTTATTTTGAGTACAGTTACCTATATAGATGAGATTTATTTTGAGTAAAGTTACCTATATAGATGAGGTTTAGTTTTTAGCACAGTAATTGTATCCTGGTACAATGACATTTTTCACTGTTTCTTGATATAATCAAAAGTTTCTGTATTAATAAGGGATCCATGTTGTAAATGTATACACACACCAAGGAAAACAATCCTAATACAAAATTCATATCAACCCATTACTACCTAACTTTCTGATGTTTTCTATATGGTTTATTTTAATGCTTTATGATAATCATGACATGCCCAAATGTGTTTTATTTTCTTTAAACAAAAAATAAACTTCAAGAAACTGTGTAATTCTGTGCTGTTAACAGTTTGATCTTAATAGTAGTCATTCTGGCAAATGCCATGTTTTCAAAAATTCTGTGGATAGTAGTACAGTGGAACCTGATTAACATCATGTTCTATTTGCCAGGGGGAAACTGGATATTAAACAGAATGTGACATTAACAGTTGACACGTTTTTGTGGACACCTAAACCCTGAAATTAACTTTCTGATGCACCAACTGAGAGAAATGGTTTGGAGACCAAAATTTGTTATCTGCTTTGTTTTTCCTGTATGCACAGTGATTTTCCGAATTTTTGTTTGTTTATTCTTTGAAATATCTAACCTGCTATCATGAATCATCAGGAAAGATCATGTCATATTCACAGTTTACATGTGGTGAACTTTGTATGTGACACTACCATGTCATTAGCAGACATTATGCTGCATAATTCATTTATCCATGACTGTGTCAGCTTCATAAAAGGCCATCAGTTGATACATATATATACTGTGTATCTCTGCAACACCATGTTCAGAGGATCACATTGCTCATAAAAACAGCTGACAGTAATGAACTGTTCACCTTCAATAATATGCCACGTTTAATATATTAGTGGTTATTTTTAATGGCCAATCAGATGTCATGAAGCATGATATGGTCACCTTACCAGTGCTCACGATATTTTAAGCAATCTGTAATTTTAATATTTAAAGAAAGATAACAATGTTGACATTCTGATATGACCAAATGGATTTTCAATCTTCATTCCTTACAATGTATCATGGGCAAATCTTTTGGGGAAGATGGTTACGATATCAGCAAAGACTTAAATGGAGAATGAGAATTTTCTATATTCGTCAAATTCTTACTTCATTTTGAGAAACTTAAAGTTTGAATTAGTTATTCTAGCATCCATCTTAAGCTTTGTATCCAAAATGTGTTCACATATATATAAGGTCTTCATTGACCTGCTGCGGTTTGGTGTCCCATAGGTCATTGTAAATAGAAGCAAACAAACACAATCTATCATAAATTACAGTTCATGTTTGAGTATATTTCATCAGGTCTTTTGAGAAACAATAATATTTTTTGTTGAAGTTTCGGCAGCATGTCGGGAATCTTAGTAGGATGTTGCCAACTCACACATGGCATTGACCATCGTGGTAAGGTTTTAAAATAATCTATATGCTAGCCAATTAAAAACCAAATGCACCAGACTTCCCTGGACCAAGCTGAACTTCACCAGTGACATTATCAGATATCCGATTACAAAGCATATATAGGGAATAAATTGGTGATAATAATCGACGTGAGATAAAGTGGTTTCCACTGTATACAGTTGTTCCTTAATTTCTTTTTCTTCCACACAGTCATTTAAATCGAAATAAATTCCTTTGTGTTTGCGGTTCTTTTTCTTAACACAGTTATGGAAATTCATCTGGCATAAAACATCATTTAGTCTCTGTTTAATCCCTGTTGGTCACTAACTGTTAAACGAATTCTTTCTTAAATCAAACTACTGGATATTGTCCTACATAAAGCTCTACTGGACACTACTATACAGATCCTCTAACTTACCCCTAGGAGGTTGGTATGATTTCCCTTCATTTCTACTATATTGGTTCTCCAGTAATCGGTCTTTTTCATTTTCCATTTGGTAAACTGGAAATAAATGAATTTACATCCAATCTCAAGAAAAAAAGCAAGGAAAAATAACAAACATAAAAAAGAATGATAACATACAATATAGGCATTCAAATACAAGTAATTATACATGTTGTTGAAGCACATTCTTTAAACAGCAGTGGCAATAATTGTCTATTAGACCAGAACATGTTTTCCCTATAGATTGACATATATTATCCATATATCTAGTTTTCCAAATGAAAAGAGAAGTTGCATCAATATTTTTCCATGGTTTTATTCTTAAACAAACATATGTGTGTTTTGCCAATTTTTCCACCAAATGCTCATAGTTGTATTGATAATTCTGTGGCTAGTTTCAACATTTGTACTTTACTTTAGTTTGGTCTTTGTAATCAAACTTTTAATTACTAGAGAATTATTACAGATGTTGAGAATTTCAATTTCTTTCCAAATTTAAACCTATGTAGATCTGCGCACATGTATAAAGCATGGTTATTACATAAAATACACAATAGCACAATTACAGAATGATTATGCAAATACACACAATTGCACATATTAACGTCAATAACTAATATTGTAATAAAATTCAAACAAAGTTTCCATATAACATATATATGAAAACAAAACGAAATGAAAAGTAAATCATTTTGTAAAAAAAAAACTTCCATATATGACAAAATGACTAAAATTGTAAATGTACACCTGTGGTCTATTTTTTTGGTGAAGTTTAATGTACAGTAAATTTATTATCTCTATTTATAGAATGACACTTTTCAAACTTATTTATGTGTACCTAACTGCAGTATTGTAGTCTTGATAATTACTGATAATGAAATTTGAAACATGATAAAGAATGTTTGCTGAAAAGAAAATTTTCATTTTGTTACAGTATCCGAGTATAAGCGACATGGGTACTTTAAATTGCAAGACCCCTTCATGTATATCTACAATCTTAGAGGATATTTTCATAATGGCAGAAAGGAATTACAGGTAAGTATAAAAAAAACAAAACACAAATTGGGTATCATGGAAATCAAATGATCAGGAGCACACATAGATACATACTTCATCACACCTCTACAAGTTTATATTGCATTGATAACACAGCTCATTTTTTATTTAAATTATGTATCTTTCAAGTGGGATTTGTTCAAATTTCTTTTTGGATTTTATTTCATACCCCAGTACAATTGACTCAAACAAGCAATGACTGTCCATGTAGCTATAGTAAAACTGCCACTTAAATAACATTTTTCCAATATTGAGGACACAAAAACCTGTGTTGTAAGTTTTAATTGGGGACACTGATTCTGTGAGTTTTAACTGGGGACACAAAAACCTCTGATGCGAGTTTCATTTGGAAACACAAAAACCAGTTCTGAGATTTTAAATTGGGTACACCAAAATCTTTGTTGAATTTTTAATTGGGGACACCAAAATCTGCAGTGAGAGATTAAAGACCTAATATTGACATGGCATGGCAAATGATACAAATCCCCTTGTGGTTCAACCTTGACTTAAGAGCAATAAATAAGATAGCCAGCATTGACAAGATTTTCTAAAAACATTAACTATGACATTAACCCTAGAATCCTCCAGAAATTAAGTAACTTGAATGCTCTTATAAAGGACATAGACCTTGAACTTGGCCCTGCAACCTCAAAAAACCCAGTTTTTATTGTCCTTTATAAGTAGTGTAGTATGTGAAGTTTGATCAAATAGCTGCTTGAAGATAAGATATTACTCTATACATACAAATCCTATTTGCCATTCCATGGAGTAAGAGGTTGGACTGCTAAGCATAATATCATGCTACAAGAAGCCATAGCCTGAATGCTTCAATGACAGTTAATTGTTGGGATACTTGGCTATGTACTTATAGAAACTTAATCATATATCAAACCCACTATTCCAAACTGTTAGAAAATTACCATTGTCTTGTTCCTTGCGACTATAATCAGTACAGGGACTCAATCCAACACCTTCATGTCTCTGACTCTGTGGCTTTGTTTCTGTGTTAGCACCCTCTCTGAAAAATCCCAACATATTGTAAAGAAAACTTCAATATCAATTTTAAAAAATCATTAGTTACAAAGTGTTTTTCATAATTTTCATTATACTTAAAATATTTTACAATGTGCAAGCTAAAAATATCGTTTTGTGTAGTAAACTGATTCATCTATGGCTGTTAAAATGTAGAATTGGTCAGGGTCTCAAACCAAGGAGAAATGTTATTTCATTTACTAAATATAAGGTACAGCTAAACAAAATAATGGAAGTTTCTAAACAAATGTGCATTATAAACGAGATGAATATATTAACTGGTAATGAAATGCTAATTGATTTTTTTAAAAATCAATCACAAAGACATATTGAAACATATATGCAATTAGACTTCAGATAAATATCTTTAAATTCCCATTTTTGGTTCTTCCATAGAACGTCCCTGCCAATCTCATCAAAATACCTGATAAATACTCTTGAAATACATGATTAACAGTAGACAAAATTTTTCATACATCAGCTAAGCAGCCTACACATATGATTGTACCTCATGACCCAGACTGGCTCTTCTTCCTGGGCGTTTTCTTTGAAGGGTGATTTGAGGGCAATGCCTTTACTATTTTGTATGGCTGATTTAATGTCATGGATAGCCAGATCAAGAGCTTCCCTCTTTGCCTTCAAATCCTCCATGATAGCTTCTGCATCCAGCTGTTTGTGCTTTGAATCCTCTTTTGGAGTTGTTAACATTTCCTGTTCGATGTCAGACTTTTGTTTTTGCCTCAGCATAGCAGTTGGAGACTTTGGTACCTGATTAGGTGAAACGTAATCCTCGTTGTCACTTGCCTGACTACTAGATAGCCCATCTTCGACCAATGGCATGCCTAGGTTGGATTTATCGCCATCTGATGTCACACTCTCTACTTCAACACTATCACACTCTGTTGTCTCGGGTGACAGAGAAAATGCCTGCTTGTCTTCTCCATGAATGCTCTCCACAGTATTCAATGGAATCTCTGTGAGAGTGTCCTCATTTACTTTTTGCAGAACGTTCTGAGAGGAGAAATCCAATTTATGCAGAACTAAAGATTTCTCTGGTGACCCTTCACGTGATATATCAATTATAGAATTATTACTAAATCCATTCACTTCTAAACTATTTCTTTTCATCCCTTCATCAGTACTTGAATAAGCCAGTCGCATTCCTACGTATGAATCTCCATCTTGTATGCGAGCATATTTAACATAATCATATTCATTTTCTACATCTGGTCCGGTCTGTCCTGACGAGCCATTAGACATTTCCTCTATGACAGATCTTACGCTACTAGCTGGGTTTACCACCACATTCATCATGTCAATATCTTTAACCTTAGTATCACTTGTATGCACTGGACATGCATTGGAATGTGGATGCAGGGCATTTCCTAGAGGTTGTAAATTTGCCTTTTTCACCGGCCGTTCTAGTTCCCGATCAGAGCTAGACCCCTCTCTGTCACTGCCACTCCCCCCAGACCCATCGCCAACACGGCACGCTAACCCTGGTGACTGTTTACGTATTTTTGGTTTGGCGCCTTGAGAGGAATAAGTATGTGGATCTAAATCTTTATCATAACTTTTTATCTCACCTACCACAGGTATATTGTTTCTGATTTCTAGACTGTTGCGTTTTTTCACTCTTTCTCTTATTGGAACTTCTTCTACATCAACTTTGTGCATACTCACTATATCTTTCGATTCCAAATCAATTTCCTCCATCATATCTCGACTGTCAATAATTGGCATTTTATTCATAACAATTTCATTTCTTTCCCCAACTTTAAAATTATTACCTAACTTAAGATCACCAGTCCTTTCTGAAGTCCCCATACTAAACTTTTCTCTGTACTTGACATTAATTTCTGAAGGAAGATCAGCAAGTGTTTGACCACGACTAACATTTTCACTGGTATAATTGTCACTATAATCAGGTGGAAATGAATCATTGCTGTCCTCACTTTCATGCCGAGACAATATTTGACCAGTACCTTCTCCATCCTCCAACAGATTCTGATAAGACAAAGAACTAATTTCACTGGGATGCCTAGAACTCTCTTCCTCGAATTGAACCTCCATACTTAAGTTATCCACAGAGTTACTACCAGGTGATAAAGACCGGAAAGGCTCGCCTCCCCCACATGCTCCATCTGTATCTGGATCGTAACTGTCTTGAGGGTTCTTAGGTACTGACATTGTCACTTCTTCTTCCTGGTCAGACATGGTGTTCTATTTGCCTACAAACTTCAGTCCTGAAAAATAGATATTTCAATGTTTATATTATTTAGAAAAGCACCTACCTCCCTTTCCCTCCAACTCTCAAATCCTACCTGGAAGGCTGTATTTCACTTTATCGTGACCTTCTCCCTATGCAAAACCCCAAATATCATCCGAACTATTAGCTTCTGATAGCTTAGCTACAATGATCACAGATAGTTTATCCTTTCATCAATAGTATTAATATACATTGTAGACACAGATAATCAATCATGCAGTAGGTGAAATTATTTTTGACATTTTCTTACAGGATTCTATCTCCTTGTTGCCAAGGAGAACCCTGCCTTCCATCCATAAAAAATGATCCTATTCATTTTGGGACATCAAATACTATTTATATAAGGGTCAAATTTATAATCTGGGAAAAACACTGAAGTATTGTTTCCTCAATAAATCCCTAATATGCATCTTGTAGCATCCTCCTGCAATGAACTCCCTTGTACATCATAAAGGTCCTGGTTCAAGCTCCTCCTATTGAACCTTCCCTCAATCTCTAAAACAGACATTCTCATAACTTAACAACTGGAAGAGTTAAGTGTGACATTTTGATGACAACACCTTCATCAGATGATCAGTGTTAAAAGTATTATCACTAATGTATGCAGAGTACAAGATGGGATGGAATTGACACAACTTTTTTGCTTGTATCATGATCTTTTGTACACCACAGTATATATCATTTACACATACCATATTACAGTGTACAAAATGTATATGATTTACAGGATGTTCCTTACTAGTAAAAGGACCAACATCTACCCTTCTTTCAAGTCATCTTCAGCACTATTGCTATATCTATGTGCACCCTACATATCCTTGATGTGATACTTTCAGTACTAATCACTCAGGGTAATTACATCCACTTTAATAAATCAACTGATGTTCAGTAGTTAAAATACATTGCTTCTTTTAAACTTTCAGTATCACCAACCTCTAGTCGTCTAATATCTCATCAAAATCAAAGGTGACAAAGCATTTTAAAAGGTCATCAAAAAAAACCCTTAAAGATCTAAACCATGACATATGCAACAGTACAACATAGATATACAGATAAAATCAGTAAAGTTGCTTATTTCCTGCTCCATCCAGACAATGGAATGATACCATAGAATTAACAGGACTCCTCTTTAATTGGGCTTATTTGATCATTTTATCCATAAAATATAAATGGCTTATTTAGATGTCTGTCATTAGACCAAATACAATGTTTATTAAATGACCAAAAGCTTATGATACACATCCACAGATATCTAAAACTAATATTTTTACACAAAACAATGCATTTTTAAGACAAGTAATGTCACAATGATATGATAATATTAATTATATTACTTTACCGATCTACATGTAAAATTAATCAAAATATTTATGTAAGACATCAGCTGATACATGATCAATGATTATCTGGTAACATCATACTTAAAATAACTAAACAGTCACTTTAAATAACTAAACAGTCTATTTTCGTACTTAGCTAAAAAAAAGTGTTATCTAGGAAACTATTACTTCATTTCCCAATTTATTCACAAAAGCTGCTTTGAAATCAAGAAAGGAAAAACAATGATAGTGACTTAAAAAAATCCAAAGTTTTGTAAGTGCACGATGGCATATAAACATGTTCACATCCCAACTATATTTGTAGTTTAAAGTTTGCTTAACATTACAACTGATTCTAAACACTTTGCAGCTAGTTAATGTAGTGCTTTTTCTTTTGTTTCTCCACAAAACACAGGCATTGCCATTTTTTGTTTTCAAGAGTTCCAATATTGAAAAGATATGTCTTGATCCTTGATTGGTGGATTGTGCCTTCTTGACTTACTTGACCTGTATTTTTACATAACACTTTTTGTTTGTCAGTATATAGTCAAGGTCATTTTGAGTCAAGGTCTCCTTGTCATATTTGGTAGCTACCTCACTAAACAACATCATAGGCAATCCAGTTCAAATTAACTTGTGCAAGGACGAAATCTCAATAGCACAGACTGGTCCATTTTTCATCTTCTTGAGAAACACAAACCACCATGGGTAGGGAAAGTAGAGCCACATATATCAGATGTTCATCTAAGCTTGCACAGGCCAACACCACTGTACTGAATCAGTGGTAGGTAGTATAACTAATGTAACCCACCACCCACATGTCATTCTTACCTGGAACAACTATAGCCATGTTGGTGGTTGGATGACTATAGTGAACACTATACCGACTGAACTATTCCAGTCCTTCCTACCTAACGATCCTACATATACAACAGTAACTACCTCACAAAACCTGAGCTTTGATATATATAAAAAAAATATCTAAGTATCTTCAGATGTTTACAAGATGTAATAGAAAATCTCTTCCACTGAACATATAATCACTTCGTTCATATAAGTTTCTTTAAGATCTATGCATGTGAAAGCTGTTTTTAACCACTGTAATCTTCTTTTGACCGTGAACATAATAAATCCTTTTTTTTTTTAATGAAATCAGGATATTTTATGTAGATATTAAACCATTTCATATTTTACAGTCTGCCAACCTCTCGGCATTAAACCAAGTTTCTCTAAAAACCTACCTATCATTTGAAAACTTCAAGTGTCAAACAAATAACATTGCAGATATACGGAACTGTACCATGATGCATCATATTACTGGAACCTTATACAAGGTTCATATGGGAATATTATTCTATTAAAATCATGCTATTCTTCTTGGAGCCAAGGCCACGGCCACGGTGGTTGAGTGGTTGAGATATCTGACCGTCTTTATCATAGCCCTCCACCTTTAGGTTGCAAGACCTACGTGGGGGCAATCACCAGAAACTGGCCTAAGTTTGGTGGTTTTTCTACAGGAACTCTCGCTTTCCTCCATGACCCAAACCTGGCACATCCTTATATGACCCTGGCTGTTATCATCTATTCTAACGAATTCAAAGTCCTTTAATGCTGGCAAATATTTACGCCTTTTGTCAAATATTGTATATGTATTGTATTGAACTCATTTGAGACCTTTTGGAAACAAAGCAACACACCGAAGTTGGTTCAAATCTGTTGAAAAATGTTTTAATTATTCACTGGAAACCTCAAAACAGACACACAGATAAATGGTAAACAGTACATACAGAAAGCCCTTTAACACCCAATACAGAAATATGGATCTCAAGGTGTGGTTGGTCAGTCATGCAGAATCTATACCTGTACAGTTGAAATTGATATAACAACCATTGGCTTGTATTGTATATCATTTAGATTTCACGAATGCTGATCCAGAAATTACTTAAAACTCACAAATGATGAGTTTTTAGAGACTAGGACTCTGATATAAGTAATGAAATCAACATGAATGCCATCCAGATTTATTCTTGTACAAATAGTCGCAAAAGATTGAATTCACAGTTGAGTCTCCTTGCATATTAATGCAAAAATAGATCTCACACGAAATGTAAGTGATTTACAGTACTTTGGCTAATGTTTTCATAATTAATTAATTAATTAGGTACATGGCCTAGATACCAAATGAGAATCATAAGGATTACCATTGAGTAGTTAATATAGAGGAGATGCCACATTTTAAGGACGATGTTTAAATGTTTACTGTTTCTGTGTGAATTGTAGTGCTCATAAATATTTCCAACTACATGGATGCTCCAATGCAGTGATTTAGTGTCGGTAAAAGATAAATACAAGTACTTGTGCACAGTCTGGACTTCCGTCCCTTTCACAAGGTCTTCACTAATAACACAAGTGTTTGTTTAATGAAACAACAATATTTTTATATATGAACCTTGATAATGCTACATAACTTTTGAATAAATTGCTTAAAGTGTGTATTGTCATTCTCGTCTTTCATTAACTTTGAAATTGACAGGCTTCAGTAAATCAACAAACTAAATGGCCTAACAGTGTTTTTTGCTTAAAAGTCAAATATTGAAACTCGCTTTACTCCAATACTCAGACACCTGACCAGGTACAAAAAGGGGGCCAATGGACCTGTATCCCTCAACTATTCTTGAGAGGATTTTGTTTAAAGAATTTATGCAGACAACTTAATTCAAGAGAAGCTGTTTAAAGATTTTGGTCTTTGTTGCAGTACTTTGACCTGTCGATATCCCAAGATGCAAAAGGCTTTTGTAAACTTCCGCTATGGCTTCGAAGTAACCATGAAAGTCAAGAATATATTATTACGATTCATATTAAAAGGTATGCTTAATTAAGTCCATGAGAATGTTATTTTTATTTCCATCTTCAAATCATCCTGTCTATGAATGCAAATGATGGCTCCAGAGGACTGTTTCGGTTACAAACATGTGACGAGCAGGTACTCACAAAAAAGGCAGTAACGTCTCATACTGATGTACTTGTAGACTATCTGTGATTTTTTTTTCTAACCTGCTGATTTTTTTCATCCACACATAAGCCGCATCAGTATATAAGCTGCACATCCGATTCACAAGAAAAAAAGTGCACATTATAATCGAGGAAAATATGGTACATGGTTTCTTTGTCTGGTGATTGAATGTAATGAAGAACAAAATTAAACCTGCAGTTTCTTAGCAGTTTATTTACATGTAAGTTATTCGAAAGAAAGTAAAGAAGTCAATCACATCTTTTGATATTCAAAACAGGTCATTGCCATCTACTGAATGGTAGTTTTCTGCCTTGCTAGGGTGTTTAATTTTTAAACTTTAAACACTTTGTCGTGATTTTGGGCAATGTTGTCTCTGAAAGTTTCAACTAAAATTTAATGTAATTTGAACATTTAACAATATTTCATTTATAAGTTTAATTACTAATTTTAATCTATCTCCAATATTCACTTTTCATACTATAAAATAGCTGCAATTCTCCTTTTTCTTCTGGAAAATGTAAAAAAGTTTTGAACATTAATTGTTATTGGGTAATATGCATAGACCATGGTTTACTGAAAAAAAGGGTGTTTTTTGAGTCTGACCAGACTGACTCATACAAGAGGATTGAGATATCAGTGGACCAGAACAGCCCATATTTGATCATTTTTATGCCAAACCAAAAAGACAGTAACAAATTGCAAATTGTTGCTAAAATATTGTGAGTAAGGTTGTAGCACAAGGTACACATATCTGTCATATCCTAGTGAGCAACAGCGGAGTTAGCTATAACCTTAGCTATGACCTTAAGAAATTTCTTTGTGGCCATACCTGATTTTATCCAATTACTAGTACACTTTTTTGGAAATATACAGACTCTGCTAAGTATGGATTTCAATAGTAGAGGTCAAATACAGTGGAAACTTGTTATCTCAAAATTCAAGGAGCTGGGGAAAATATTTCGACTTATCTGAATTTTGACTCAGACGAAGTGTATAAATAAGGCTGACGATATCAGTTTCCTGACAGTGACTACGGTTGAATGAAGTAGGGCTAAGATAGCATGCAAACAGCGTAGTTTAATCTGCTATTGGAAATTGAAGTAAATAAACAAATTTATCCTTTCTCCTTTTACTGTTTATTCATCCAAACAACAAAACATGTAATAACAACTCCAATAAAATACATTTGTAATCATGTTGTTCCATCCCACACACATGTACAATACCCTTTACTGACCAAGCACATGTATACATCACTTATTTAACAAAATGAGAATGAAATGAAATTAAAATTTGCTTTTGATACGCTTCAAGAAACGATGTATCAATATGACTTTATTATGAATAAATAAACATGTAAAAAACATCGCCCTAAAATGTTTTTACCCGTTACAGAAAACATTGTACAACCATGAACAGATATAGATTCTTTCAATGAAAAAGACATTCAGCACTTCATTGTCTAAACACTGAATCTGACAAAGTGCTCGACCACAGTTCTTTAGTAAATATGCAGAAAATTAGTTACTCTTGGAATTGTGAGGATCAGATTTTATCAAAAAGGTTCATACTGGTTTGACAGTTTTGTTTTTATTGTTCCTAAAGATGCAAGTAAACCAAGCTTAATGTTTTCATGTTTTTTATGTGTACTTGTTTTTTACATACAGATAAGTCATGGCTATAGGATGGTGACACTAATTAGGAAGCCAACTGGATAATTCAACTGGCAATCAATTGCCTTAGACCAAGTGTTGTGTGTACAATGGACTTACACGCCATAATTAGCCATGTGTTATGCACAGGTGACTTTCTACTCTGTGTATGTATTGACAAATTTTGTCAGAAGATGTGCCGATGCTTTGACAAAAATTAATTTTGAGACATCAAATGACTTTTCCCTTGCTTTACAGTTGAAGGGACTAAAAAATTACATTAACTCAACCCAAATTTCAACTCAATGAAATTCGAGTCATGCAAACTAAAATTACAAAGATACAGAAGGAAAAAAATAGAGACTTGAAACTAATTTCCATTCAAACAACAGAATTTTGACTCAAGCGATTCCTAGACAACAAGTTTCAAGTCACCCAAGATTGATGATATAACCCTGGTAAATACTAGCCGCATTATACTGCAGGTCTAAAGGAACTCCTCTTTTCTTCCATCTATTGAGCTGATAACTAGTAAGTCAGGGGTCTAAAGATCAAATTATAGCAGAGGCATTAAAATAAATAATGACCTCTGTTACATGCTACACTGACGCCCATGTACTAAGCATTGTCCCAAAGACATCCATCCCTGTTACCCCTGGAAACTGGAGGAAAAGTTATTTCCTGGAAAAAGAGTATGTAACACTGGTAAAAACTAGCTGCAATATACTAGCAGCTAAAGAGAACTTCTCTTCAGCTTGATCTGTTGAGAGTTGGACTAGTAAGCCAGGGGTCTTGAGTTGGAGTCCTAGCAGAGGCATTGAAGTAAATAATAACCTCTGTTACAATGATGCATTCTATTAACAGACTTTCATAAAAGATATGTAACATATAATTTCGTATTCAAATCCATAAGCATGTCACATTGCACTAGCATGTGATCCATAAGAAATTTCCTTTTATCTACAATGATTTTCTTGAGCTAAGTTTGATTTTGACAACCTATTTCAGGAGTTTATTAAGAAGCATTATACAGCAATAAATAGAATAGAAAGTATTTCATATGGTATGACAGGCCTCTAAAATCGACTTGTTGTCACTAACATTTCAGAGGCTGAACGGTCAGTTAAGAGGCAAGAAATCAAATACTAGTGTATAATGAAGTTTATTTTATTGGATGTATATCAGTAATGGTTAGAAATCTCAACCCCATGAAGCAAGTAGTAGCATAAAACAAAGCATGATCCAGAAAGCGCCATGCCATGCAATATCTACCAAGAGTCGGAAGAAAATCGATAACTTGATGAACGATTTGTCAGACGTTGCTGATGATAATGACATAACTTAGTTACCTGGATACGATTTTTAACCGTTCTCAAGAATCATTTGTATGCACTTACCAAAGCCTGAAAAGCCGGTTATCTTATCTATTCCATATCCACATCAATAGGACACAATATGATAATATATTTTGCACTGCAGCATTTTTCGATATGATAATAGACGAGCGGACATGTAAATTCTGGTGCTGCCATCTGCCGTTTGATTTCACGACGGAAGCTGCTCCGGGGAAAATAAATTTCGAAACATTTCTTAAATTATAATTTATTAATACTTTCTGTTGTGAATGACAAAAGAAGAAGATTTTTTAAACATATTAACATTTTCCTGTTAATTTGACGTGTATTCACAGTCGGGTTTCTCTGACTTTATCCTTGTCGAATCATAACGTGGCGTTTCGCAATGACCCACGTGACTGTACCTATCCTCTTCCGTCGAGTCGTTCAAAGAGGGCAGCAGCGACTTTGCTAGGTTGTCCAAGCAAGACTCGATCAAAATGGTAAGGGATCATCAAGTCATTATTTTGGGAAAAATCAGCAATAGGGACCTAAAACTAACGATACTATTTGTTTAAGACCTGTGGATATTACATTTACGTAAAATAAACACTTTATTCAACCATGGGTCGATCGTTGATGAATGACGTAAATACATGGTGCCGGTAGTCTCCGTTTGGTCTTCTCGTAAGAATTTTGTATAATTATGAGAATTCGGTTACCAAAACAATAAAAATGAAAACAAATACCTGTGGATATTTGTTCACCTATATATTCTGAAAGATAAATGTTTATAACATCAAATGACGTATCATTCGGTACACTCGTGATCGTGGCAGTTTTCCATATTGCACAACATGCGTGTCGTCTACATTTTGACATAACTTTGGAAGTACATTTTCAGACATTATATACAGCTCTAACTTACAACACTAAATTCATAACCGTTTTAATTCATTATTTGATAAAAAAGTATATTTCGGAGTTTCCTAAATGGAAAGTCGTACATATTTTAAAATACCCAGACTGTCCTTCACCCTCCGTCCATTCAAATAATAATTGTAGGAAAATAAATATTTAGAAAGTAAATACTTTTATGTAAAAAGAAAAATTCCTTTTATAAGTAGAAGAAAATCATTTTTGGTCAAAAATTTAAAACACAAACACCAGTGTGTTGATTTGTCTCCTTGTGCCAAACAAGGTAACTGGGTTATGATGGAAATTGCCTTGGCAGAGACCATCATTATACATATTAATGCCACCAAGAATTTTATGGTGGGGGAGAGGTGTCATGTTAACCATGTCCCTCCTTTTATGAATCAAAGATGTTCATATCATAGACATTTTAAACAGATTTTGTTCATACCCCTAGTATCACGACATCTTCCTAGTTCTTAGTCTTTAAGATGATGATAAGGCAAAAGATCTCACAACTTATGCTGTGATTCTTGCATGCATGGGAACATGTCATGTCTTGCAATCATTTTCTCTTTTCAGTATTAAGTATTTCGAATACAATAAGCTGAAAAGCCCTATCAGCTAAATTTGTTGAAATTTGGAGGATATATATGTCGTAACAAATACATTTGCAATAACCAATATATCGCTCATTAGTTTCAATATGAAACCAGAAACGTTGCTTTAAATCCCAAATGGGTTAAACTAACATTACAGGATGCAATTAATTTATTTTGCAGGTGAACTTTACAGTAGACCAGATCCGTGAGATCATGGACAAAAAATTTAACATTCGTAACATGTCTGTGATTGCTCATGTTGACCATGGCAAGTCTACGTTGACAGACTCGCTTGTAAGTAAAGCTGGTATCATTGCCGGTGCAAAGGCTGGAGAAGCACGATTTACAGACACAAGAAAGGATGAACAGGATCGTTGCATCACCATTAAGTCAACGTACGTTTTACAACATGAATAACTACACTGTCAATAGATCAAAATGATAAGTTTAAGTAGTTGTATTGTTTATATTGTCTTGATTGAAATCCCCAAATTTTCAGCTGTGTTACCGTCTTTATTTTAATATCTCCTGCTTCAGTCCTATTGAAGTATTAGATTACAACTGCCATTTTAAGAAATTGATACGGGTATGTATTTTGGTTAATGGGTTTGCTACTATTGCCAACAAATTTGTTTTCTAGTGCCATCTCCATGTACTACGAGTTGGCCCATGCAGATATGAAGTACATCAAACAGAAAACTTACCCAGAAGAGGACACCATGAGAAATGCTTTCCTGATCAACTTGATTGATTCACCGGGTCACGTTGACTTTTCATCTGAAGTAACAGCAGCTCTACGTGTAACTGACGGTGCACTTGTTGTAGTGGACTGTGTATCAGGTCAGCTGATTAATTTCTTGAATGTTTGCCTTTGAAACTTGCTATTTGTACATACTTTCTGGTATACTTTTAATACATAAATCAATGTTTCTTTAAAAGTCCTGCATTATGGTTTTTGGTTATTCAAATTGCAATATTACTGGGCTTGCTGTGGGGTGAAAATATGCTAATCTTTTAATCTCTTTCACCATGACATATCTTAATTTTCTTATAATCATTATGTAAAAAGAATGTCAAACGAATTGCAATCTATAAGAGTTACACTGTTCGCATTTGTTTGTAGGAGTATGTGTACAGACAGAAACAGTATTGAGACAGGCCATTGCTGAAAGAATCAGGCCAATTCTGTTCATGAACAAGATGGACCTTGCTCTTCTCACACTACAGATTGGTCAGGAAGACCTCTATCAAACCTTTCAAAGAATTATTGAAAGTGTCAACGTAATTGTCAATATGGTGTCTTCAGATGAAAGTCCACTTGGCGTTATTGATGTAAGATTTCTTCCATGTAGACATTTGAATTCTGTCATTGCTTGTTTTTATGTAAATTGTTTTTGGAATCAAGGAGGTACCCATTGGGAAATTTCACTGGTGTATGTATTAAGAAATTGTATGTTATTTGAAGGTAGAAAAAACATACCCTCAAAGAGTGAAGTTTGTTGCATGTTTAATGTTCTTGTAACGTCTGAATTTTATTAGTGAATTGCGGCAAATTTGGCCTTCAACTGACCATCAAATAAGATGAGGGATTGGGATACAGCATTGTACCATATAAACTAGACTTGACAGATCTGTGAATTTTTATTTTAGGTTGATCCCCAGCAAGGAACTGTTGGATTCGGGTCTGGACTTCATGGATGGGCCTTCACTCTGAAAGATTTTGCTGTCCGATATGAAACTAAGTTCAAGATGAACCAGGAAAAGTTGATGAAGAAACTTTGGGGCAACAACTTTTTTGATGAAGGCAACAAGAAGTGGATCAAGGAACCTGATGGAAAAGCTGTCAGAGGATTTGTCAAGTACATCTTGGATCCAATTTACCTGGCAAGTGTTTAACACTAGTGTTGATGCGTAACTAAAGACAGTTTATTGATATTCAGTTAGCCAGTTCTCAATTTGAGATGATAAAAGTTTATTTAACAATCAAGAAGGCCTAGAATTTTAATGTGATATACCTCCTACTTGTGTAGGGAGGGAACAATCACTTGATCCTTTGAACAAGGCTTGTGATGAGTAGAATTGTTACAATATTTCTGCTTTAGTCATTTAAAACAATCCTGAGTGCTAACCTATACAACTTTATTCATTATCTGTAAATTTTTGCTTTCCAGGTTTTCAATACCTGTATGAAGGGTGATCATGCCAAAGCCCTGACACTAGTTGAAAAAATGGGAGTCAAGCTTACTTCAGAAGAAAAAGACCTACGTGAAAAACAACTGCTCAAGGTATGTCGTGTGTATAAAATATCTGGAGGTGTTCTGCTTAAAACTAAGTACACTTGCATTTCATTTCATTCAGTGTATGGAAACTTGATCATTTGGGGGATTATTGTTTAGATGTAAATAGTTTGGTTTTATTTTTAAATGACACTTAGAAGAATTTAATTGTATAGTTGGCCAGGTTGCACATAGTGCAAATCCAAGTAAAGTATGGTGAATTTTGGGTGGGCGGGCAGGGAATAGGGGTACCAGTTTTGTAGAATCAACTCTGAAGAGTTTTTGATATAGAGGCTTGAAACTTTGTAAGAAGTTTCTATATGTGTTGAAGATGTGCACCTCCTACTATGGATTCATTCTGGACATTTCTCTGGATTTTCCAGGCTTTGGAACTTGGTCATTTTCCACAGTTTGGCAGGGGAAAGGGTACCAGTTTTGTTTTTTAGAATCAACTCCTAAGAGTTTTTGACGTAGCAGCTTGAAACTTTGTAGGATGTTTATATATATGTTGAAGATGTGCACCTATTAATTTAGGATTCATTCTGGATGGTTTTTCTTGATTTTCTGGGCTTTGGAACTCATTTTCAACAGTCTGGTGTGGAAAATCCAAAATGGCAGCCTTTGCCTCAATTGGTAGAGATGTTTTGAGAGAATGTTAATGCTGTGCTCATCTTGTAGCTTGTCATGAGAAAATGGATGCCTGCTGGTGATGCCCTTCTCCAAATGATTGTCATTCATCTGCCTTCCCCTGTAACTGCTCAGCGCTACAGGACTGATACTCTGTATGAAGGACCTACCGATGATGAAGTTGCAGTTGGTAAATAATATTTTTAAAATATGTTGCTTAATTCACGTCGTGGTTAAAGACATGGTTTCAACAGGCTGTGATCGCAGAGTAGTTAAGACGTCTGACTGGCTTTATCACTAGCCCTCCACCTCTAGGTCACGGATACAAGACCTACATAGGACAGTCAACACCAGACATTGGTTGTAGTGCTTTTTAATTGTGTTATGTACCAAAAGTAGGTCAGTTTGACATGCATTTTAAATTTTGATCTTAGACCTTCATCAAAGAAAAATGTTTTTCAGGTGTGATCTGTACTACTTTACAATAGAACTTCTTATGGGCATGTATTTATTTGCATTAAAGAAATAACATCTTTGGCTATTACAAGAATGGGATATCACTAATTTATACACATTTACAGCACCAAATAAAACCAAATGCTGAAACACTGGAATACTTGGTGTCACTGGATCAGATTAGGAGCTTGTTTATTAGCTATTGTATCACCTGAAATGTGTCATGCATGTTTTAAATGTAAAGCTAGGTGTAGTCTTTTGACAAAAAAGTAAACAAGATTATTATTGTTAATTTTGTAATGACTCATACCTGCTTTTCAAACTCCTGAGGAAAGTGTGCATGAACATTGACAAAAATCTTTTTCTGTAGCAATGAAAAACTGTGACCCCAAGGGACCTCTCATGATGTACGTGTCCAAGATGGTACCAACATCTGATAAGGGACGTTTCTATGCCTTTGGACGTGTTTTCGCTGGATGCATTGCCACTGGACAGAAGGCAAGAATCATGGGCCCCAATTATGTACAGGGAAAGAAGGATGATTTAAATGTCAAGACTGTGCAGAGGTAAAACAAGTTTTAAAAAAGTATTTTGTTATGCAAGATGTTTTCAAAGACCAGTGAGCTCTTCCCGGTATGCAACTAAATGAAAATTGTTTTGTTTTCTTTTGGCTTTCATTGCTTCATGTTATGAAGATTTGTTGCACATGACAATGATTTCAAACACACAAAGAGAAAAAAAGATTATTACTGTTTTTGGTGGCATTAGTATAGACACTATATCAATATTATTGCTATCAATTATAACATTCTTATTGAAAAATAATGGAAAATGAATAATTGTGTGTAAAAATTTTGATATGATCGCTGTAATGAAGTTTTTATCAAATAGTGTACTTTGTATTTCAGAACCATCTTGATGATGGGTCGTTACATTGAGCCAATTGAAGATGTACCTTGTGGAAACATCTGTGGTCTTGTTGGAGTTGACCAGTTTTTGGTAAAAACTGGAACCCTCACAACCTTTGAGGGTGCTCACAACATGAAACAGATGAAATTCAGTGTCAGTCCAGTTGTACGAGTAGCTGTTGAATGCTCGAATCCCTCTGAATTGCCAAAATTGGTAGAAGGGCTGAAACGTCTTGCAAAGTCTGATCCTATGGTACAGGTAAGTCTAAAATGGCAAACCAGAGTATATCGTTGAGAGTGCTGAAATATATCCAAAATTATAGTAACACAATAGGAGAAAATGGACATGCAATTGTATGATGATCACTGGAAACTTTGGCGATCATGTTTCGTCTTATCACTTGATCACGTAACACTATTACATGCAGTAACTTCTGTAAAGATTACATTATCTCTCATAGCATTGTGACAAGCTAAATTTTAATGAAGGGATTTATTATAACACTGCAATTCCAACAGCATGTTGTTGCCCGTTCAGCACCATGGACGGATCGATACAAAGTAATGTCAATTCAAGAATAAATTTGAGCAGAAATTTAAGGCTGCAACTATTATTTCATCTTCCTATGCAAGTCACATCTAGACACTATGCTATGCTTCATTTGAGTTCTATAATCTCATTTCTGTTGTGTAAATTACTAAAACCAATCTAAAAAGACTAAATCTTTAGATCATCATGGAAATGTTTTTCACCAAATATATGCAATTGTTTCAGTGTACAACAGAGGAATCTGGAGAACACATCATTGCTGGAGCTGGAGAACTCCATCTGGAGATCTGCTTAAAAGATCTGGAGGAGGACCATGCTGGTATTCCCATTAAAAAGAGTGACCCTGTTGTATCATACAGAGAAACCGTTGGAGATGAATCTAGTGTGACATGTCTTTCCAAGTCCCCAAACAAACATAACAGGTTGTATATGAAAGCCAGACCACTTCCAGAAGGCTGTGCTGAAGCCATTGACGGGGTAAGATTCAGTGTACAGTTGTTATGTCCTTATTGTTACATTCCTTATTTCCAACATTGTTTATTGTTTCTTGTTGGTTCTTCAAAAGGCAAAAAGGGGGAATGGGGACAATTATGGGTAACAACTAGCAAGTAAACGGTGTCTGCTTTTATCAGCTTTAAATAAAGGCTTAAGATTTAAAAAAAACAAAACAAAAAAAACTGTTTTGTGATGCAGAATTGGTCATATGCATTCCGTAGCCAGGTTAAATATATATAGATTTACATGTTTTATTTTAAAAGCCATTATGATGTAACGTGATTGTTAAACTATAAAATGGTTATATTTAGATGACGACTGGGAAACAAAAAGTAAGACATTATTGAGATTGCTTTTTGTATTAATACTTACATTCAGAACAAATTAGTTGTATACTGGTACAAGCTTTTTCACATATTTAATAGATTTAGTTCACCATGTGTCCTAAAATCTTTTAACCTGGTTCAGATTTTGTCAAGGATTATATGTTGGTGGTCAAACTTCACTATTGTTGGGACCTTTTCTTGACTTTTGAATGCTTTGCTGGTAACTTTCAGGGACTGGTCACACCAAGACAAGACTTCAAAGAAAGGGGAAAATATCTATCCGATAACTTTGGAATGGACCCAACTGAGGCCAGAAAAATCTGGTGCTTTGGACCAGAAGGCACTGGTCCAAATCTGTTGACAGATGTAACTAAGGGAGTGCAGTACCTTAATGAAATCAAGGACAGTGTTGTTGCTGGATTCCAATGGGCAACAAAAGAGGTGAGCACTAAGGCTTTGCTGATTTGTGTAGGCAAGGTTACAAAGTGTACTAATACCATATTAAAAAGTCCCTGCTGCACATTTTACAGGATTGCTTGCTGGGTTTATTGCCCTGTGTATAAGTATCATGTGTTTGTAGGGTGATGCTAGTTTTGTGTTCTAACTATTTAATTTAACAAAAGATTGAATTATCACCATATTCTACAAAATACAATGAAAGAGAACCCTGCTAACACAAGAAGTAAGAAAAAACTGTATTCGATTTTATGCACTTCCCAATAAATATGTATTGTTGCAACTTGCAATACGAGTTGTTGCGATAAAATGAAAAAATGTCGGCCAGCCCAAAGCTAGAAGGGCATATAGCATGGCCATTGTTAACGGTTCTAAAGTTGACTGTATGAATGATCAAACAAACCCTCTTAATGTGTAATTTTAGTACTTAATATTCAAACTTGTTATTGGTATTATTTGTGTATTTCTTTTGTAGGGTGTACTCTGTGAAGAAAACGTTCGTGGCGTGCGATACGATATCCATGATGTAACTCTCCATGCTGATGCCATCCATCGTGGTGGTGGACAAATCATTGGAACAGCCAGGCGTGTCCTATATGCCTGTTCCTTAACAGCTAAGCCTTCCATAATGGAGCCAATCTACCTTGTAGAAATTGAGGTAAATTTATATTGGTAACATTGATCCTTTTTTGCCCATGTACTTGAACCATGTGCGTGATATTTAAGTTTGCCCAAATTTTTTTGTTTTCATGCTTCAAGATATTTGAATATTGTTTTTGGCATTCGTTCCTGGATGGCAAGAAATTTATTTCCATACTTGTGTATTTGTATCGGTTCCAGTTGAAAAGCATTGTAGATTTTTACATCCACTACATACTATTGACATTTGCTTTTTAATTAAACAGGTACCAGAATGTGCTGTTGGTGGCGTATTTTCTACATTGAACAAGAGGCGTGGAGAGATCGAGATTCATACACCTGCACCAGTAGGACGTGCCACAGATACCGTCAAAGCTTACCTGCCTGTAAATGAGTCATTTGGTAAGAACAGTTTTCAAGTTATGTCTTAATTTTGTTCGGACAACATTAAGCAGATTTGGAATTAGCCAGATCACGTAGTTGACACCTCCGTATATCCCATCATTTAGAAAACACTAGCAACCCCAAAAATTAGGGATGTTTAGAAGCTACATATAAAATTTGGTGTTTAGCTCGGTTTCTGAAAGTACAATGCAATTTGAATAAAATTTCTATGAATCAAATTTTAATGATACAAATTTCTCTTATGAATTTATTATTTTGCCTTGTCCTGAATTATCTTCAATGTATTACTACTAACTTATCCCTTTACAAATCTTTAGTTTTAAGAATCATACATTTCAATGTATTGAAGTTTTTTCACCCAACTGTAGAGGTATATTTGTCCTGTGTCAGAATTTCACACATTTATCAAAGAGTGTTACCCAACAAAAAGGATTGTTACAATGCACTCCTATTTACTCTTAGTTACAAGGTTGATTAAGCAACACTATTCAGAAAAATTGGTTTGAAGATCAGATCCATTGATATGTTGAAATCAGTTGTGAACATTTGGAACTCTTTTTATTTGCAGGATTTACAGCGCATTTGCGTTCTCAAACAGGAGGACAGGCTTTCCCACAGTGCGTGTTTGATCATTGGAAAATTCTGCCTGGAGATGTACACGATCCGAACTCCAATCCTGGAAAAATTGTTGTGGCAACAAGGAAACGAAAGGGTCTCTCTGAGGGTATTCCGGGCTTGGACAAATACCTCGACAAATTGTAAAGTGACACTTCAAATTTTGACTTGAATAGTGCTTAAAATGTCAAACAGTTCACCTTTGGTTTCAACATATGGTCTTTCAATACCCCTTTCTCAGATTTAGTTGTGCTAATAGAATAAGGCATATGATTATGTTGGTACTTCTATGTCCAAAAACACCAGTGCTAAGGGAAAAAATCCTTACGATTTGGACATACATTGCTCACTATTTTGGTTAATTTATTACTGAAAATTAAATGAGGACAAGTAAGTATATCGGAAATTGTACACCATTTTGAGATCATTGGTTCTACTTACGACTCCTTGAGTTGCCCAAAGAAATAAATGTGAAGAAATGTGTTTGTTTTGTGTTCTTTATGTATTACCATAGACCTTGGCTGCTTTCAGGAGCTAGTTTGTTTTAAATGATGGGCTTTAACAGGCTTTGTTATGACTTCTGAGGAGGCAGAATATGATTGGATGGACCTAAACCACCAGTCCTACTGATGAATGAAGGAGCCAAATTCAGCTCTTTACTTTGTGGTCCTTCTGACCACGCTACAAAATATTGATGTATTTTGGACCAGAATGAAAGTCTATTGACAAAAAACATAGACAATATCCAACCAGTCGAGTGATCATGTATGAAGCATCAGCTTTTTAGCAATTTCTTTGTATAATGACAATATCCAACCAGTCGAGTGATCATGTATGAAGCATCAGCTTTTTAGCAATTTCTTTGTATAATGACAATATCCAACCAGTCGAGTGATCATGTATGAAGCATCAGCTTTTTAGCAATTTCTTTGTATAATGACAATATCCAACCAGTCGAGTGATCATGTTTGAAGTGTCAGCGTTTTAGCAATTTCTTGGTATAATGACAATATCCAACCAGTAGAGTGATCATGTATGAAGTGTCAGCTTTTTAGCAATTTCTTGGTATAGGCTGCACTTGGAAAATCAACCACGATATGGAATATGTTCAATTCTGCATTTTCCCCCTTTCACTTGTCTCTGGCACGGATAAACCAGATGAAGAACCACAAATTTGTTGAGTGTCCAAGACTAAACTTGTGTAGATTATTTGTGTTACCATTCCATCTTTTGATCTAAACATGGCTGGGTCTCTTGCTTTGAAAGTACATGTAAAATTCTGCGACTGTCTAGTTGACCAAGCGCATAAAGACCCATGAACAGATGACCAGGATTTGAAGGCACAAATTTAAACATTTTAAAGTTTAGAACATAAACACAAGTTTGTGTTCTAGGGAACTTAAAGTTAGTGCTCATTGTTGTCAAAACAAGAAAATCTCCACATGTTCACAAAATCATAATTCAGGCTTCAAATCATGAATTGGGGTTAATATGATCAAAAGAAATACCAGAATAAGTAATGAATCCCGCAAAACCACCAGTAATACAAGCATCCAACACCTAACTTTATGTCGCACAAGGAAACCCAATATTCCAATTAGGTCATTTTCACGACCATAGACTACGTCCTGCATCTCGTAATTACGATCGCCATCTTTCATGGAAATCGTAATTTTGGGAATATGACTTGAAATATATCGAATAGACCGTGACGTGTTAATGTCGTAAGCTTGGATTTGAGGATTGTCAACCCGGACACCTTTATATTTCAATACCAAACAAAATTGCACCTTTTCAATCAACGGGGGCATTTCAATGTTTTCATACAAGACAGAAACTGGTAAAAAATATGAAAAAATTTAATCAGCTTATAAGACATTTAACGACAGCAAAGTGTTTACATATAGAAGCACTATTGTGTACTAGGTCTAGGGTAGGGTAGAGAATTTTCTACAAGGAGATCAAATGACATCGGTACTCGAATACAGGATTGTCTAGAAACGAATAGTTTCCGAATGCGCAACAGAACGTCTTCTGGAATTGTGTACTCCCCCGATATTGAAAATGTTCCGAAGATTTGTATGCAGAATTGTACATTTCCCTGCAAGCCTCATTGTGCCATAATGTGCTTCAAAAACTCTGCCTTAAAGCGAATCCTGGCTTTGGTATTACAGCGTCATTCTACTTACATACCCTACATACTTGTATGGGAACTTGTGAAAATTGTGTGTAATGTTGACAATGGCAGGAACACCTGTCTACCATTACTATGTACTCTCCCAACATTTTCGATTTTGCAATTACATTGTGTCCTCCGTGTAAATTTTCAACTGTCCTTTCCTAGTTCATCCCAAAACCTTTGTTTATACAGTATTGGGTGAGAAGACTGACATCCAATTTCAGGATGCTGCTGCTCAGAAACCGACTCTGATGAAAGATGCCACGGTTCCTTGTGCACACTTTGCATTTCATTATGAACACCCTAATGTGAAGTCTGATTGCTATAACCAAGAATTATACACATGGAAATTCTTTATATTTGCGCATGTTGATGATAGGTGGTGATAAATTGGATTAACAATCAATGTAATGTTGTATTCTTACTTCGTTACACCTAGTCTAAAATGTTTTGGAAATGTTATATCCTTCCTGGGATATTGAGCTTCTTTACGGTTTAAGCTTAGCAAACTTTCTTGATGCATCATTCTTCCCATAATATACTACATCTCTGTACAGAATAAAATTTTATTACTTCAAGCGGTACACCATTAACTTATGCAACCTGTTTTAAAGAGATGTAAAGAGACTTGCAAAAGAACGAGATTTGATTTTTTCCCTGACAGAGCTCTGAAATCCCTCTAGATAACTATTGTACATTTTTCTTGCTAGCATTCCTGGAAGCCCCTTTTGGTATGGAGTTCCCACATTTGATTAATTGGTTATTGTTGAAACCGACAGAACTACATTCTTTTTAACTGTTTCTGAAATAAAACACTGTGGTCAAGGTGTCAGACTGTATTCATTAATAGCCATCCACTTCAAGGTAGCATGTGTGAGGCCTATGTAGAGCAGTCACCATACTACAACACATCCTTTCGCCACAGTAGATCGCAGACTAGGTCCTTTTCCTTCCATATAACATTTATTTCAATCTCTTCAAAAATGGTGTCCTTTTCTTGTCTTGCACCTGCCATAATTACTACCGATGAAGGGAAGGTGTGAACGTTTCAAGTACTGTAGATCGCAGACTAGGTCCTTTTCCTTCCATATAACATTTATTTCAATCTCTTCAAAAATGGTGTCCTTTTCTTGTCTTGCACCTGCCATAATTACTTTGTACTACATGTATTCCAGTTTAGATATTTGGGTAGCTTTGATATTACTTACCTATGGTCAAAGGAAAGGACTTGGCCCTGCTTTCCTCAGTAATGACATTGTTTCTGTTTATTTCACGTTTTATTGCTGCTTTCTCACGTCATAGTCAGGTGAGAATCACAATGCCTATATCCAAGACTTCGACTGGTCCAGCATGTCATCCATATCTGACAGTCTGGAATACTGTATCAATTTGATACATGTCTTTTTAAGGCGAGGATCCCTTACTGATCTGGTGTATTTCAGCTTTGGTCTGACAAAGGCTGTTTTATTGATGTTGATGGAGGATATTTTTAAGTTTCGCATAAAAAACACAGGGAACTACTGGTTATTCTAATATGCGCACCCATTTCAGATAAGTGGTGATCATAACACTTGGGTGTAGCTTTATGTATATGATTCAGCTCTGTGGTGGAGTGCCATCCGATCTCCATTCTCAAGGGTGTCTTTCGCGGAGAAATAACATCACTACTGGATGTTACTGGAAAAAATACATAATTGTATCGTCTGTAAAAGCCAAACGGATAAGAGATAGCGTCTACGGTATCGTAGAATAAAAATCAACTGGGAACCTGGACTCCTGATTTAACAGGTAAGTGTTGAACCATTCGTTATCTAGGGAAAATCTGTTTACTAGATACTTAATAGTTTCGTTAGTTTGATCTTTCATTCATTCATATCTTTATTTCCTCCATAATTGAAGAGTACAAAAACATAGTAAACAAGCAGTGATTTATAAAGTGGGTGTACAAAAAGAAATCAGGGTGAAAGTGTAATAGAAAAAAAAGAAAGAAAAATGCATCAAAGAATATAAGAGTTGTTTACATAATAATGAGCAATAGAGTGCACAAATGAAAAAAAGAAGATATATCAAAAGTATGGGAAAATAAAGACACTGCGTAAATTGCAAAGCATTATAATTGTGAACAGCCTAGCTGTATTAAAGCTTCATTGAAATGTTAATTTAATTGGGTGGTCGGGTGGCGCAGTGTTAACGCACTCGCCTTTCACCTAGCCGGGGTTCGATTCCCGGAACTGGACGTGAAAAGGTAAGGGTTACCTGCCCGACCACGTGGGTTTTCCCCGGGTACTCCGATTTCCTCACACAATAAGACCCCTCGCGCGCTTACATCCGGGCCAACAAGAGTGATTATTATAAGTTGACAAAACTTGTTTCGCAATTGTTGTAAAATAAATGAAGTTTTTATTTAAATGTTAATCCGGACACTTTTATAATAAATACAAAACAATCCAATCTAAATGATTGGAATTCTACAACATTAGAGAATAACAATTACAGTTCTATAGGAACGGCCCCTAGCAGGGTTGTAATAAAACGTTCACGTTCCAAATTGTCAATATATATATAAACAGATACCGGGTAATCATTATCAATTTTGGTGAAAAAGTACCCCTTAGATCTACAATAATGGGATGGCGGCAACCGACGTAGCAGTGTGCTAAAGCATCTTCACAGCAGCTAGCACATTTTAAACATAATAACTCAGAGTCTGGATTAATTGTCCATAACGTTGCCATTTTCTGACATACCGTACCACTAAACGAACATTAAGTAAGCGCCAGAAAAACTGAAGTCATTGGTAGAATTCAAACGAGATTCCCAATTGCTCTATTCTTTTCTCAAAACTGTCATTTTAACTATTTGTTTCCAATGAGACTTCATCGGGAACATACCCGATTTTGTAAAGTCATAAATATAATTTTGTAGATCGTACTTATGTAAAATAAACCATATATTTGGGATAACACCATCGGTGCTTTGGTATATTTGATAATTCATATGCAATAAACGTAGTGCAAATATTTGCTTAACACCACAATGTGAAGTCAGATTACACAGCGACCCCATTGTTCCTTTTGTAATATATTGTCATACTAGTTGTACGCTGTTGTCTGTTAACAACTAAATATTCCAATCTCAAATCAGGTAATTTTGCTATAAGTTTCAGGTCTGAACGCGTTGGTTGAAATTCCGTATTTTACCCCTTTCCTCGTGTCTGTCGGAAGTGAAGGACTTACTTCCCTTGGAATGAAGCGATAACTTCCAGAAAATGGTCTGTGTATTTCAGTCTCTGTCTTTAACTTGACTACAAGTGTCAGTATGAATTCACAGCCGCCGTTTACGGTGAGAATTAGAACAGAACAGGAGCAGGATATGGACTGGATGGTACAACCGGGAGAAATTACGTTCCACCAGGCATTAGTAAGAAACACACCCTCTAGCATTAGTATCGTAATGCAGACGATTGAACAGATAAACAAGAAGTTTTCAGTATTCAAGTCCATTGCAAACCCAGTAATTCTGTGGTTTAGATTTTGTTTATTCTATCCATATTAGCATATTTTTGTGAATGCTACATCATTTATTTACTTACTAACTTATTTCTGATACTTTGTGATAGTGCACCTGTCATGCCCCGGAACGTGGCCATGCTTAATTAGTCATTCTATTACAAGATCAGGCACGCAATATTCATTTATTGCTACATTTTTGAGTTTATAAAATGCAGATCTTTTGTCTATTTGTGTATGTCAATGATTGTCACCCAACTTGCACTAAGCCTATATGTAAATGATATACTGATCCAGGTCGAGGTTAAGTTTATGCCCACCACTTCCTCTTGTATTCTGCTGTCAGAAATACATGTCTTTATCAATGCTTTCCTTTTGTTATTTAACTGTCTCAATCACAGGCTATTGTTTTATTTGTTAAAATCTTTGCAATTTGACATAAGTTAAAAGTTGCCTATCATATTATCAATATTGGGATTATTTGTCGTGATTTCATTTAATTGGACTACTAATAGTAATTACAAATAGCGTGTATAACATCTATTTCAGGAGGTCATTTCGCAAGTTTTACCTCAGGCATCTATCACTGCGTTTGAATGTAAGTATGAACAAATTTTTCCCAGAAACATGATAATTGCAGTTAATACTCCATTCATAAGGGGTATTTTTACAAAGAGGGTGCTATCTATTATACATCATCAGCCTGGTGCAACACAATCCAAGGAAAATGTGTTTATTAACGTTAAGATTAGCATTAACAATGTCTAGAAATAGTATGAGACTATTGCCATTCACATCCATGGTCCATTTTGATTATATTTATAAAATAAGAAAGTTTGACTAACAGTGAAAACATCCAAGATTGACAGTATGTATGGTTGGTTTTGACGTTTGGAGTATTTACAAAAGAAGTTTATGTTTCAAGTTTTTATAGCAGTTGAAGATGGGGCTATTTACAATAGAAGTTGCATTAAATGATTGGAGTAATTATGGTACAGAATCAGTTTTGTTTATAGAGCTGAAGTCTGAAGAATTTAAGGTGCAAGTTGATGTTTGAAGTATTTATTAGAGTAGTTGCGTTAGAAGTTAATGTTAATAGTAATTATGATACAAATTGGTTAGTCTATTGAGTGTGTATTTATATTAGCATTTTCATAATGTTATGTAAGGAATTATTATGGTAGAAGTTACAGTTTGAAATATTTATGGTAAAAGTTAAGGTATAGAATATTTTTTTTATGTTTTCAGATGAGGATGAGGAAGGAGACAGGATCACTGTCAGGAGTGATGAAGAGATGAGTACAATGTTTCAGATGGTGAGACGACAACTCCTGTAATGTTGTGGATGTGAAAGTTATATGTTTAGATATATAGTGTATATAGCCCTTAATAAACCCACATCTGAAAATAAGCCCAAAAGTATATATTGTACGTTCATGTGAAATGACAAAAAATGCTGTAGCATTGTTCTGTAACACACATGCCCCCCGATAATCAGTCTGGGAAGAAGTTTGGACCTCCTTGACATCTTACAGTATACAGATACATGTGTCCCAGGTCTGACACCACAATATATAGGTGATATTGGATGTCAGCTTTGTGACAATTGATACTCATTTGCTTCATTAGTCTATTTATACTTAAAGTGTATGTTATATTATTTACATTAAGGGTATAGTAGGGTTTATTGCATATAGAGCAGACATGATATAGAAATCATGTCTGTTTCTTCCATATTTTCATGAAAAAGCAATCATGTCAAACAAAGGATCTTTAATGTATTTCCATTAGATAGGGGATTTATGAAACTTATATCACAAATTTTTCATTCTATCTTGCCTAAACCCTTAGACTTATTTCATAAATTTCGCAAATCAAATGAAAAATCCTGCAAGATCCTGTATATTTATTTTGCATTATTACTGTGAAAATTGAGGTCAAAAATCATTTTGACTTTGAATATGTTGAAACTTTTGTGATTTGTCATTACTTATGTATTTCATCCTGTCGTATTTTGTCTGATTGGATAACTGTCCTTTTTATATCACAGAATCAAAAAAGAGTCCGCAATTATGACTAAGAAGATAAACTTAAAACAATATATTATTAATATTGATGATTTAATTGCAGTATTTTAGCTTACTCAGTGAAGAAGACATGGTACGGGGACTACTCCCTCCACTGATCATCTACCCCAGAGGTTTGTTACTGTATTTATATAATGCCTATAAGTAAAGTCAACAGTTCACTAACCAAACATATTAAACCATTTTAAAACCAAACATTTTTTTTTTTTTTTGTACAAAGCAGTCCTAATGATGACTTAATTCCTTAGATCCCTTCTTATCCTTATTTCATCAAAAGATTATAATTTACATGTATATAATTCCTCAGTTGTTTACTATAAAATTTTACTGATATCTTGACTTTTTCTAGCACTCTATAAATATGTGTGGATATCTTTGAAAATCTCTTGATTGTAACAGAAAGTTATGCGTCACAGTTATGTTTAACATTCATTATCAGACAGCCTAGAATTCAGTTTTATTTTATAGAAAGGAGCCAGATTTTAAGAGTGATTGACTTTTTTCCAATGATCATATAGGAGACTGAGGCTGTATTTCGGTTTCACTTTGACAAGTGTTTAAATGTTGATTATTAACATCATTTGCTTTGCATAGAAATACTGCTTCATATGATTGATATATTTTTTTAAGTGGGGAAGACAGCAAAAAACAGAAATATTCATGGATTGAAGGTAATTTCCTCTGATCAGTTACTTCATTGAACTGGGAAAAATGTATAATACTGTATTTATCCAGAAAGAAGCATATGTCTGTTAAAAAGATCATCCACATCTGTAGAATTTTCAGTAGAAATGTCAACATGTTACATTATTGTTCTACAATAAGCTCATTGTGAAAACTTATGTATAATATTCTGTGCCTTTGGTTATTGCAGAATAAATGCAGTTATATATACGGATAAAATCTTTGATTTGGTCCCTCTTGATAAAACGATCAGTTACTTATAAATAGAGTCCTCTCTATTTTTGTTTCACTGATCTAATTTCTGGAATTGGATTACAGATCAAAACAGATAAACAGTCCACAAGTAAACCAGCCAAGCTTGTAACAGGGGTCAAGCCTACTGTGGGGTGAGTTCTGGATTCTGTATGACCTTTTCTGATTGGTTTTCATCTTTCCTAATCATCCAATCAGATGGCATCTTTCTCAGACAGATAGAGAATTGAAAAATAAGTTGATGATCTACTGGTTCAGCACTTTGTTTGAAGGTGATAGCATTTGTGGCATGGATGCCATCATATTAGCTGCATTAGAAGCAGCTATTATTTTCTTGTCTTCTGCCTGAAACCTTACAGGACAGTGATAATTCGTTGATAAATACACATTGTATGACCCAGAATCTCCCACAGAGGTAGAGATAAAGTCAAATGCAGTGAGATATTTGATCATCTTTAATTGAGTATGATTTTGACTTGAAATTTCATCTGCTCCATCTCTTACTCCTAACATATTTCAAGGTCATACACATTTTCTCTTGCAGTCAGAACACAAACACGGTAAGTAACCAGCAACAGAACCAGTACCAACCCCAACAACAGCAACAACAACAGGTTCAGCAAACAGGCTATCAGCAACCACCCAACAACTATCAGCCACCAGGAGGAGCCAGTCTACGCCAGATCTTGTCAAACATGGTGATAGGTGACTCTGATCTACAGGTGTTGGATCTGTTAGGAAAGGGCAATGGTGGACTTGTTCATAGGTAAGATGGACACTTCTTGTGAACTGGTAAGGTTGATATATGCCTGTCTGTGATGAATACAAACTGATATTGCATAGGACTGTGGATCATATGGCAGTTTATGGACTTGAAATTCTCTAAAAATGGTTTTATGGATGTTATAAAACTCGTCAATGATAGACTGTCTGTCAGCTGGACACAAGGAGAATGTTAGTTATGATGTAGGAACACTCTGTCTGAAACTTGTATCAATAGTGAGGGAACTATAACAAGATGAGTGTAATTTGGATAATGAAAGAGCAATAATGTACAAGGTGTCATGAGAATATAAACAAATAGTGTGAATGCTGACCTAGGAATGCTTCCCAAGCACTTTAAAATTCATGCAAGGTCTTACTCATTGATGTAAGTCACTAATATGCATATTTGAAATGAATTAGAATGAAAACAGGGAAATACTTACAAATACAAAACCAATTAACAAAACAGTTTTGTGTATTCTGAAAGTATTCAGGTTTCAGATAATTGATTAAATGTATATTATCCCAATTTTTACTATCTCTTATTACAGAGCTTACCATAAACCTACAGGCACAATTATGGCTGTGAAGGTAAGATTTACCCTAAACCTACATGCACCATTATGGCTGACAAGGCTAGATTTATTCATAACTCACTGGCACTATTGTGCATGTCAGTGTAAAATTTACCATAACCTTACTGATACAATTATCAACCTTACTGTAATCATTATGTATGAATCAAAAATATCTGGAATGTTTTGGTACTTCCATGCCTGAAGTAAGCAGAAAAATACCATATACAGTTCTATTACTGGTTCACTTTATGACTTTGGACCCAAAGTAGGTAGGTTTGATGATAACAATAATGTTTAGCCTGCGATAGATGTTGACTTGTTACAAGGCATCTGCTCATTGCAGGATTAATGTGATACGCAAGATGCTGTACACATTATCTTCACACAGGAATGTTTGTTGTGTTGTAGGTGATGAAGCTAGATGTAGATGTGGATGTTCAGAGACAGATCATCTCAGAATTAGAAATACTCAGCAAGGTAATTATAGGCGGACATCTTTTATCAGTGATAACCCATGGAAATATCTTGAGCAAGATGATTGGGAGGGAAGAGAGTGAAGGGGTTGGGGTAGGATGATAAATATGAAAGGCAAATGATTTGGTAACATGTATTAGGGACAAATGGTAGAATGAATTGGGACAGGATCAGGTGGAGGGAATGAGAATGGGAATTAGGAAAGGGAATGGAGGACATGCAGTGATAGAATGAATGGGGATAGGTTTAAGTTTAAGGGTGAGTGGAAGGAGAGGCAGATAATAGGGACATAGTGGGATGGAGGGACTGAGGTAGGAATGAATGGAAAGGAATAGGGTGAATAAGGATAGAGTTGGATGGAGAGTCTGAGACAGGAATGAATGGAAAGGAATGGGGTGAATAAGGATAGAGTTGGATGTAGGGCCTGAGACAGGGATGAATGGAAAGGAATAGGGTGAATTAGGATAGAGTTGGATGGAGAGTCTGAGACAGGGATGAATGGAAAGGAATAGGGTGAATTAGGATAGAGTTGGATGGAGAGTCTGAGACAGGGATGAATGGAAAGGAATAGGGTGAATTAGGATAGAGTTGGATGGAGAGTCTGAGACAGGGATGAATGGAAAGGAATAGGATGAATTAGGATAGAGTTGGATGGAGAGTCTGAGACAGGGATGAATGGAAAGGAATAGGATGAATTAGGATAGAGTTGGATGGAGAGTCTGAGACAGGGATGAATGGAAAGGAATAGGATGAATTAGGATAGAGTTGGATGGAGAGTCTGAGACAGGGATGAATGGAAAGGAATAGGATGAATTAGGATAGAGTTGGATGGAGAGTCTGAGACAGGGATGAATGGAAAGGAATAGGATGAATTAGGATAGAGTTGGATGGAGAGTCTGAGACAGGGATGAATGGAAAGGAATAGGGTGAATTAGGATTGAGTGGGATGGAGAAGCAATTGATAGAATGAATGAGGATAGAAGGGTATAGGGTGATGTGTAAGTATGAGAGATAAAGAATTGCTTGGATTAGAGAGGGTGGGACACAGAGGACAGTAGAAATGATGGAGTTGAGTGGGTTGTAGAGAGGGGATTGGAAGTGAAGTGAATTAATTACTCAGCTTATTCCTAGTTTTTAATGGGAATACTTCTTAACTGATCATAATTCTTAATTCTCTTACATTAACGTACTTTTCAGTAGAACTTTATCAATATGATATATATTTTGATATGCTTATAATTTGTATTTTGATATGTTTCACAGATTCTTGCATCATTTCTCTTGTTTCTTGTACTTCTTGTACCTGTGTATAATATGACTTTTAATATACTTCACTTGCTTCAATATAAATTATTTTTCCTTTATTTATATTTTTTGACAGTGCAATTCTCCAGCCATCATAGATTTCTACAAGGCATTCTTTGTTGAAAATAGAATTTCCATATGCACAGAATATATGGATGGTAAGTGGACTCTTTTGTTTTGACACATCCTTTTCATACTGAATGAGATATTATTTGTGATCATACAAAATACATCAGAAAAAATAATGTAAAGGAACATTATCTGTGTCATAGGTGGGTCACTGGACCGTTACGGACAGGTACCAGAGCCTGTGCTCGGACGTATGGCAGTGTACATCATCCAGGGATTGTGTTACATGTGGAGTCTCAAAATATTACACAGAGGTGAGTTTACAATAGGAAGGTGAGGGCAACCACCATTCACTTACAATCCACTTACATCCAAATCACCATCCACTTACCATCCACTCAACATCCATCTACCATTTACTTACCACATGCTGTTTAGGAATGACCAAACTTCTACTCATGGTCATTATCCTGTAGATAAGGTAATGGACCTAATTCACAAACTTTGAGTCTGGTTAGGGAAGTTTACTTGTTACAATTCAATAAAACTGCATTAGTTAATATACCAGCAGAACTAGAATAGATGTTGGTGATCATTTAAACAGACATATTGACACATTGATACTGTTGTAACTGTTATAGCTCTTGGATGTGAAGATGTCTTCTTCTGGAAAAAATTTCCGCAAAATCAGATTTTTGATTTATCTTTAATATGACTTCTTTGATGAAGGTTTGACATATATTGTAATCCTTGTTATATACACCAGTTCTAAAGAAGTAATAAACACTGTGCATTTTGTTTTTGTTTTTGTACAGATATTAAACCGTCCAACATTCTAGTCAACACTTCTGGCCAAGTAAAATTATGTGATTTTGGAGTTAGTGTTCAGGTAAGTGCAGTGAGATCTGAGGTTGAAAACATTTAGGACAAAACATGATTGCAAAAACAACTTATATTCATAAAAAGACATTGGCAAAAAGAAATATCATAAAATTTGGATGTTTAGGATGAATTCAGTTTTAATTTCATATTCTATTTAAAGTGTCTCACTCAAATGTTATCAATAAAATAGTTGTAAAATTGTTTACCAGTTCAAAGATAGCAATTGCTTAATTATAGGAATGATCCTTTTAAAGGTTGTGGCACCAGTTATGTTTTGTTACAATGTCGAAGTATGAAAATTATTGAATATCTATGCATAGAACTTCAAATGTTTAACTAGATGAGATAAGTTTTTTGGCTAGAAAAATTGATGATCAGTTGTAGTGTATACGCTGGTTAGATATTTATGTCAGTTTGTAACCCAATCTTAGTAGGGACTTCTCGTCAACGAAGATACTATCATTATGGGTTGTCTTAATATTCAATGCAAATATGAAATACAGTGCGATAGAATTGAGTTAATCCCATTAAATGTGTGATATTGAATGATAAGATAAACATGTCTTTCCTGTTTCCAGCTGATCGAATCCATCACTAGGACATATGTAGGAACCAATGCTTACATGGCAGTAAGTAGTATTTCTTTACACCAGAACATGTATATATTTTTGAGACATATGAGTATCTACCCTGCTGTCAATAAGTTTTTTATACCCCTGCCATTTTATGAGAGGGAGGTGTAGACAGTAGTATTACCCATGTCTGTCTGTCGCATCCTGTTCAGTTACAAAGCAATGTCATATCTTGAGAACCTCTCAACAGATTTGATTCTTCTTTACCCCATAGTATCATCATTACGTACCGGTACTAATGCTGATCCAATTCTGGTTTGCAATTATGTCCATTATGAAATTTTTTTCTAGTTTAGTTAAGATTTTGTTACCATGTTGTTGAATCATCAGGTATGGTGTCATTACTAATGTAAACATCTTACGTAATGAAACAAACTGTGATACAATCAGTAAAAATCTTCTTTATAGCAATGATATTAAATCCAGGTCCAAATTTCACTCCAAACACTAAGTTACATTAAGTACAAATATTTGTTATTTTTATCTATGTGATAAATAGAATCTTATATTTTTTTCCGTTTGTTTTAGAGATTTACAAGACTGATGGCAAATTTGAATTTTTGCACCTACCAAATGCAAGCTGAAACAAATATATCAATCATAATTTTATGAATCTCAATGAAATTGACTGAAATGTGAGATTCTGTTTAGTGAATATCTGAACTGTGTAGTTACCACTTTATTTGAATATTTGAAGGTAAACAAGAAGAACTGTAGAAATTTATTTGTTTTGGAAAAGGAGTATAGAGCATAATGTTTATATCCCACAGCCAGAGCGGATACGAGGAGAAGAATACAGCTCTCCAGCTGAAGTTTGGAGCCTGGGATTCACACTCTTTGAAGTAAATATATATTTTAAAATGTATTCATTCTTTCTCTATCTCTTTTTTTTTTATTACTTGAAATAAGATTTAGGCTGTAAGTAGTGAATATACTTTTCCTTTCGGTGAGATTTTTGTTTTCACACTTCTCTTTAGATTAAGATATAGAAAGTTTATATGTTGATTATTAATTAGGATAATTGTTGTTTAGTTGCAGAAAAAGGAGCGAGAAGGACAATTTTATATTCTAAAGATTAATTTGTATACCTGGAGTTCACATTTTATTTGTTATGAATTCTCTGTACAAATCTTAAAATGTGATGTTATCTTGTCACTTACTCTCTTGAGTCTTGCCAACAATATGTTGTGTATAAATAAAGAGTTGGTGGGCAATTATTTCGTCTTATAGTTTTATTGCTTATCTTGCATTGTACTTAGCGTTAAAACTTGTTAGAATCTTTTTGTTAAGAAAAGAAAAAAGGTAGATGATTAAAAACACTATTTAAACAGATCATTGAATGTGATTTATCAATGTTATAGCAACTGCTTGACATATTTCTTGATCACAAAATGTAGTTTCTGTTTTCTCTGTCCTTCAGCTTGCTACTGGAGAAATTCCATATGGGAATGTAAGTATAAAAAATGTTTCCTTTCTGTTGTAGCCTCAGAGCTTTTTTGTAGATAAGTCACTGCATTGATCAAATCATTTGATGCAAAAGTTAGTTTTTCAACTGAAAATTTGATATTATTCAATACAAGGAAGTTTGTCAAAATGTTCTGATCAAGAAAACAAAAATGTTCAAAAGAAGAACATTTTCCAAAAGCCAAAGCCCAATAAATATATTTATATATTATATTATATGTGTTACTGGTACAGAATTCTGGACTTAAATGTAAACACCTCATTATGAGAGTTTGTTCTTTATTGATTTATCTATTCTTTTCTTTTCTTTTTTAGCCAAAGTCCTTTGCTACGGTAAGAGGAAAGCTGATTTTTCATAATTTGTTTATATAGTGTAATTGATAATCTCGACCCCATGGAGTGGGAGGGGCAGGGTAAAATATTGGAAATAGGACAAATTCTTTAATATCATACTTCTATAGGAATGATTGGATTTTGACCAAATTTTGTCAGAAGCATCCATGGAGGAATTGGAACAAATTTTATGTAAATGGTGGGTCTCGGCCCCCTGGGCAGGAGGTGTGGGGCCCAAATAGTGCAAATTCATTAAAATCCTACTTCTCCTGTAGGAATGATTGGATTTTGGTCTGAAGCATTGTTGGGGGAAGGGGATTCAATTTTGTATAACAGTGGGTCTCCGACCCCTGGGAGAGGTATGGAGGGGCATGGCCCAATAGGGGAAATAGCAAATTTGTAAAATCCTACCCCCCCTGTAGGAATGATTTGGTCTGAAATATGAATGGTTTGTTTTAAAGAAGCAGTTTCAGACAAGCAAAGTGAGGAGAGCAATGGGCCTCGTGTAATGTGAAAATATTCTTTTAAATGAAGTTAAAATAAAATGACTACCGTCAATGACTTTTATTCAAATGAATTTTGAAATGTTTTGTAATTATTAAAGTACATGTATCAGTTCATGGCATTAATTAGAAAGTTTACATTCTTTCAGCCAGTACACCTTCTGAACGTAATTGTATCCGAGGTAAGTAGAGCACATATGTAACTCTTTATATATATAGATAGATAAATAAAGGATCTCATATTAGATATCTGATGGTAGGCTATTCAAATTGCCCTACGTCCATAGTCTGTGGTTGTCTGTCCATAAATATTTTGTGATCACTATTTCTTGGGAAGTACTGGATGGATGATCTTTCTCAAATTTCATGTGTAGCTTTCCCTTGGTCCCTTTTAATGTGCTGCAATCTGATTGGCTGAATGTTTTACATGTCTGTCGGTTTCGCTTTCCGCTCGATATCTTGAGAAGGAATGATGGCCATGCTTATGATACTTGCATAAGTCCCTTGCTCAAGTTCGCGATGCGGCTGCAATCTGATTGGCTGAATGTTTTACATGTCTGCGGTTTCGCTTTCCACGCGATATCTTGAGAAGGAATGATGGGATTTCTGAAACTTGCTTATGATACTTGGTACATAAGTCCCTCGTAATCACCTTGTTGGCTGAATGTTTTACAGAGAATATCTTCCTTGCTTTGTGATACTTGGTACATAAGCCCCTCATTCGAGTTCAATGTTCACCCTGTCCGTTTCCCTGTCCGTCGATCCATATATCTGTCCATCTGTCCATTTTCATTGGATTTTGATGAAAGTTGCTTTCAATACTTGACACCTGTCCATATATTTCTTAATATTAAGAAACTCAATCATAAGGGGTAGGTATTATGCGGGGCCCTTCCTCGACATTGGTCTAGTTGTACCTGTTTAATGTTGGGACTGATCAAATGGATCTCTCTCAATCCTTGTTCTTTAGTTGTGATCTTTTGATTTTGGGACTGATCAGAGAAACAAATGGCTGACAGACAGCCACCTTGGATTTTGCCTTGTAAAATTTGTCATAGCTATTTCTTGAGAAGTGCTGAATGAATCTCTCTTGTATTAGTAAATGATATCTAATTTCCCCAGATTATTATAATTTTTTCTGAAAAGGAATGTTAAAATTTTATATCATTATGAGCAAAAACAGAGGAGAGTAGAGAAAAAATGAACAAGATCTGACTTAAAGAACAAATAAAGATCAAACAATGGTGAGCACCATGATCCCTCTAGTATTTTCTAGTGATAATCCATAGCTTTCTCTTCTTGTTCGTCTATCATTGACTTTGAGTAAGGGATATTATTGTGTTGGCCTCTAGGGTCCTGTAATTATCCAACCATCAGGCTTTGAGCAAGGGATATTGTGTTGGCCTCTAGGGTCCTGTAATTATCCAACCATCAGACTTTGAGTAAGGGATATTGTGTTGGCCTCTAGGGTCCTGTAATTATCCAACCATCAGACTTTGAGTAAGGGATATTGTGTTGGCCTCTAGGGTCCTGTAATTATCCAACCATCAGACTTTGAGCAAGGGATATTGTGTTGGCCTCTAGGGTCCTGTAATTATCCAACCATCAGACTTTGAGCAAGGGATATTGTGTTGGCCTCTAGGGTCCTGTAATTATCCAACCATCAGGCTTTGAGCAAGGGATATTGTGTTGGCCTCTAGGGTCCTGTAATTATCCAACCATCAGACTTTGAGTAAGGGATATTGTGTTGGCCTCTAGGGTCCTGTAATTATCCAACCATCAGGCTTTGAGCAAGGGATATTGTGTTGGCCTCTAGGGTCCTGTAATTATCCAACCATCAGACTTTGAGTAAGGGATATTGTGTTGGCCTCTAGGGTCCTGTAATTATCCAACCATCAGACTTTGAGTAAGGGATATTGTGTTGGCCTCTAGGGTCCTGTAATTATCCAACCATCAGGCTTTGAGCAAGGGATATTGTGTTGGCCTCTAGGGTCCTGTAATTATCCAACCATCAGACTTTGAGTAAGGATTATTTTGTTGGGCCCTAAGGGTTCTTTGATAATTCAACCATCTGACTTTGAGTAAGAAGTAACTTGTTGGCCCCATGGGGTTTTATGATAATCAAACTATTGGCCTTTGAGTAAGAAGTATTGTGTTGGCCCCTTTGAGTAAAAAGATATGTCTTGGCTCCCAGAGGTCCATTAATAACCCAATCATCTGACTTGGAATAAGAAGTAATATGTTGGACCCTTAGGCTTATAACAGGATACATATGATGATGTATTGGCCTTGTTATTTTTCCATTGCGGCAAATTGCATTTCAAAGGAATGAACTTCATACAAAAATTATATTGAGTATAAAAAAAGACGTAATAGAATTGATTGAGCAATGCAAAATAAAACACATGGTTTTAGTAAAAAGAAAATAGAAAAGAAAAATATAAGAAAAAATGATCATTTTGATATTAAACCTGTTGGAATTGAAATGAAATTGACAAGTGCTGTAAAAGATAAATAATCTTTAGCATTGCATTGATGTCTGTCCTGTCAGGATCAAACAATTTTTTGTGTTTCAGGAGCCACCAGGATTGCCTGCTGCCAACTTTTCTCCAGACTTCGTACATTTTGTAGAAAACTGGTAAAGTGGTTCTATTAAAATATTGTTCAATGACAAAATTACTGTCCATTTCATTGGTGTGCTATTTACATGTTTACACATCAAAGAAATAAAATTTAAAGCATGAAATAAACAGAAATTTTAGCAACAAAATAACATTAACAGAGAAAAGTGAAACCAGAGTGTTTCTTTTGAGAGACTGCAGAAAAATGAAAGAGCTTTTTGCAAAATTTTCATCATCTATCAAAATTTGATATGTATATTTTCTCATTAATGTACCAGTATGCGGAAGTCACCAGCACACAGATTGACATCAGAATTGTTAAAGGTCAGTAGTCATTCTAAAATGTTTGTCTCAATTGTAAGCTGATAATAAAAAAGTTTTTGGAAAGAAACCCTGCTGATAATATGACTTATGTTGTGTAACATTTCAAACTAAGATTATTGGTCTTAGGTTTTATCAAAGTCAATATATGCTACATGGCCAATCAGTTTCTTCATATATGTACTGTTTGCATATCCCTAAAAGTAAAGGTGGTAAATAATGTATGTCTGACATTTTAAACATTTTTTTATCTTTACAGGCACATCCTTTTATACAGCGTCATGATGATGGCAATATTAGTATAATAGCTGCCTTTATACAGAGTAAACTACTGCAAATACAGCAAGGCAAAGTCAGTTGATGGTCACTGTATGGGAGCTTGTGATACCTAAAGTCTGGTAAGGTGAAGTCAGCTGATAGTCACTGTGTGGGAGCTTGTGATACCTAAAGTCTGGTAAGGTGAAGTCAGCTGATAGTCACTGTGTGGAAACATGTCATACAGCAGGGCAAAGTCAGGTGATGGTCACTGTATGGGAGCTTGTGATACATAGGTAAAGCTGAGAGGAGTCAGCTGATGATCACTGTGTCAAAGCTTGTGATACCTTAAGTACAGTAGTGAGAAGTCAGCTAAAGATCACTGTGTTTGAGCTTGTGATACCTAAAAAACAGCAGAGTGATTTTAGCTGATAGTCACTTTTTGGAGCACGTTTGTGATACGGACATTAATACTGAAAAAAACTTTTTACAAATGCATACTTTACAAATTGCAAGTACAATTTATAATTGTTTGATGGGTATAAAAGTTTTTTTTTAGTTCTGAAATGCTTTATGGGTTTATCATCCTGCTCGTAGTAGCTGGTGGTTGCCTCACTGAACAAAAGACAGAAGGCCTAACATATTCTACCCAGAGCAATTGGGGTAAGACATCTTGCTCAAGAAGAAAACCATGACAGCATAGGCAGACACAAACCACCCAAAACTGGGGGCATTTAACCAGACACCTATTATTGTAATCTGAGGTTACTCACAGAAACACTCTATTCCTGTCCCCTGTTACAGTAATATAAATATATTGTTATATGAAAGAAAGAAATGTGGAAAAAGTTATTTACAACCAAAGGAAATTAGAATATTGCTTATACATGTGGTTTACTGTGTTGCTTTGGACTTGCACACCAAATCAGCCAATCATCAAGTGTTTTGTATACCTGTATTTGTAGTTTCCATTTGAGAATGTATAAATTTCATGACATATTTTGAATTAATTAAGACAGAATATAAAATGTTTCATGATGAAAAACATTGCAATTGATGTATCACACAGCTGTAAAGGATGAAAATTCTCAAGTCCTGGATCACTTTACTTTAAAACTTTCTGTTGTTGAAGTATTTAAGGCTATGAAGTCATATGCCATTAAAACATTTGAAGTAGGAACTGTGTCACCTTTGTAAAGTATGTGTCAATCATGCCAGTAATTCTGTGTTGAATTCCATACATACATCTATATAGAGAAGTTAATAACATGAAGATCAATATTAGTATAGGGACCATATATTATGTGCCAAATAGTGTGTTACGGTAGTCTAATGTTTGTTTATTTGAAGCTTGGAACTTCTTTTTAGCATCTTTATATGTGATGAATAAAATCTTTGGAATGAAATAATCATCAGACAAAACTAAACTTGCATTTTGTAGTTTTGGTTTGTTTTTTGTTTAAATGATGTTCACCTCCTGATAATTTCGTTGGCTCAGCTGATCTAACATGCCTATAGATCATCATGAAAAACTTTTAAAGCTACTTCTTCTGAACAGAAAGTCTTATTGAGGCAGAACTTTAAGTTATGAAATGTATTTAGATAAACCTTTCATACCGTTATCTGTCGTACCGTTTCTGTGATTTGATCAACTAAAGTAGCACTCCATAGTTTGTATGTGTTTTGACTTAACGTGACATGGTTAGGTAAAATCATGGACCACTTGTTTGAGAAAAATCTGTCCTGTCCCACACTAAACCTTTTTGTCTCGGGTGCAGTTACTATTCCTAAGGATAGATTTTAGTGTTTTGCAAATTCTTCCTAATGATATAGATCACACAAGGCTGAACTTTTATTTGAGAAACAAAGAATGACTTCATTAGCGTTTTGCTATGAATGTACCTTAAACAGACAACTAATCTGTATTACAGTGTCACATAACACCTTCAGTAAGTGTTTCACATTTTTTAAATACAAATTATGTATAATCATTAAAAAACCTGATTCTGAAATTCAAAAACATGTATTGGCTCATCATAGAAATAAATTTTAACTTCCAATGATAAAACAATGATAGTAAATAAATAAAAGTTTTATTCAGCTGCTAGAAAAACATACTTCCTCATCAAGAATAAACTGCAAATATCTGGTAAAATTAATTTTAAATTATGAAAATGACTATGCCTGATATTTGACTTCATCAAATCCATATCACAAGTTTGTGTGAGTTTCTTTGACCATTAAATAACACCATGTCCAAAATTGACAATTCATTCAAAATAAGAGATCCCAGAGGGATCTTGGTGCCCACCATTGTTTGATCTTTATATGCTCTTTGAAAGTTGGATCTTTTCCCTTCTTTTCTCTTCTCTGATGATAAGACAATTGAATATTCCTTCAATGGAAATAGCGACGAGTCTTTACTTGCCAAATCCAAAATGGTCATCTGGAAGCCATTTTGTTTCTTCTGATCAATTACATGAGCAAACAAGCACAAGGAGAGACCAAAGGGAACAGACATATGAAATTTGAGAGATATTCATGTGGAATTTTTTAACAAATAGCATTAACAATCTCTATGAGGCAAAATCCAAGATGGCTACCTGTCGGCCTTTTTGTTTTTCTGATCAGTAACGAAAACAAACAGGCACAGCTAGGGATCAAGGAAAGTATACACATGAAATTGAAGAGAGATCTATACAGTAGGTCTCAAAAAATAGCAATAACAAACTTGAAAAGTCAAAATCCAAGATTGCTGGCTGTCAGCCATTTAGTTTTTCGGATTAGACTCAAAATCAAACTGGCACAACTAGAGACCAAGGGGAACCTACATTTGAAATTTAAGAAAGATCCATCCAGTTTTTCTCAAGAAATAGCGCTAACAAACTTTCAAAATCAAAATTTAAGATGGCTGCATTTCAACCATTTTGTTTTTGTGATCCATCCCAAAATTCAATGGGCACAACTAGAGACCAGAGGGAATCTACATATGAAATTTGAGAGAGATCCATCCCTTTCTTTTCAAGAAATAGCGATAAACAATCTTCATTGGAAAAATCCAAGATGGTTGCCTGTTGGCCTTTTTGTATTTTTGATCTATCCCAAAATTGAAGGGCACAACTAGGGACCAAGTAGAACTACATATGAAATTTGAGAAAGATCCATCCCTTACTTCTCAAGAAATAGCGATAAGAAAAATTGTTTAATGGATGGATAAATGACCCCAGACACAGAGCAGTTTGAAAACCCCACCATTATCAGATGGTGGGCTAATGAGAAATTTAAATATACAAATTGAATTGTTTTTACCTGATATCATGGCGTGTATCTCAGGGCATGTATTGATTCACCTCCAAAGCTTCAAAATTTAGGCTATAAGCATCACTGTTGTGTCCAATTTATTTTGTTATTTGGCTCTACTACGTCTCTTAAACTTTTATTAAAAGGTGATGTTCACTTTTGCTTCTTTTATAAAATCCTCTTGACAACTAATGATTACAGATACACACTTCTCGTTCCTTGTGAAGGAATGTTGCCCTTGTCTTCTTTTAATCTCTTTGCTAACTAAATTTCTCTTATTTTCTATGAATGAGGTTAATCTATTCAAGGAATAGAATGTTCTTAAAGATATCTGACTGGTGTTATCCATATCAAAGAGAATTTTGTAGTGTAGAAATTAGGGTACAGGATATTTGAATCTGTAAGCGTTAGTGTTATTACATGTACTTATTAATGTGGATCACAAACCCTTCCTTAAAATACGTCATCTTGTTAAGTGATTCTTATTTCGAAACATATTGTCAGTGTTTTAGAATGTATTAAGTAAGATATTAAAATCTTCACTTAATGTTACGTAATGTGACAGCGGCACAGTGGCAGACTGAGGTTTCCACTCTCATTCTCAAGGGTCACCAGAATGAAAGCCCCCATGGCATTGGTGATATTTATCTGTATTTTATCAAAAGGATACAAGATCACATGATAGTTGAATCTTTAGTGCCCTCTTAAAATAATATTTTACCACTTGTCATCTTTAATTGTTGTACATGTTTCATTTCCAATATGAAGATTTCCCAAGATGAACCAGAAAATGAGCCATTCATAAGATGGTCCAATGTTCATGCTATAAAAATTTTATTCAACACTCTATATATTGTCAGAAAGTTTATCCCTTATGTTTGGTATGGTGAACAATATGATCGCTCAGTTTTTCTCAGGGAACATCATTGTAAGCTTTGTTGCTTTAGATTTGCATTTATGTTGCTGTTATATTGATTTACAAGCACAAAACATCATTTCTGACATAACTTAGCAGTTATAAAACTATGTTACAATGACCTACTTTTACTATGGAATAGAATAGTCTCCAATATGACCTTAATTTCATGTCATATCAAGACAACCTAACTCCAAGGTATTGATATACAAAACTAAAAGCCACCATTAGGCCCAAATTGGCATCTATTTTTTGGGACTATTTAGATCACCTAAACTTCTTAATTAATATACAATGTTACAACAGCAAACAACTTTAATTTTATAATACATTTATTATTTTTTGCTAAAATTATAATGTAATGAAGATTAAACAATGAGATTATGTGCATCTATTTCTTTTTCTTTGCTGGAGTGGCCTTTACTGGTGTTGGTGCTGGAGCAAATCGTGCCTGGGCAATCTTGTTGAGGTAGTATAATGCCACAATAGAGAAGATGAAACTGTTAAAAGAAAAGAACATTTGATCAAGGACTGTCATATTCTAAAGTTTCTCTTTAATCAGCTTTATTACACTTTCCACCTTTTGACTTTTGCCAGGAGGAGAAAGAATTCATCATAACTGGAAACAATTCATAGACCATAAACTTGTAAATCAATTTCAATGATGCTAAACAGGAATGTTAGGCACCATATGTAGGTTTGCATCTAGGTTTTATTCTGCAGAAATTTTGGTTGCAATGGTAACCAGGTCACTATACACAGATTTTTGTGTAATGGCCCATAATACATCAGTCCTTTCATTTATTTGATGAAACATGGCCTAATAGCTTATCTTAGCCTACACATCAGGTGTTTCCAGAACCATTACTTTGGAAATATAAAGGAGGCTTCTGATGGTTGAAAGAGAGATTTTGTCTGATTGTGCTGAAAATTGATATATAAGTGTTAAAAAGAATGAAAATTACAACAGTACTATTTTCCAAAGTATCTGATGTCATTTAGTTGCCCTGGTAACTAAACAAAACTTACAGGACTTAAAAATCAATTTCAATGACCCTATATAGGAATGCATGCATCACAAGTCATAATTTATGTAGATGTACATGCAAGTTTTTTTTTTCTCTTTTGAGAAAATTTTGGTTTTCTTGGTAACCAGTTCATTATACATATGTATTTGTGTTATGGCCCATAGTTTTATAATACATGTTGAGGAAAAATTCATCAAATTGTGATATTGAACCACCTAACTTACAATATATAGCCAACTAATGGACCAGTCAAACCCTAAAACTATGCCACACACAAAGGACTTAAAGGCTCATTCAGATGCCTTGCTAAAATTGTGACTGACACCTTAATACCAATCCTGACACCCTGAATACCAAGGCTGTCACTCTGATGGCAGGATAAAGCCCCACCCAACAACTGAATACCAAGGCTGTCACACTGATGGCAGGATACAGCCCCACCCAACAACTGAATACCAATGTTGTCACTCTGATGGCAGGATAAAGACCCACCCAACAACTGAATACCAAGGCTGTCTCACTGATGGCAGGATAAAGCTCCATCCAACACCTGAATACCAAGGCTGTCACTCTGATGGCAGGATAAAGCTCCACCCAACACCTGAATACCAAGGCTGCCACTCTGATGGCAGGATAAAGCCCCACCCAACAACTGAATACCAAGGCTGTCACTCTGATGGCAGGATAAAGCTCCACCCAACACTTGATTGCCAAGGCTGTCACTCTGATGGCAGGATAAAGACCCACGCAACAACTGAATAACAAGGCTGTCACTCTGATGGCAGGATAAAGCTCCACCCAACACTTGATTGCCAAGGCTGTCACTCTGATGGCAGGATAAAGCTCCACCCAACACTTGATTGCCAAGGCTGTCACTCTGATGGCAGGATAAAGCTCCACCCAACACTTGATTGCCAAGGCTGTCACTCTGATGGCATGATAAAGCTCCACCCAACAATTGAATACCAATGTTGTCACTCTGATGGCAGGATAAAGCCCCACCCAACAACTGAATACCAAGGCTGTCACTCTGATGGCAGGATAAAGCCCCACCCAACAACTGAATACCAAGGCTGTCACTCTGATGGCAGGATAAAGCTCCACCCAACACTTGATTGCCAAGGCTGTCACTCTGATGACAGGATAAAACCCAACCCAATACTTGATTACCAAGGCTGTCACACTGATGGCAGGATAAAGCTCCACCCAACACCTGAATACCAAGGCTGTCACTCTGATGGCAAGATAAAGCCCAACCCAATACTTGATTACCAAGGCTGTCACACTGATGGCAGGATAAAGACCCACCCAACAACTGAATACCAAGGCTGTCACTCTGATGGCAGGATACAGCCCCACCCAACAACTGAATACCAATGTTGTCCCTCTGATGGCAGGATAAAGACCCACCCAACAACTGAATACCAAGGCTGTCACACTGATGGCAGGATAAAGCTCCACCCAACACCTGAATACCAAGGCTGTCACTCTGATGGCAGGATAAAGCTCCACCCAACAACTGAATACCAATGTTGTCACTCTGATGGCAGGATAAAGACCCACCCAACAACTGAATACCAAGGCTGTCACACTGATGGCAGGATAAAGACCCACCCAACAACTGAATAACAATGTTGTCACTCTGATGGCAGGATAAAGACCCACCCAACAACTGAATACCAAGGCTGTCTCACTGATGGCAGGATAAAGACCCACCCAACAACTGAATACCAAGGCTGTCACTCTGATGGCAGGATAAAGCTCCACCCAACACCTGAATACCAAGGCTGTCACTCTGATGGCAGGATAAAGCCCAACCCAATACTTGATTACCAAGGCTGTCACACTGATGGCAGGATAAAGCCCCACCCAACAACTGAATACCAATGTTGTCACTCTGATGGCATGATAAAGCTCCACCCAACAATTGAATACCAATGTTGTCACTCTGATGGCAGGATAAAGACCCACCCAACAACTGAATACCAAGGCTGTCTCACTGATGGCAGGATAAAGACCCACCCAACAACTGAATACCAAGGCTGTCACTCTGATGGCAGGATAAAGCCCAACCCAATACTTGATTACCAATGTTGTCACTCTGATGGCAGGATAAAGACCCACCCAACAACTGAATACCAAGGCTGTCACTCTGATGGCAGGATGAAGCTCCACCCAACAACTGAATACCAAGACTGTCACACTGATGGCATGATAAAGCTCCACCCAACAACTGAATACCAATGTTGTCACTCTGATGGCATGATAAAGCCCCACCCAACAACTGAATACCAATGTTGTCACACTGATGGCAGGATAAAGCCCCACCCAACAACTGAATACCAAGGCTGTCACTCTGATGGCAGGATACAGCCCCACCCAACAACTGAATACCAATGTTGTCACTCTGATGGCATGATAAAGCTCCACCCAACAATTGAATACCAATGTTGTCACTCTGATGGCAGGATAAAGCTCCACCCAACACTTGAATAACTATGCCTTCATTGAGAAGATGAAAGTAGACATTAAATCACTAACCCACCTCTTACCACATACGAGTCCCACTGTATTGTACTCTTGTTGTTTTTATCCAATCATTATGGACCAGGCCTGTTGCAGTAAACATACCATGTTATATAATAAACTCAATGGATTAAGCCTTTTGTAGTATACTTACCATGTTGTTACACAAACTCTATGGACCAGACCTGAGGCAAACATGGCCACCACTAAACAGAATCCCACTACAAAAAAACATATCACTTAATATCAACAAATCAAACCATAATGCTTTTCTACATGAATTTGACAGCAGTCTGTATATAAATAAATTGGAAAAATAAAGTTATGTTTTCCTTATTGGGAAGACTTTTTAATTTTTTTCTTCACATTTGGGGAAAGTACAGATTTTGGCTGGAGAAACAGCTTGTTTTCAACTGTCAGATTCACTACAAATGATGCAATGTATATTCAAAGTGAGTTATATCTATTCCTTAATTTTGAAAAGGTGCTCAATGTAACACTTCATTCCTATTGTTCTCATCTTTGTTCTCAACTCCATACAGTAATCACCAAATGATTGATGAGAGAGGAGGAAATCTACGATAAAGATGACCTCTATAACAGCTAATAGGTTACCATAATTCATTGTAAAATATTTTAATCTAGATAAATCTTTGACATTGACCTTTATAATACAGTACTTTATACACTATGATAATATCAAATTTAATTATCAAGTTACTCATGATGTTGTCAAGCTTCAAATTTTTAAACTTGCATGGACACAGTATTAATAATCTTACATAAGAAATTATGTTTTTAACCTCACCTTCTGGAAATAGCTTTGCTTGAAATCCCTGTCCAAAAAGTGTTGATTCCAGATTACTAACACCCTGTGTATGAGTTAAGGTATCAACTCTAATCCAGGACTCTAGTATATTATAAGCATGTGGTACAGAAAAGACTGATCCATTTCTCAGCTTCCTGAGAAACATGAACTGCCATCACAAGTAGGAAGCATAAAACCACACACCAAAGATCTTCACTTAAGGTTATGTAGGCTAACGCTCTAACTGACTAAGCTCTTACAGTCCCCTTTCCAGGTTCCCTTCATTCTAACAGACAATGATGGAATCTACAAACATTCTGACAATAATGACACAATTACTAGAATTCCAAATTTCAGTAAGACTTTGATTCAAGAAAATCAATAAAAAAAAATGAAAATGTACATCTGGTCTGCCTCTAATAAATTTCATAAAAATTGCAGATAAGGATACAGTTAACAGGAAAACAAAGAACCAGCTTCCCATGAATCCTCCGATTACTGTCATGTACTCTGTTGCTGCTAACTGCTGTTTGAACATCTGCATGCCTGCAAAAAGTCCTAGGCCCAGTGTGAGGGACAGCACAGATGACACAGCACTGGATACAGCTACAACCAAAGCAAACAAACCAATGATAAGCGCTTTCTGTCAAAATTGTTACAGTTTATTCAATTTCTAATTGAATTAAGTTTCTTTAGTGTCAGGAGTGTTTTCAATATTCAAACCCTGAACACAAGTCCTCCAGGCTTTCCCTTTTTCTTTACTTTCAATCTATATTTAATGTGGAATTAAGAATACAAAATTTGCAGAGAAACCTTAAAATAGCCTTAGGTAACACCCTACTTTGTTTGTCAGATAAGGCTAAAATCTACATTTAAGTCAGTAGGTGATTAATCCTTAGACTGTGACTGTTATTGGAGAGGATGCATGAAACTCTTCCCAACTGAAGAAAAGTTGAGCTAACCCATCCAGTACATTTTTTAAAATCGGAAAGTAATTATGTTTCTCATCTTATGGTTGTTTTTACTTTAAAAGAGCATCACCACATACAAGTCGAAATGATCTTTATATTGTTGGTTCAGAATTTCAATGCACATTCCAAACTGACAGTTTTGAACAAGCCAACAGGGTGAAATTATAATGAACAGTAAAAGATGAAGATTATAATTTGTCAGTGTAACATTAATTATCTGAATATGTAAAAGTATAAGGTTGGTGTGACTTGCACATTCATGTTTAAAACAGTTTCCATAATTATTCTGTCATGCTTCTTCACCAAAGCTGTGGATTATCAGGCCAGAGTTCCATGTTGGGGCACTCAACTAATACACAAACACCAAAGAAATTCCCATTCCCTACTTCAGGAATAAGTTGTCAAGATATCAGGATTTGGTAAAACTTCTAAGGAATTCTAATAATCAACATGAATGAACCAGCATATTCAAACATGTCTTTTGTAATGAACACTCACTCAAGCATGAATGCCAAAGATTCACACTGACACCTTCAGTCATTGTCATCTTACCAGACAGAGACTTCTATAGCAACATTTTCAAAGGAACGTAGTGCAATGTAAGATGTTAGTAAAGATAATGTACATATACGTACATAATGTAGATAGCTTGGGTTACAATTACATTTTACATTGTAGGATATTTTAAGTAAACAACGCTGTCCATATCCAACATTTGTTTATGCATATTTTCAAATGGAAAATTGTTAAGTGTTACTACGATTTTTTTCTTATTTTCATCAAATACAACTTTCACACCAGCACAGTTCACTACTACAGTATCACGGGGAATACAACCCCCAGGGCTACAGTAGATAAGACCCTGTGGTTGTCTGGTACAACAGTGCGCCGGCATGGCGTTTTCATAAAATTAAGTCAATTGCGTGAGTACAAAATATCTAAAACAGTAAAAATAATAAAGACTTTAACACTCGCTGCATAGAATTACTATAATATATAGTTATCTTACGCATTTTCGTTGTTTGTTTTCCAATGGGCTACTTTTCGACTTAACTGCCTGCGTGGAAACCGGAAACAGGGTAATTCATCTAAATTTAGGTCAGCACAAACGGACTAAGTTTCCGTTTTGGGCGTACAAATATCATTGTACATCGCTAAATATATCAATAATAAGTTTACCGTGCCATAGTTTTTCTAACATCGACACAAGTAAAAAAGAAAACAGCAAACAATTTTCAGCTGAGCAGCAAATCTAAGAGATGTGTAAAAGGTTTCGAATAATTGTACTATCGGTGAAGCTAAATTATTAGAATCTGTTCAAATCATTGATGCAATGAAAATAGTTACTGGGTTAAGAGGAGGAACATCAAATCAGGAATTATGCATTGAAACAGGTTTTGAACTACTATCTCCTAGTGTCATAAACATAAACTTACCCTAATGTCTAAAATTCTAACTTTAATCATATGACACCTTATACACTCGTATAATATTATTGAACCCTATATTAATTATGATGTTTCACCGTATAACCTTAGACAACACAGATTATCTAAAATTCCTCTTTTAGAACTAATTTGTTTGGTAATAGCTTTTCCATATGTCACAAGAACTCTCTTAACCAAGAATCATCATTAGCACATTTTTTTTTAAAATCTAAATTGAATAATGATACAGCCCATGTTACAAAGATATCTCCTAGTCCTGCACTTTAGTCCTAGAAAACTTAGATATAATGCAAATGATTTAAATTATGATAAATTTGTAGATTATCACCTTCCCGACTCGTCTTTGTGCCATCCTACTGAAAAATCAGAACATTCCCCTTTTCTTCTATCCAAATTATTGCTCTTCCAGAAACGTAATCCATAATATCTATACCAGAACTGGCGATCTAGATGTTCAACTACTGACATCTGCAAATGTTAATTTCTCTCTTGAAATCAATAATTTTATCCTATCTTATGTGGAAAAAAATTATTGTAGAAAGTAAACGTTTAGGATGTTAACCTATTTTCTTCTTACATTTGTGCACTTTACACCAAAAGTTCTTACAGTAATTTTCTAATTTAATATTATTTATACTTCAAAATTTATGATCAGATTTTCATTAATTTATTAATCATATTGATAGCTGCTAGTACTTAGATTGTGTGATGGTATGGATCAGTAATGATAGTATGGCATATGGTTGAATGTAATGAGTATGGGTGTACTTATAATGTGCAAGTTTTCGAAATTTTTCCTTTTTCAAAGTCTCTTACATACCTATCACCACCATGGAGAAGTCTGTTATCTAATCCCAATAAATATATTGTTTATTTATTTAGTAAAATTTGTTGAAATGAAATTGTGTAAAAAATATAATAGCACATGCATGATCCCGTGAGTACACTCCAACCCGGCCACTCCCACCCCGTACCTCCGAAGGAACATGGTTTTTCCTGCAATTGGTGACGTGATATGAATATCTATAACTGTATCATGATTAATTGGCGTAATAATGAACCATGATGTAGACATCAGTAATGAACCATGATGTAGACATCAGTAATGAACCATGATGTAGACATCAGTAATGAACCATGATACAGGCACCAGCACTTACCATGATACAGGCACCACCGAGCACTTACCATGATACAGGCACCACCGAACACTTACCATGATACAGGCACCACCGAACACTTACCATGATACAGGCACCACCGAGCACTTACCATGATACAGGCACCACCGAACACTTACCATGATACAGGCACCACCGAACACTTACCATGATACAGGCACCAGCACTTACCATGATACAGGCACCACCGAACACTTACCATGATACAGGCACCAGCACTTACCATGATACAGGCACCACCGAACACTTACCATGATACAGGCACCACTGAACACTTACCATGATACAGGCACCAGCACTTACCATGATACAGGCACCACCGAACACTTACCATGATACAGGCACCACCGAACACTTACCATGATACAGGCACCAGTATTAGTATTGAATCATGACCGTAGACGTCAGTCGTGGACCATAGACACCAATACTGAACCATGATTACACTTGAGCATTGAACATACTGTAGACACTAAGGCCATAAATCATGATATAGACACCGACCAAGAAGGTTGTACAAAAGACATACACGTGAATAGTACCTTTTGAAAAAGATTTAGATAAGACACAGTAGAGCCAATCACTGCTTCATACAGACTCATCAGTGAAACTAAAGACCAATATTTTAAATCTCTGAGGAGTCGCCTGAGGAAAACTTAAACTGATCGAAAGAAATATCAAAATATAGATTAGAAGATGTACTGACATTTCAGAAAATTTCATGAATTTCATCTGACAATTTTAACAGAACGCCAATTACATGTGTATATTCTGAACTGTGATGTTACCATAGACACCATATAGATAATATATACCACATATAATACTAACGATTTTCTACAAAATATGACCATTGTCAAAGTGCAAATTAAGTGACAAAAAATGGCTCACGGTTCCCGACGCCCTCGTAACAACAGATGCTTCTTCTTTGGGACATGGTTGCGCAAAGGGGTTGATAAATATATGTTTGTTCACACTGGACTGGATAAAAACTTGTTTGTGTGATTAGACCAGTGTCTATCGTCTGGATGATTGGAAACACTCAAGGGAAAGTGCCTCGACCAAATTGTCAGGTAGAGAATTTCATCTGTTTACAGGTTTGTTTCTGAAAGCATGACCCCTGATATTTGTCGTGAATCTATTTTGTATTTTTTAACAACATTTCCCTTTGTGTTTTGATTATCTAGGACATGCCAGACTGGTTGATTGACTATATCTAAAGTGTTCAAAATTGTATAGACTTCTACCATATCTATAAATCTTTAGAATTGACCAATAATGTTGTTACTAAATGTATACCGATAATTTGATGTCTGAATCAAACAATCCAAAGAAAAGTTGTTTTAAAAGGTCATCGGATTTACAATTTGCTTAGTTTCACTACCAGTTACACCACGAATATGATACGTTGGACCTAGATGTTTCTACTAACAAGTCAATGATATGGCTCCTGTAGTCTGACAGGAAAAATGATCGAAATATCCGTATGTCCTAATAATACAAATGTTATCGTGAGTATACCAAATGCAATGCAATGAACATTCCCAGTATTATATTCGTCTACACAGTACGAAAATTTTCCCAAATATATGATGTTATATTCGCCAAGACAGAACGAAAATGATCACAGTAAAATTATGTTATATACGTCTAGACAGTACGCAAAAAAAAAAAAAAAAAAACACAAATAAACAATGTTTTAAATTAGATATGAATTTAACACAGTGAAAACCTTTTTTCAATAATTTTATCCGTGTTAATTCGTATCATTATCATTTCTTTTAATATGTCTAGAAAGCTATGAACTTGGTTAATATCTAAAAGTTTCTGAAAATTGGATAGATGAAGCTAGATATCAATCTCATATTTTGAAATTAAACTTTTTTTCCTGAAATATGTACATATGTATAATAAACATTACGATCCAGGAGTCCAAATCACGTAATAGACAGTTTGCCACTCTGCATTACAACTCAGTTCCAAACGTCATTTTTGTGAGATGTCGTGGTCGTGTAATGGTTATGCAGCTGTAGAATTCCATGGCTAGGCGATTTGGTACCGTAGACCGTGAGTTCGAGGACCGGATATTACCCGAGTCAAAAAGTTGTGTTACAAGGCCCAAATATTAATAGATTGACCAAATGTATCATATACCGTATCATATGTTGATGGCCTGTTGGAAGCTGAACTCATTTATGATATATATGATATATGATAACAACAAAAAAACTTCTGTGTGAAATATACAAATATTTATTTATTTTTTCACAATGTGAAACATAATATACAGTCATCATTTAATCGGGACATAGATTCCGTGTGTAAAAGCTTAACCCAGATACATTTTGTTCTTCTAATCGAAAATAGTGGTTAAGTGATACCCTCAAAATCAATTCTTCATTGTTGGCCATCCTGTAATTCTTTAGATTTTTGTCTCTCCATCCAAGAACGAAGACACTGATCCTGTTGGACGGTTGATCCATTCCCTAAGTGTGGCCGTGCTTCAGTGTCCGATACATCAAGGATGGCACCGGGCAACACATACTCTTCGGCCGACACCACGGTACAAGGGGTTCGAAACCCTCGTGCTGCGCCGGGACGAACTCTTTTTTCGTTTGAAATTTGGCTGATACAAAAGTCTTGTCCTGCTTTTATTCGGATTCTCTTGTCATCCGAAATTGAGGACAGGGATTTCACCTGATCTACACCATCAATTACAGCCTGCATATCCTGTTCCAGTTTCCTGACATCGTCTGTGATATTAGCACCAAGGCTGTCACTGATAGGTTTCCTCGGACCTTTGGCAGCTTGTGGTCTGAAGTTATTCACTCTTAGGCAAGATTCAATCTTCCACATCTTTATTTTCTCCTCCATTACCTGTAAGTTTACTTCGTCGTCATCTTCAGGTATGCCCTCGACAATCACAGCCTTTTGCAAGGATATTTCTTCAGATTTGTTCTTTTCTAAAGTTTCGGTCATGACTTCTTCAAGTTTTGATTTTGGCCTCGGACTGCGTCGATTTGCATCCGCAGGAGATTTGCTCAATATCTGCGATACATTCCTGATACGAGACGATGTTCTAGAATCTGGCTTGTCTTCAACTTTCCTTATTCTCCATCTTCTCCATCTCCAAGTAAAATTCTTTCCGGGTTTACGACCAACCATTGAAAGCAAGTTCCTCGATTCTGTACAACCCATGACTATAGGCACATTACCATCAAAAACACTGTAGCAATTAATAAAGCAAACAGAAAGGCTGCGCGATCCCGAAATGCATATGCAATAGTAATTATGACGTCATGCTCATTGTACGTCATTAATGCCCCATGATCGATATAGTATAATCATTTTTCTAATTAGTCCGCCATCGATAGAAAACCATTACGCGAAAATAGAAATGGAGAAACAGAACTAAATTCATCATTTTTTCGCAGCGACATCTTAAAATGATCGTTTTTCTCAATGCGACCGTACGAAGAGTCGTCATTTCGTCCATCCGGAAACGACAAAATAAGTATATATACCATCGAAACAACCTTCTACACAACATACGGAAGATTGTGTCGATACTGTTGGTGTGGATGGGATGACACAGAAGTTAGGAATTTCGTTTTGAAGAATCTAAGAGAGTCGGCTATGACAAGATCTGGTGTAAGTTTGTTCTATTCTGAGATAGTTTTAGGAAAGGAGTATTTCCGATAGTCAGTTCTACCGTACAATGTTTTATAGGAAAAAGGATGCCAGGGTCGAGTCTGACAACACTTCACTGTACCACAACCAATTTATAAATATTGTCTTGTTGGTAGTGGTCATAGAGTGCAATCATATTCCAAAGAAGGACGCACGAGAGACATAAAAGCTTTTTTTTTTTTTAAAAGATATCTTAAAATTTCGCCAAAAGAAGCCCAAAGACTTGCTGTCTTTGTTACATATGTTGGTAATGTGGGAATCCTATTTCAGATGTTGTTGTATTGTCATGCCAAAATAACTCGCCTTTAATTCTCAGTCTATTGAAGGCAGTTGCCCTGTAGATGATATTTGTAGTTTATCGAGTTTTTTAATTCCATTTTCCATCTTTTTCCCAGTCATATAATTTGTCAATATCTTTTTGTAAAACTGAAGCATCCTTATTAGAAGTGAGTGATACATGCAGTGGTGTCATTGGTTAACAGTCTTACTATGTAGGAGAGATCAAAGGGGAGGGCCACTATATAGCAAAGCTCAAACAAAAAAAAGCAAAAAACCGGTCCGAGGACCGGCATGGGGGACCCCTGACTCTGTACGTAGGAAGTCAGTTCTCCGCCGAGTGTTACGTCGATTATGTACTACTGGAAATGAAATTCTCTATCCAATTGATGCCCCTGATCTAGTGGTGATTTGATTGGTGGACGAAGATATTGTGTCCGACTTTGTCATACGCCTTAGCGAAGTCAAGAATAAGGACGTCTGTCTGTTTCTGATTTTCAACTTTTTGGAAATATCAAATAACCAGATGAAAACTCCAAAAAGCTCGGTTTTACGGGATCTAGAATGACAGAAGCCGGAAGGTGTTGTAATGAGAGACTATGTTGGCTTTGTCTGCATGTGATATCAAATTACTAACAGTTATATGATCAAGGAGCTTGCTACATACTTTCAGAGACGTATATATCGATATATACGTATCTGATATGTTCAGGGTTGTGCTTTGAACCTTTGTTATATATAATTATCGCTATTTTGCCATATCAAAAGGACAAGAGCGCAGCGTTCGTTTTTAAATCTCATGATTTCTAACTATATGGTGAAAGCTGAATCGTATTCTGGGACTCGTCGAAATTCAAACATTCCAAAATGTTAAAATTATTTCAAAACGATGCCGCTTAGTCTATTGCTTAGTGGTAAACATATGTTTTGTGGGACAATCGTGAAACCTTCATTGGTTTTTAGTTACCTATTTATCGCTGTTTCTATTACTGTAAGGGCCGTTCAGCTTATATTTATAATATATACACGGTACATGACGATTTAACAAATGGCGACATGGTACATGACGGTGAAGGACCACACGCAGTCGTGAGTGTCTATACCGCTTTCTTTGCACAATTAATGATGGTCCCGTTTTAGTACAATATTCGTGAGGAAAAGGCGATCTTTATTAGAGTTACTGACTTTACTGTAGTGAGTATGATCCCATTGACTTACAGATATTCTCTTTGGTGTAGAACACATAAATCATTCACTCGAGTTATTTCTTAATCATATTTCATCAATATATAATATTGCAAATATCAACGGACATATGGCACGTTTTTTTCACAATTTTACGCTAATATGACCCAACGGTCGATTTAACTACGGCGTTAGCCTACTTTACCGATCGAGCAATTTTATACTTGTATCGTCTGCTACCACATGTGGTCTATGTTGACATCCGGGACCTTCCGATAACAGAAGAAAAATGAGCTTTGGAACACCTTTAGAATTTACCATGAACCATGTTAAATATAAATCTCAAGTTGAGCGAAAATATTTATTTTTTATTTAACTGGCCAGCGTTTTGCTGTCTTGAATTTTAATAAATTAAGTTTTATCAAAGTAACATATATTTGATCGAGATTTTATTGTTTAAACAACGCTTTTATTTATAACTGCACTGCGGGATAGCCATAATTGACTCCGCAGACAGAATCTTTGCATTTCTGAGTACACTTCGAGTGAGAAAGAGTAAGGAATGTTTATTTTGTGACTGAATTAATTTTTTTTGCTCATGTGATTGTGTAGCATCATGAGTGAAACAAAGAGAAAAAGGCACAGCGTTGGAGGAAGAATGAGATCGGATAATGGAGAAAATTTCCACCATAGAAATCCTGGATCTTCATCTCATCATTCTCGGGGAGGCCGAAACAACAACTCACAGACAAGTGTAAGTTTCAACGGGGAAAAAAATAAAGACTTGATTCTGTATGACTCGAAATATAATATTCCAGATATTTAGACATTTTTAATTACGTGATGTGCATTTATTGAGTTCAACACAGACCAAATTCTGTAGAAACTCGTTCTGTTTGGACCTGTCTGCTCACCGATCCGAAGACGAATTCAAGGGTTTGTTTACAAATCTTCTGTGAGTTTGTACATGCACACCATGACACGTGGTCTGTCATTTCTTTTCTTAGCATGATGACTCGTTAGCGCAAACGATCTCTATCAAAATATGACACATAATTTAAACTTCAGTTAGTTATCCTCATGTTTAGTGTTTCTGTAAAGTCATTGAGGATTACATTGTTTATATAAATATTTCAGGGGGTAAAAAATACATTTTTCGAGAAGTTTGAGGATTCAGAATGCACGTCTAGGTCATTTTCTTCAAAGCCGGCATGAGCAGGGTTGGGAAACTGTCTTGAACAGTCAACTAACCTGACAGCCTTTATTGGGCACATATTGATCTATAGCTGGGTCATGCTATCGTTACTGTACATTTTGGATCAATAATTCAATAATACATTTAGTGTAAAACTTTCAACAAGCACTGGTATTATTCATTGATATGATAATTTTTCTGCAAGTAAATGTGGTCTGCAGTGAACTCTCCCTCTCACTTCTCTATACCGTTACTATAACATTTAATTTAGATTGCAAACTTTAGTTGGAATATAAACAAAAGGGTAATTCAGTGCATTGTTCTTAAACTTTATTGAAATATTATGATTAGAGGAAAGTTATCATTCATGTTATAATTAATATTTTGCTTTGGAGCAACCAAATTCATAACCTTGACCAATTTTTCAAGGTTTCATTGTTTTGTTAGAGTTTTGGGGTAAGGATATATACAAAATGACAAAACACTTTACAAATGGTTAGGATAAAATTCATGTCCATTTGGATAATGATTTGGCGTTGCGGTAGAAAGATATGACATTGTGATAATGATACATGGTATTATGGTGGTAACTTGCAAAACCCTTTATTTAATTGAGAAATGATATGACATTTGATTGATGGATTACTTAATTCATTCATGTTTTTCAAAAATTATTTTAAGGCATCCATCAACTGGTGAACCATTACTGAAATGATAATTATTTGATAGTAATAAGCCAAATTTCAATGAAATATGACCGATGTTGGAGTGGATGCCATGCATGCCGCTAACTTTTCCAATGTGTCCGACGTACTGTCTCGGGTCTTCAGTTTGCATACAGGGATCAATTTCAAAACAGAAAAGATGCGAAAAGACATTTCATGAAATAATCAAGCATGAAGCATAATTTATGATAAATTGTGTTTGTTTTGTTTCTTTAAATTTACAAGAACACATTTCCTATACAAAGCTTAAGGTGCTAAAACAACCAATTGATTCAAGCTTAAATTTAATGAAATGAAGTTTGGATAAGCCCTAATTAGTCTCCTGCTGGTGGAACTGGAGGAGAGTAAAGTGTTTGTATGTCCGTCTGTCTGTCTGTCCAGATGTTTGTTTCCCAGGGCTAGAAAAAACAATTTTCAGCTACTCGTCTGTCGGGTAAGTGAAAATTGAAACTCACTAGCCCGAATCCAATATTCACTCACCGGAAGAAAAAAAGGCAACAAAACATAATTTAAGGAACACAAATTTTATTATCAATTTATGTATCAAATGTTTGAACTCAACACTTCCTTTTATTGTTTTACTCATATTTAATTCACTGTTAACGTGAGCAAGAACATCGACTTGCAACATTTGTGGTGACGCAATAGGTTTTCGCGTAGTCTGGATCAGCCCGAGTCTTGACACGTGGTGTAAACAAGGATACTACATCCATGTATCTGATCGACTATCAGTGGATTTAAATTAGTTTTAAGAGTTTTGAAGTTGATAAACGTAATTTATTATTGTATGTTCAATAGTTAGAACTACAAATTTCACTCGCACGCCGGACAAGTAGCTGAAACAAATCACTTGCCCGCAAGTAGCTTTGACTCGTCTACATGAGCAGATGAGTGGATTTTTCTAACCCTGCTTTCCAGATGATAACTTGAGAAAAGAAGAATGGATTTGAATGAAACTTCATTTAAAATTAGGTTATGAGGTAATACTGAGTGGGATTGAGTTTGGGATGGAAAGGTCAACCACAAAGGTCAATTGCTAAAGATAGATATTTTCATCAGATTTTGATTTCCAGATGACAACTTTAGAAAGGAGTGATGGATTTGGTTGAAATTTCACACATTATTAGCTTATGAAGTAAAACAGAGTGGGACTGAGTTTGGGGTCAAAAGGTCAACTACGAAGGTCACTTACTAAAAGTAGACTTTATTGTCATATGTGGCTTCCAGATAACTTGTGATAAGGTAGATCAGTTGTATTGTAACTTGATGCAATCTGATACTATTAGAAAACATACAGGTGGGATTGAGTTAGGGGTCAAAAGTTCAACTATGAAGGCTGTGAAGGTCACCTACCATAATAGACATTTATAACCATTTTAGATGTAGGAGGCAAAGATTGTAAGAATAACACCAGTTGTCAACTAACCAATGTTCAAGGTCACTCTGTCAAAATATCAAGGTCAAATTTTTTCATGTGTATACTGGCAATGTAACTAAAATGATTAAATTGACCCTTAAAGGTAAGACAAAATGCCAAATCCTTTCTAACATGGCAGTCAAATTTTACATCTTTTCATGTGTATACTGACAATGTAATCAAAATGATTAAATTTACCCTTAAAGGTAAGACACGAAGCTGATTTCTTTCTGACATGGCAGTATTTCTGTTCTCAGCACCCAGTTATGATAGAATCAAACATTCTTCATGAATGGAAGCATCTTAAGGTCCTTTAACAAAACTGTGAATTTTATGGGCCCAGGGTCTCACATTTCCCCGTGGGGAGGGGGTAAAAAAGTTTGCTATAGTTTATATAGAAAAAATAGATTTTGCGCATAATTTGTTTAATTTTCATTGGAAATAATTTCAGACTTGGTTAGAATTATGAGTGAAGGATGACGGCTTGATGGTTTGCCCGTTTTTATCCTGACTGACCCCTAGGGGCTGATGGATGGGGCCAAAAGGGGTCGAATTGACTTCAATTTCGAAAAACTTCTTCTCAACACCCAGATATATGGCAGAACCAAATGTTCTGTATGGATGGAATATGAATAGAAGCATCATAATTTTCATAGAAAAATTGCATTTTTGAGCATAATGTAAGTTATTTCCTTCTGGATGCATGAATTGACACTGGCTTACTACATTCAGTGTCACAATATCTGTTTCATGACTCTTGATAACTGTCCTTTAACCTTTATATTCCATATTGCTTAACTGAGGTGACCGTCAAGGTTGTTAGGCTTCCTATTTCCAGATAATCATTTAATTGAACAAGGGATGACAAACTTGATGAAAACTTTATACAGTATTAAACACAAGGGAGTGCATATGAAGTTTTTTGCTGTGTTACTTTCTGGTTTTGATGTCCTTCCTGACAAGTCACTGGTTTTGGTGGGAAGACTTCCAGTTGCTAAAATGTGACATCTGTTCATTGCAATCAAGGTCTATATTGCTTAGAAAATTTAATCAACGATGAGTGTTGCAGGCAACACTTACTGTAATCTTGCTGAAGATTATCATGTGTGCCCCAAAAACCTTCACGGGACCACTTACATCTTTGCTTATATTGTAATCATTTTTCTCAGACGATTTGTATAGGGTACATAATGTACGATATGAAATAAAGATTGAAAATCCAATTAGTCATAATATCAAGAGTGACAATGTTTTAACCTTTCTTCTAATCATTTATTACTTTAACTATCATGAGCATTGGTGAGGTGACAATAAAATGTTCTGAAACTGGGTTTTCCTTATGTTGTGATTCACAACATCTGATTGGTCATTAAAAATAGCCACTCACAGCACTGGAAACGTGGCGTTTCAAAGAAGAACAGTTCACAATCGGCTATTTTTGTTGGCAGTGCTTGAGTTACAATCTTAAGAACACATTTTATTGAAGTTGTCGAGATATACACTATATATATATCAACTTTGCGATGATAAAGCTTATACAGTAATGGATGAATAAATTATACGACAAAACAAATGGAACATGATATTAAGCAGGTTTCTCTGTATTTCATGATATTACAACATGTTTTGGTAGTTACATCCTTGTTTGAGGACCTATTAATTGGTTTTATTGGTGTTTTATTCAACAAAGATTTTTAGATGTATTCAGGGAGCTGACATAACAAGTATTTTATGATATCAGATTCTGCCTAATATGCATTATAAATGATGGTAGCAAATTGTCAAAAAATCTGATAGTACAGCACTGTTGTTACCTAGCTTCAGACATGTTTTGTTACTTTTTCGAATTTAAAGTTATGGGCCCTATTCCCATAGTAGTGAAATGTGAAAAAGCCCTGATATTGTGTTGAGAAGTGAAGTTGACATCATATTCAATCCACCGTTCATAAACTAGTCCTTTCTTGATATCATAAATGTGTTTTCAGACAGTATAAATGCAACAAAGTGAATTGAACAGAGATTATTTTGATGTTTTTAATCAATTGATATACACTAATTAAACATGACATGATTAAAAGTGTGTTAATTATACCATTAAGTCAGCTTTTTAAAGTTTCCATTGCATAGATTTCATGTACTTGTTGGTCTCCATTTTATGAAACAAACCCCATAATACAGGGTCCAAATTTTTAGTGTCACTGATTTAGTACAGGTATCTGGAGTGTCCCATTTCTAACTTCACTACCTCCCTGCAGTTGTGTGTTCATTGAGTCTCCCCTTCTCTAAACTCACTACACCTCTGTACAGATGTGTACATTTTGAGTGTCCATCTCTCTAGCCCCACTTCCTCAGTACAAGTGCTTGTACATGGAGTGTCCCATTTCTAGCCTCAATACCTCAGTACAGATGTGTGTACACAGTTTGTCATTTTCTCTAACCTCATTACCTTAGTGCAGATGTGTTGGAATGTCTCCCTCTTGTCTCAGGACCTCAGTGTAGATATATACATGGTGTTTTTCTGTTTCTAGCCCTACAACCTCAGTATAGATGTGTTTAAATTTTGTGCTACCTCAGTAGAAATATGCACACGGGATGTCTGAATCTCTGGTCTCACTACAAATGTGTGCAGATACAGGTGTACCCAATGATTTCTAGCCTCACAATCTTAGTAAAAGTGTGCACATTGTGATATTTCCCTTGTTTAGCCCAAGTACCTCAGTACAGGTGTAGTGTGTACACTGAGTGTCCCCATCTGTAGCCTCATTACTGTGTTACAGATATATATATGAACATGTAGTGTCCCTATCTCTAGCCTCATTACCTTATTACAGGTATATATATATGTACATGTAGTGTGTACCTATCCCCATCTAGCCTCATTACCTGTGTTACAGATATATATGTGTACACAGAGTGTCCCTATCTCTAGCCTCATTACCTTATTACAGGTATATATATATGTACATGTAGTGTCCCTATCTCTAGCCTCATTACCTTGTTACAGATGTAGTGTGTACACAGAGTGTCCCCATCTCTAGCCTCATTACCTTATTACAGGTATATATATATGTACATGTAGTGTCCCTATCTCTAGCCTCATTACCTTGTTACAGATGTAGTGTGTACACTGAGTGTCCCCATCTCTAGCCTCATTACCTTATTACAGGTATATATATGTACATGTAGTGTCCCCATCTCTAGCCTCATTACCTTGTTACGGTTGTATGTACATGTAGTGTCCCCATCTCTAGCCTCATTACCTTGTTACAGATGTATGTACATGTAGTGTCCCCATCTCTAGCCTCATTACCTTGTTACATGTGTGTGTACATGTAGTGTCCCCATCTCTAGCCTCATTACCTTGTTACATGTGTGTGTACATGTAGTGTCCCCATCTCTAGCCTCATTACCTTGTTACAGATGTAGTGTGTACACAGAGTGTCCCCATCTCTAGCCTCATTACCTTGTTACGGTTGTATGTACATGTAGTGTCCCCATCTCTGGCCTCATTTCCTTGTTACATGTGTGTGTACATGTAGTGTCCCCATCTCTAGCCTCATTACCTTGTTACGGTTGTATGTACATGTAGTGTCTCCATCTCTAGCCTCATTACCTTGTTACGGTTGTATGTACATGTAGTGTCCCTATCTCAAGCCTCATTACCTATTACAGGTGTGTGTACATGTAGTGTCCCCATCTCTAGCCTCATTACCTTGTTAAAGATATATATATGTACATATAGTGTCCCCATCTCTAGCCTCACTACCTTGTTACAGGTTTGTGTAGATGGAGTGTCCCCATCTCTAACCTCATTACCTTATTACAGGTGTGTGTTCCTGGATTATCCCTATCTCTATCATCATTACCTTGTTACAGGTGTGTTTACATGGAGTGTCCTCATCTATAGCCTCACTACCACAGTGTATGTGATATTTGTATTTACAGTTGTACCCCAGTACAGGTAGATATATGTGTAAGTTAGTATAAGTACTGTACCCCTCCAGTTTTGCTGTACCATAGACAGGTATATACATATGTGTGATGTTCTTCTTCCGACTACTTGGCTCTCCACATACAGGTGTACAGGGGTAAGTCTTTGTGATAAAAACTCCTCACATGATTGTTTCAGACTGGCAAATATCCAGTATTAGCCAGATATCATATGTTTATCCCCCAAACCTACTCTCACACATATGTACTGCAAGTTTAGCAGGATAGGAGCATACCTCATGGCTCTGTGATAAAGACAAACAGAAACCTGTTCAAGGTAAGATTGTGTCATTTTAATGTAAGTAAACACTTTTATTATGTTGTCAGTGTTTACAAGCTGAAAGGGTAAAGGTAAACTCCATATTATAGCAATTTACTTTGTGCGTAATAGACATATATTAGAAAATGATTGATCACATAAATATGTACAACTGAAGAAACATGTTAAAACAAACAATATGTAGATACAGGACCAGGGAAATAGAACCACCTCACTCTGTAGGTACATGTGTTATAAATATTATGGCAAGCTCATCAACACTTTACCATTCCCATCTAATGAAAGACGCACATGTACATGTTCACAGTTCTAGGTAACCTGTATCCTGTGTAGTTGGAGAACAGGGCTGATCTCTAGACTATAGCAGTTCTTATGATGAGGTCATTTCTAGCTCCTTGGCAAGAATACGACCTAAAGGTTTCACTAGTGTTGTGTCTGTCATCATTTTATTGAAACTACATGTCTTAAGGAACAGAGAGACGTGGAGGGTAAGGATTTTTGTCATGTACAATTGATTGTTTGAGTGAAGGTCTATCATCTTTGTTGAGTCATCTGACCTTCACAAACTTTTAGGATGACATATGTGACATAATTCAACTTCTTCATAAAATAATATAATGATAATATATTATATTGAAGCTAATTTGGTTAATAATATTATTGTTATATCTTTGTATCACGGTGTATGATCAATAATTCAAGTTCAAAGTTTTTCAAATGGCCAATATAATCTAGATTAATCCTTTACAATATCAAAATGGTGATTCAATGAGGTTGTCATAGCAACAATGAGTTTGACTATCAATAAATAAACTAGGAGTAATACTGGGCATTTTGACGTAGTTCTGTCTTTTAATCAGTTGTTCAGACCTCTATGTATCCAATAAGTAAGATCTGTAATACAGATTATATATGTGTGACTGTGATGGAAACTGTTGTAAAATGGTGGTTGTTGTGTAGATTAAGATAAGTGAGTAGTTATATGAACTTCTTATCATTGGATCCTGTTTCATTTCAGAAGATAAGAAATGATGTCGTTGGCCTTTAAAACACCAGCATAGGTAGGAGTAGGTGATATTTTTGTGTGTTGTACCATTCTGTACACATACATGTAACTGTAATATAAATGAATTCCCCATCTATTAGTGTTAAACCTGTTACTCGTCTTAGAAACCAAATACTTAACTGTTGTCCAAGAATAAACCACAGATCTCGTTTTATCTTTAGTAAATGTCATATTAGGTTACAACATTGTAATGTCTGTACATGTGTGTGATGTATTTGTGTACTCCAGTCCTATTTAGTTACAAGTGTTGGTACATATAAACCAATCTTGTTGTGAATGGCATCGTGCATCTTTTGCATATAATGGTCGTTTCTCAGCAGTTTTCCCTAGTAATTCATGTATGTTTGTTATTTCATCTCTTAATGTTACAGATTTGTTTGGCAGGTCTGCATATTTTCATTTAGGTGAAACCTGTAAACTACTGTTGTATATATACGAGGCATGAAGATTGTACAAAAGATGCACAAGTGAATAGCACCTTTTGATGCAAACTTGGAGTTAGATATACAATAGAGCCAACCAGTATCGCTCTCAGATTCCTCAATGATGCTAAATGCCAAAATATTGAAGCCTAGGAGGCGTCTGAGAGAAAAGCAAAATTGATTAAAAAAATGCAAAATCAAGATGCGAAGGTGCACTAATTATATATAGTCCATAATTCAATAATGTTGTAATTTATACATCTGATAATTTGAGAAGAAAATCAAGTATATGTGTTTAATTCAGAACCATGCCACTATTGTAGTTGATTAAAACAGGGTATGCAGGTTAAGACCAAATCCAGGGATTTAAAGTCCATCAGCATTGTTTATCACCAGCACTCTAGAAGATATAATAATGATTTGTATGATCAGTAAACATTGATAGTATACCAAACACTCTAGAAGATATAATAATGATTTGTATGATCAGTAAACATTGATAGTATACCAAACACTCTAGAAGATATAATAATGATTTGTATGATCAGTAAACATTGATAGTATACCAAATTAGGGAAGTTAGTATATTAAGAGACCACTAATTACACAATCAATATGCCGCAGAAATAAAATTCATTCTGATTTCATAAACATTCATAGAAAGTATTAGAAATACTATTGTTCTGATGTCTTGAAGATCTTTTTAAATCACCATTTGATTTTGTGACTGATAAAAAAAATAAATCGTCAACAGGTGGCCATCTTCGATTTGACAAAAAAGGATTGTTATCACTGTTTTATGAGAAGTAATAGATAGATATTTCTCAAACCTAAACTGTGAGAAGTCACTGAAGCAGAAAAGAGGCTATCACATGCCTGTAAACATTGTATAGGATTCATTTTTTAAGTGACAACACATTTTAATACATATCCTGATTGCAAATATCTAGTATTTCAGGTTAAGATGTGACTTAGGTATGTAAAAACTTGTGGAGACATCAAAGTAACCAAGGTTTTTTATTAAAGTGTCACATGAATGTATCCATAATATTTACTGGATGAATATAAACATACAGAATCTAAATACACGCAACAGCTGATCATGATCAACAATGAAATTGAGATGTTTTAAAAGAAGTCATATGTATGGTGGTGTAAAATTAATTCCCATTATGCATGCAGGTATCTTATTTGTGTATATGCAACATAAAAAAATAGTGTTAAGATCTAGACCTTGAAAATTTTTTAATACACAATGGGTGATCTGCACACATAAACCAAAGGATGTTTTAAGCATATTTTTAATGCTGTATGTATGTACATATATTGACTATTTACTGAAGTTTACAGTACATATTTTCATATATATGTATAGGTGTATATCAATATTACCTCAAATTAGTGATAAACAGGTGGAAGAAATAAATTCAGCTCCTTCAGACGGTGACATGAGGTTATGAATTTCCTTGGAATTAAACTAGATTGGTGCTATATTGCCTACATTTTTGTGTTTACAGGGACATTACAATAGGATGAACAGTTATGATAGGGTGCGTAAAATTGTTCAGGAGGAAGGCAGGACCGCACGAAATCTTGTCATTTACAATGTTCCGGTTGAACAACAGAACCGAACAGGAGCAGGTAACCCTGCAGGTAAGAGAAATAGAATAATTTGTTCATAACAGATGTTCCTACAGGTAAGTTTGAGATAAATAAAGTTAAACAGACATGTATATTTATATCAGGTGAATCTTCAGGGAAGATGTAATGATGAGGAAGACCACTGTGATGATGGTGATGCACTTTATATATGCCAGTGAAATGTGAACACTCAAAGGGAGATAACTCCAATGACTCCACATACATAAAATGCAGTTGCTTCTTCAAATTGTTGAAAGTCTCAGAGTCCAAACATATTCAGCCATTCAAAAAATTAATCCAGATTGCCTTTATTGAATTTTGGTGCTATGTCATGCATATGGCTTGTTAAATTTTTAATATGTATTCTTATAACAGTAAATTACTCCAAACATCTGTTTAAGTTATAAAGTTACCCGTATAAAATGCTCTTAAAAGAAAGCATAGTAAACTTTAAAAAATATGATTCCTGTACCAAAATAAGGATAATACAATCTTGAAATTTAGATGTGGCAGTTTTCTGCTATTTTTGCAACCATTTGAAGGTCAGAAAATGTAGTTTATTATTCTAAAATTGTGTATCTTGTGAAATAATATTCTTCTTTGAATATAAGTGTTCAAAACAATAGAAATCAATGAATTGACAATTTGTTGGTAATTGCACAAATTTGATATTGATTGTAAGTTGCTATATATATGTATATACAAGCTTATGTTGGTCTGTTTCATTTGTGTTGGCAAGAAAATCAATAGTTTTACTGTGAAGATTTGAAATGAAATCTACATATGAAGCAGATTGTTGCACGGTGTATTTAAAACAGCCTGAAAGGTTTAATTATTTATCAAAGTGTTCCTTTTGTGTGGGAAATGCAGGACACATGTACTCTTTGGTTCCTGATAAGATTAGTGAAAGAACAAGATTTTTCAGCAAGACATTGACATAGTTTGTGCTGTATTGACTTCATTATTCCTGTTATGTCTGTTTGTAACTACAAATATACATCAATACTAAGAAAACAAGATCCAGTGTCTAGTCTGGTAGATTCAGTAATATCAGCAGTCTTCCTAGGATTGATTCCTAGTGGAATACAAGTTTGGTTCAAAGATGTATAAACAGCAAACATAGAGGACCAGACAACATCTGTAGGAAGAATTAAAACTGTTTAATAGTTGACATGTTTCGGCATATTAGGTATGCCGTCCTCAGAACAGAGTAATTATTCAAAATACTGGACTTATATACTATCTCTACCTAGTTACTACACATGTTATTTACAGTTGACGTCATAGATGATACACAGGTTCAATGACGTAGTCTATTAGTGACGTCATAGATGATACACAGGTTACAATGACGTAGTCAATTAGTGACGTCATAGATGATACACAGGTTACAATGACGTAGTCTATTAGTAACGTCATAGATGATACACAGGTTACAATGACGTAGCCTATTAGTAACGTCATAGATGATACACATGTTACAATGACGTAGTCTATTAGTGACGTCATAGATGATAGACAGGTTACAATGACGTAGTCTATTAGTGACGTCATAATGTACAAATCTTGATTGGATTATGCTAGATACTGTAATGATACGCATGTTAACAATATTAATAAAGAGAAAACGGAAATAACTACGAGTACTATGGTATATATGTGCATGTAGAAGTACGAAAATAAAATATAGGTAAGTAAAATGTTATGCCAGCTGTAAGAGAGCTTCTGCAGGCAGTGTGCTTGGTACAGAATATCTACAGGTATGTACACTACAACTGAATATGAGAATTAGCACTATTTTCTAGATTAATTTGAATGAAATAAAATAAAATAACAGTCTAGTTAACTAATGTCCGGTACATGGACAAAGGTGCAAATAAATTAGGATTTCAGTTTATGTTAAACCATATGTAACAAGTAGCCATGAAAAAAGTAACAAAGTTCTTTGGTTATCCGTGTCTGATATTTAATCCTTTTGGTTAAGTGGTGTTTAGAAAGGAGATAAAGGCCTCTTCTGTGCTTTGGTGTATATTTAAGTTTTTGGAGGTGGTTCTAAGGCCGATAATTTTCACATAACTGATGTCATATTCGGTGGATGTATAGTGGTGGAAAACTGGTTTGTGTTTATCGTTGTTACGAATATCGGCGAAATGGCCATGGAAACGTTCGTGGATAGTGTTTCCAGTTCGTCCAATGTATTGTATTCCACATTTTAGGCACTGTATTATGTAGATTGGGCTTACAGAGTTTTCCTAATGACGAATGTTTGTTCGATGACAGGGTAGACTTTCCAGAGTCTGGCTTGATGGATTTGTCAGCCCTCACAAGTAGGTTCCTTAGGTTGTTAGATTTTTTATAGGCAGCGGTAATGACCGAATTACTCATTGGAGGGCCTATTTGGTTGAGAATCACTGTGTGTGTTTTTAGAGTTCTTTCTATGAGTTGACGGTGGGGATCAAATTTAGTAATGAATGGAACAAGAGATTTGGTCTCTGGATTGTCCTTGCTAGGTAATGCTGATCTATTGGTATTCCTAGCTTTTTCTGTAGTGAATTCTAAGAGATTCTTTGGATAAATGTTCTTGCACATGGCTTTGCTGTGTTTGTCAAATTCGTTTAAAGTCGAGTATGCTACATACCCTAAGAAGTTGCCCTAATGGATTGTTGTGAATGTGAATACATGGTTGGCATTGTATTGCAGGTGTAGGTGTGCATCAGTAGGCTTAGTGTGTAGTGTGGTCTGTAGAGTACCATCTTCAGTAGGCTTAGTGTATAGTGTGGTCTGTAGAGTACCATCTTGCTCTTTGATTACTGTGGTGTCTAGGAAATTAATCCGAGTAGAGCTCACCTCATACATAAAATGGATCTTAGGATGAAATTGGTTAAGGCCACCCATGAAGGCAGTAAGGTCCTCGTTGGGGAATGTCCAAATAAAAAAAATCATTGATAAACCAGAGGCCGAGTCCCTAGGAAATTCGTTTCAAGTTGGTCCATAAATAATACGGTGTAATTAAGTACACATTTAGTTCCCATACTGGTTTGTTTGTTTGTTGTTGTGGTAAAATGTAGAAATCTAAAGAGGATCAAAGTCAGTGGAGACCTGTCAACCCTAGTGTCCAGGGCTTGTTTTGCTGCAAAAGTGCTGTCTCTGTGTGGAATTGATGTAAAGAGAGAGGATACATCCGCAGTGACTAGAAGACTATGTGTTTGGATTCGGCCAAGATTGTTAATTTTATAGAGGAAGTCTTTTGTGTCTTTTAAGTAAGATTTTGCTCTGATCACAAGTTAAGGTGATAATCACAGGTAGCTGACAACTTTTCTGTAGCTGACACTATTGGTCTACCTGGATTCCCTGGTTTTTGTATTTTAGGTGGGAGATAGAAAAGAGGGATCCTGGCATCCTTGATATTATTGAATTAGACAATATCTTTGTCGAGTTTAGATTCAATATGAAGAAAATGATTAAATCTTTCACTATGCCCTGAGATGGATCTACATCTAACAATCTATAGTGTTTGGTGTTGCTGATTTGATGGTCTGATTCTGTCTGAGGGAGATGCGCACTTGAGATTCTTCTTGTTTAAGATTATGAAAAATATTTTGTTTTGGGGGAGTGTTGGTTATCAAAAACAAAGTAGTATTGGGGAAAGTGTCCAAATCTGTATCAAGGCCAGATTGTGGTGTCCAGTCTGATGTAGGTCTGAAAGGGTTAGGAGCAAAAGTATTACTAATTTTCATGATCCTTAAAAAAAACATGAAGTGTGACTCTGTGTTGAAATAGGTTTATGTCCGTTAAAAGATCGATAGGTTCTGTAATCGCTGGTGTGGGACAAAAAGAAAGTCCCTTGGATAAACTGAAAGTTCATAATTAGATGGTATGATGTTGGATAGGTTAACAACCGCGTAGGTGTGGGTTGTCCAAGCTCTACATTTCCTATATGTATTTTTGTGTACTTAGTGGAGGAAGGTCCCTTGTGGAAAATAAGTTAAAGTTTTTTACTTGCAGTAGAGTGCAGTTTCACTGTTGTAACCTATTTCTTTGGACTGTGTTGTTTGTGAATTAATTTTGTATGGACAATTTGGTTGAAGCCAGTAGATCATCTATGTGCGAGATTTCATCGATTCAACTCCGCATTGATGGTGGTCACTCTGTTATTCCAGTAATCCCAAAGGAGTATCACTAGGGATCCACTAAAGTTCAGATGTACTTTATCCCTTTTGTAGAGAAATGTAACGTTGGTGCCAGGAATTTGTGGTCGTATGTTAGTACAGAGAGTTTTGGGTACCTGATGCGTATTATCACAGTGTTCAAGTTATTCCAGATGGTTTTCTGTCGTGGCTAATTTGATGTGTAACTTTCTCAGAGTTGTGATGACAGAACGTGTCCTACCTATGGATGTTGTCAGGTCCTCTTTACTGGCCAAATATACATCAACTTAACATCTTGCCCTTATATTGAATATTCATAAAGTCTTTGACTGTATGTTAGTATTAGATAGTTGTTTGTTTTCTGGGTTTACTGCATGGTGAAAAGTCACGGTCATTTTGAGGGGGATCTCCTTGTTGTAACTGGTGATTACCACAACGGACAACATGTGGAAGGCCCAACTCATGCCACTCAAAGCAACAAGAGTTAAGTGTCTTGCTCTAGGACAAAACCATATCAGCACAGACTGGTTGGTTTTCTGAAAAACACTAACTGTCATGGGTAGGGTATTTCAAACTACTAACCATGGATCATAGATTTTGTGATTTTAACAAGTCTATGTTTGATGATCAGCCTTAATCTGAAAAAAGACTCAACCCTTCCTCCTTGTCCGTGTGTTATATGACAAACATTGATCCATTTATTGTTATGTTGAGATGGAATCTCTTCTCTTTCAAACAGATGGAGACTATTTTGCTACCCACCACTAGTCTTCTATGATAAAGTTCTGGAGAGTCAATAGGACTGGGAAAATAGGCCACTTATCCAGTGCTCTGTTATTGATCTAATTCAGACTTCTATAACCA